CAGTATGTTTGACGATTCGCAAGGTCCAGTACGCTCCAGAGAGCCCCGGACCAGCTCCCTGTGTGCAGACCACCCGTGACTTTCTCATGTCTGACAAACCACTGCATATGGAGGCAAACTTACAAAAGCAGGTGTGTTTCAAACAGACCACCAGGCGAGCATGCATGTATTGTATCTTTCTTTGTTGTTGGCAATGTTTAATACTGCTTTTTAAATGAAGAATGACATTTTATGGAATATAATGAATCCGTTTGGAATGTTGCACCATGACTTTTTTCTTGTAGAGTTACTATCATGGGGAACCCATCAACGTAACTGTCAAAATCAGGAATGACTCCAACAAAAATGTGAGGAACATCATTGTCTCTGGTAAGAGCAAGTTTGAAAGTGTTAAATTATGAAATAAGTGTTTCAGATTAAATATCAGTTTAAATGAATGAGCCAAATTCTTTGAAATGTACTCTTTTTGATTTATTGAAAAATAAATTTGATTGTTTGATTTAAATACAATCTGAACAAACAGAGTATGGTAACACTTTATTTGAAGGGGTGTGCATAAGACAAACATGACACCTTCATAATCATGACACATGTCATGAATATGAAGTAAATTGTATGCATGTTTATGCCTGTCCAATCACTCAAATATGACATTGTTTGAGATGTATTTTTCATTACAACTTCACATAAACCAATACATCATTACCTGTCATTGTCTTGGTAATGACAACTTGACATTACCAAGACAACATAAATTGTCATAAATTTGTCATAAACATGACATAGCAGGTTAATTATCAAACTTAAGAAACCACTTAGCGTTACGGGTTAACATTACATTAAACTGACATGTGGTTGCTTTTATGGCTGTCATTAGGCCATTATAACTGTTGATGAATATTTTGAATATTTTTCTGGACCTCAACTACAGTGGTACAAATTGAATTTATGATTAAAATGGTATAATGCCCGGCGCATGGTCTAAAATGGTTGTCCCTTTTCTCTTAATGAGATTAATTAATACAATACAATCTTAATACAATCAGGTATTGTACTTTTAATACAATCAGGGTTGAAACCCCCTTTCTCTTAATGAGAAAAGGGGTTTCAACCCTGATTGTAACTGCTCATATAAACTATTGCAAGAGAGATGTTTGCAGCACTGAAGAGCAAATTTTTTCCAGGATTTTTGACAAAAGTGCCAGATTTAAAATAGTTCAAAAATTAGCAAAATTATTTTTGTCTGTCCCAGGTTTCTTAAGAATAGGTGTTATAACAGCAGTTAATGCCCTGTGAACTAACATGAACAAACAATGAACAGGTGTATTTTTTCTTAACTTACATTAAAAAAAGATTAATAAACAAAAACTGCAACAAATGTATTGCTAATTGTTAGTTCATGTCAGTAAATACATTAACTAATGTTAATTAATGAACCTTTTGTAAAGTGTTACTGATATTTGTGTACACAGTCAGTCATAAGTCAAGTAGACTGCTGTACATATAAAATAACACACTTGTGATTGTTTGCCTTTTAGTGGAACAAATCGCCAATGTGGTGCTGTACTCCAATGACAGTTATAATGAGACAGTGGCCATTGAGGACTCTGGGTAATCATTTTATACAGAGATTTAGATGTAATCCAATAAAACAATAAATATTAATCTGACTAAGGATTCCTTTTTGGTGCAGGGACTCTGTTGATGCAGGAGCCAAACTAGACAAAGTTTACACCTTGCTTCCCCTCATGGCCAATAACAGAAAAAAGCATGGCATCGCACTGGATGGAAAACTGAAGCACGAAGACACAAATCTAGCCTCTACAAGCATGTGAGTCCCATGTTTAGATAATGATAGTTGCTTTAGTTTATTGGGAAAAAACGTTAATTAATCCATTCCAAATGTTTACTAAGTTGTTTAAATGCTCTATTGCAGCATCAAAGAGGGAGTCCTGAAGGAAGTTCTGGGAATCATGGTGTCATACAGAATTGTTGTGAAGCTTATTGTTGGAGGGTTTGTATCCCAAGACACAATATACCACTACAGTACCATAAAACCACACATCCTTGATGTGTGTTATACCTGTTGTGTGTCACATCCTAATATTTTCTGTTTTTCTTCTTCAATGGGATTATGGGATCCAGGTAAATATAAAATTCCTTCAATCTTGGAGTCAGAGAATTGCATATCAATAAAGCTTTAATGGGTGTGCAACTGTGCATATGTTGCGGACTACAAAAATCTGAGACCTAATTGAAAATCTGTAACACTAGGGAGCTGAATATATGGCAGGCAGTGGTATTTGTTAAAATGTATTACAAACAAAACAATAAGCACACAAATTTTGACTGACAAAACAAAAAGAGAAACACTGTATACACACAGGCTAACAAGCTTAAAGGGACTTAGTTCACTTTCCACATCTTGGATGCCCTTGAGGTAAGCTAAAACATACCAAAAATCTATTACAAAGTGAACTATCCCTTTAACAAAATAATGAGATAACAAAACACCTTGTGGAGAAAATCAATACGAACAAAAAAACTAAAAAAGGCCTGCAAAGATGGCAGACAGAAGTGGAAGTAGAAAGTCCATGGACAAACACAGATGCTGCATCCAAAACTGCATACTAAGTAGATACTTCATTTGAACTTAGTATGAATGAATTCAAACATACTACATCCACCATTTTTTTTTTACTCTCACGTGACCACAGTTGCCACAATTGACCTTCACTTCTATTCATAAATCCTCTCCCGTAGCCTAATGGGATAGTATTGTGTCCATCGAAAGAAACAAAAGAATATTGTGTCCAAGGAAGTAGTAGTTCAACTGAGGACTTTTCCCCTACTGTGTTTTTTTTTTCTCGAATATTCAGACATACTACTCTTGGTACTCGATTTCAGACGCAGCGAGTGAAATCTGACATTCAAAATGTTTTTTAAATCTAGTAAAAAAAACTTTTTGGTCACACTTTATATTAGGTGTCCTTAACTACTATGTACACTGTACAAAAAATAAGTACAATGGATATTTACTGTGTTCATAGTTTATTGCTGCTACTGAGGTGGGATACAGGTGTATATAATATATAATATAATATAAATTGAGACCAACTTTTTTGCTAGCGGTCTCAGACTTTTGGACTATATTGAGATCCCTTTATTTAAGCTTTGTGTTTTGACATATTAGTGAGGTTGGAGTGGAGCTCCCGTTCCAGCTTATGCACCCGAAGCCTGACGCAGGTATTATTATACACAAAACATGTGTGTGTGTGTGTGTGTATGCTCTATGCGCATGCTCTTTTATCTTTTATTCTCTTAAATACTTTCTGGTTCACATACAAATATATATAAGCAACTCCTCAAAAAGTTTTTTTCTCTTTATTGCCTCTTGAAGTGAGAGAAAGGTCAGTCATGATTTTTACAGTTTACTCTTGTTCAAGAATAACAACATATTAATAATTACTCATTTTTATGTACCTTCAATAATATTGTGTAATGTATATGCTTCTTGTCCTTTTTATGTGACTGTGTGGCTGTTTGTAGCGAACTGGAGGATGAAGTGGTATTTGAGGAGTTTAAGCGTACCTACTTGAAAGGTACAGCCGAGGAAGAGGATGAGGGAAACGTTTCACCTGCCGAGAATTGAGAAATGCATGTAGAAGTCAAACAGTTCTTTAAGCATATTTACAAATTTAAGGCTGTTCAAAATAGAGAGCATCATATAGAGAGCATCACTGAAATAGAGCACTGCTCTGGACTGTTATAAGCAGATAAAACTATTGGCAATTTGAACAATTTCCAAATACATGGTTCTCTAGAGACCATTTTTTCAGCTGTCTGACATTTTGGTGAATATCTTTAGTAATATGTAAGAAACTGCTTTGCTGGAATTTGGTGACTACACTACAATAGTATAAAACTACGTAGTAAACACCTAGCTGTGTTTTTTTTTTTTTTTTTTTTTTTTTTTTTTAGTTTTAACACATTTTGTGATATAAAGCAACATTCTTCACTGTAAGTAAATGTATGTAATAAAATAGTGTATTTTAATAAAACACTGTACTGTAGCTAGATGTTCAGTTTATGAAAGCATGATAAAGAAGGTAAATGCTATTGTACACCACAACACCACAAATTTTGGACAAAAAAAACAGTTCTTGTTTGTTTTTATTTTTAAAATATCAGTATTCATACAGATTAAATTTCTGTAACTGGATATTTTTTCCAAATATGATTTTCAACCTTACAGACAGGCAAGGTGCAAGGACAAATGTATTTAATCCATATTTATTGAAAACAGATAAAGTTCAATAGAGTCAATACAGACCAAAATGACTGAATAAAACTTTTTATATATTAATCTCAATAATGATATTTAATATCACAATTTCTCAGGTAAAGTTGATTGTCAACTGATAGTTGTAAATAAAATCATAGATATCTTTATTTTCTCTATGCACAAGGATAAAGGAGAAATCTGTAAATATATATTTCAACAGCAGTTAGCTTGCTTACTGTTGCTTACAATGGCTCTTCATACTCCTATAGACCTCATTAAAGGCACTCTATGCAAGATCTGTACCTTAATATAACAGCTTCAAAGTCGTTTCGGTGGTTAACAAAGTCATAGTAGGGCGAATCATCCTGGTAGGAAAGCTTGGGGGGGATGCCGCCGGAAAAACCAGCCATGCAAGTTTGAGAGTTTTGCCCCTGACACAGCTCGCGAGAATCACGAAATGCTTTACGGCAACGACGTCACACACATCAACAACAACATACTGTGTAAAGCTACTTGCGCGCATCCAAGAAAACTCGGTCAGAAATGTCCAGAAAAAGGGAAAGAGAATCGGACCGTGCTAGAAACCCGGTCGGGCTTTCACTCGTTGGCGCGAGCTTAAAAGCAGCACTGATTGTAACTGCGATGCTGACCTGTCATGTTGTATATTGCTGCCTTCTATGTTGTATGTTGCTGCGCTAGCTTGTAGTTTATCATGTTTTATGGTGCTGTTCATTCATCCGTTGTTGATAATTAGACCAGTTCAATAACTTCCTAACAAACAGTTGTTTCTCTTAGTTTTGTTGTTTTTTTTTCGTTATGTTTTATTGCCGAGGTTGCCACAAGACTGAGCTAGTTTGCCAGCTGAACTCAGGTGTTGTGATGTGTATAACGTAACGTTAGTCCTGTGTCTGATTCTTATGGCGCCGTAAATTACTGTTATATAAACTTTATCTGACTAACAGTGCACTTCCCAACTGTAATTATCATGAGAACATAGTCAATATCTTACATAATTATTAGGACATATATAAGCCTAGAGGTTGTAAATAGTGTAATTGAACACAATTTGCTAACTATTTTGTCAATCATGTCTAATGAAATCATAACGGCCAATGTTATGAAACAATGCGACGTACATTTAACTTTATTGATTTCATCTGACATTTTGTAATGTTTACATTAAAATCAAAAAACACAAATGAAATAATACTCCTACACTATAGCTTATTTACTTGTGATTTAGCAGAAATCATGTAAAAACGTTATAAGCCAGCAAACGCGATAGGCAACTTTATTATTATAAAGTAGTCTAAAACTTGACAGTAGTTCAGTAGGTATGCAGTAACAGGGGAATAACGGTTATTTACGACAGTTGCAAATACACCACAGCGGCTCTAGAGCTCACTGTTTTGCAAAAAAATCAGAGAGTGCATAGTGTGGCTTTAAGCAAACAACTGCAGTTGAGCAGCTCATCTAGAACATTTGTTTATTACTCTATCTTTCTGATAAAGTACATTGAGCATTGGGCTTTATCCTCTCTCACTCGTGCATTATGCAAAAAAATCATAACTAATAGTATTAATATAATTTTAATTATACATAAGTAAAATTAATTAAAAAGATGCATCTGCTCATATATGCTTAGAAAACAATTTGCCTAAATTTTGCTGTCCTTTCAGCAGACGTAATTCAACATTATGAGGATTGCATGAGCAGGTCAACAGGAGACACTCGTACAAAAGGATTTTTTTTCTTTCACAATGATACATGTTGAAAATGTGAGGTAGCACATGCAGGCAATGCTCTCATATATAAACCACATATTTTAATAAAAATATAATGTAGTTTCACTGCACAGATGTAGTATCCATTTAATATAATTTAACATGCACATTACTTTAATGTTTAGAATAAGCTTACCTTTCAAAAGCTTTACTTAGATAGTTCACTCAAAAATCTATATTTTGTCATAATTTACTCACCGTCATGTTGTTCCAAACTTGTATGAATCTTTTTCTTCTTGTTGAACTTATGTTGGTAACCAGGAAAAGAATAGGAAAAAGAATACTTTGGAAGTCAATGGCAACTGTCAATTGTCTGGTTATCGACATTCTTCAAAATATATTCTTGTGTACAGCAGAAGAAAGAAACTCATATGGGTTTGGAACAACATAAGGGCCGTTCACGGGAGTTCACGGGAACAGAAGAAAGGTCACAAAATATACAAAATCCACCAAAAAGGAAATAGATTCACAGTTGCCTGGTCCTTATAAATGGTGAGAAAATAAAAAAGGCATCTGTTTAAAAGGCTGAGGTATAGCGTCATAAATGATGACACAATTTTCATTTTTGGGTGAACTATCCCTTTCTGGACTAAACATGTGACTGTCTATATAACTCTTACTATATTCAGTTTACTTAGAATTTACCAAATATAGGGAGGTGTTTGGGCCTGGGTTACATCAAGACTGGACATCTGGAGCAAGACTGGTAGCAGTTTCCTCTAATTCACCCCAGCTGTATGTTCCAGTTATAGGATCTGGTAAATCCCGTGACATTGGAATATCACAGCTGTCTGGGTAGAGCAGGAAGCCAGAGAAGGTACTGCTGCACTCACTATTGGAATACATCCCATTGGAATCGGCATCTCTCACCTGTAGCCAAACTTCATCACCCATGTTAAGATGCAGGACCACCTGTTGAGAAGTTGTTCCAAGATCTGTTGACCCTGTACTTTTGAGGACAGGTCTGAAGTTGTGGAAGAGCCCCACCTTGAGCAGTTTACTGAAGACAACCAAGTAGTAGTTAATGACGTACGTACCATTGATGGGAGCCCTGTAGATGCCTCTGAAGGGGTCAAAATTAAATTCTCTGTTGTAAAAGACATTAGTAAAAGGAACTGGCAAATTTGGCTGTGGGTAACTGCTGCTTAGTGCTGCTAAAAAAGCAGACTGAATTGGTTGAGAGCAAGGGCCAGGAGCACCTATTACCCCAGGATCCCCCTTTTTCCCCTTGTCTCCATTTACCCCTGCTGCACCTTGTTGGCCAGTGTCCCCTTTGCCACCTTTTAGTCCTGGAATGCCGATCATTCCATTTGCACCGTCTACCCCATCCTTGCAGTGACACTCACCCGTTTCTCCCTGATCTCCTTTCTGGCCATTTAAACCTGGAGCTCCATTTGGACCAAGATCCCCCAAATCTCCCTTGTGACCTTTCGACCCCGGACTTCCTCCCAACCCTGGAAGTCCCTTTTCCCCTGTCATACCAGGTTGGCCAAGTTCTCCTGGAGGTCCCTGGATTGAGTAACAAATTGCTGGGCACTGTCCTGACTCACCAGGAGAGCCCTGCTGTCCTGGATTTCCAACCGCACCACTGTCCCCTTTATCACCTATAGGACAAAATGTTTAACAAGTTGGTGATCTTAATTCTTAAAATGTGGTTCAAATTGCTAAAAATGTTAACTAACTTACCCCTGGGGCTTCTTTGTCCTTTGAGTCCTGTAAAGCCAAGTGGACCCAGATCTCCTTTTTCACCAATATCACCTATTTGGCCTTTCGGAAGAAAAAAGGAAGCATAATTGGCAATGTTCCTCTTATCAAATGTAAACACTCCAGTATGTTTTGTACTTAATCGCCAAGAGGCAGATAAGTGACTCTATAGTAAGTAAACTGTATCTGTAACTCTTGGTTTAATGGGTCTTTAGGATAGAAATAAAGTGATTGTATTTACCCTTTGGTCCTTGATGACCATTAAACCCTGGATAACCTTGAAATCCTGGCAAGCCTCTTAATCCTGAACTACCGGGAAGACCTAAGACAAAGAAACAAAAGAAAATACACTCTTCAATTCCTGCTGTATTATACATATACAATGCGATTATACATATACAATGGACTAAAAATTGGTTCAAATGAATAACCTTGCAGTCCCCTATCTCCTTTGTCCCCCTTTGGACCACTGGGACCCCCTTTACAATGTGAGCAAACACAGAACCAGGGTGTTTGATCTACAGGTGGAGGCACTGGTGCCTCAAGAAGCATGTCACAGTATGAAAGGTCTGGCTTTTGTCCCGTAGGCACTGTGCGAGATCCTTGAGTTGTGTTCCCAAACAGAGGTTTTGATAGAATGGGATACCTATCAGGTGGGATGGGTAACATGGGTAAGGGATATCCATTAAATGAGTTGTCATATTGCATATTCTGATCTCCTCTGGCCATGGGATTGCCTCCTTTTGCTATAGGGTAATTATCATAGGAAAACATAGGTATGTGGTTGTTAATTGCAGCAGAGTCATCAAAATAGTCATCAGGAGGAATGGGGCTATCAGGAGAGCCAGGGGGTGGAGGTACCAGGAACCCCCTTCGGTCGATAGTCATCCCAGATGAGAAGGCTAATGAGACCAGGACTCCTGTAATTATTCTTATCATCTGAGAAAAAAAAAAGGATGGAGGAAACAGATAATGAACACTAAAGAGACATCACAACTGAACACCTGTTCCTCTTGAAAGCACATCCAGGCATAAGCAATACAGAAAACAGGTGAAGCTATTCATAATGATGAATTGATCCTTTTAAGGATCCACTTGATCATTTTATTTCATTGGGTGTAAAATAGTTATTGTCAAACTATTCATTCATCAAACCTTTAGTCTGTCGAACTAACAGCACTTCTAAAAATTACTTCTAATCAATGTTTCAAGCATAAAGCAATATTGTCACAAATAATTTTTTGTGACAATCAAATATACTTACAATTTGGAAGAACTTTTGACCCATCATCTGGTTGAAGCACATGTGAACTGAACAGTGCAACTAAAGCAAAGATCAATTTATAAGTGGTCTTTGGTAACTTTAGTCTCTCCCATAGGCCTGCAAACAAAGCAGAGGGGCTGGAAATAATATCCCATTATACCCAACATTGGGCTCCTCCATGAAAAATGACAACAAGTCTGGAATATGATAATCAAAATAATAGCGAACCAACAAAAGCCTACCTCATTGTTTTCATCTCTTCCTTGTTCCTAAAAGAATCTGGCTGATGTTAAGAAAAGATGCTGAAGAATGAAAAACAATCCTTTTGAGAAGACTGCCGTTGCAAGACCGCATTTTTTGTCCCCATTCAGACAGGACTTTAATATGGGTGAGAAAAAAAGTGCCTGTGTTTGATGATCAATTTTCAAAGTATTGCAACAGTGCCACAAAAACAAATATGGTAAATGAATACGTTTAAATCATGATGTTTCTTTTTAAGTTTGGTTTGTTTTATAAGATTTTCAATAGAAAATGCAAAACAGTAACATTTCATACTATTCTTGACATTTTAAGTGAGATTATTTATTTTTTAATTCACAGAACACAACAAATTCATGTTTACAGATGACACCAATGAATAAGAAAAATTAAGCCTTGTTCACTGTAGTGATTCAATATCTAAGTGTGACAAACTTGGCTTGACATCAGCCTCTACAGGACAGTTAGCGTTAGGCCATACAAACTCATTCTCACGTGTTCAGACAAAGAAAACACCAAGAATTTGCTCCATTCAACAGACAAATCCCACCACTTTTATCTCATAGTGTCAACCAGTTAATACAAAGAAAATTGTAAGGCAACAGCTCATTTTTCCCCATATTAATGCAACCTGAGTCTACTTCATTCATACAATTCATTATGAATCTAACACTGGACACTGAAGACACTGATCCAAGGCCTTAACAAAAAGGAGCAAGAAGATGAATGGCTAACCTTATTATGTGCCCTAATTTCCACACCCTGAGCTAAATGTTTCTGTGTAGGTGAACATGTGTAGGTAAATATAATAGAAACCTTTTCTCAAAAGTACTACTAAAATTCTTTAGGAAAAATACAAACAGAAGACAAAGGAAACAATTGCTGTCAAACTGCAAGGATAAAGAGCTACAAAGCGATACTGAGATAATTTACCAGTGTGCTGGTTTGATATGGCTGGCCTACTGAAACTTCTTATTCAGCTAGATTATATACTGTGTACTGCACACTATGACAAAAGTTTTGGGACGTCTGCCTTTACACGCACAGGAACTTTGATGAAATCCCATTCTTAACCCGTAGGGTTTAATATGGAGTTGGCCCGACAAAGGTGGGAGCATGAAATTGTCCAAAATGTCTTGGTATGCTGAAGCATTAAAGGTATACTCCACCCAAAAAAGAAAAATCTGTCATCATTTACTCACCCTCAAGTTGTTGCAAACCTGTATGACATTCTTTCTTCTGCTGAACACAAAGTAAATTAAAGGGTTAGTTCACCCAAAAATGAAAATGAAGTCATTAATTACTCACCCCCATGCTGTACCAACCCCGTAAGACCTTCGTTCGTCTTCGGAACACAAATGAAGATATTTTTGATTAAATTTGAGAGCTGTATAACTACCACATTGGCTGCCTAAGGGACTGCCTCTTAACGGCCCAGAAAGTCAATGAAGAAAATGTTTAAATATCCCAAGTGACTACCGTGGCTCTGAAGCAGATCGCAATTCTCGCGCATGCGTCGTGGAAATCTAAGGAAATCTCGTTTCTGGCCTACAAGGAAGAAAAGAAATAGTCGAATAAACTCGTTATTTTTGTTTGTTTTTTCGCACAAAAAGTATTCTCGTCGCTTGATAAACATATAGTTGAGCCACGGTAGTCACTTGGGATATTTAAACATTTTCTTCATTGACTTTCTGGGCCGTCAAGAGGCAGTCCCTTAGGAGCCAATGTGGTAGTTATACAGCTCTTAAATTTAATCAAAAATATCTAAAGACGAACGAAGGTCTTACGGGGTTGGTACAGCATGGGGGTGAGTAATTAATGACTTAATTTTCATTTTTGGGTGAACTAACCCTTTAAGATATTTTGAAGAACGATTAGATCCAAACAGATGTTGAACTTCCATGAACTTCCTTAGTAGAAAAAAAAATACTATGGAAATCAATGGTGCCAAAGTTCCAATCGTTCTTCAAAATATCTTGCTTTGTGTTCAGCAGAAGAAAGAAAATCTTCATTTTCGGGTGGAGTATCCCTTTAAGAGTTACTTTCACTGGAATTAAAGGGCCAAGCTTAACCCATGACAACCCCACACCATTATCATCCCTCAACCTTTATACTTGTCACAATGCAGTCAGGCAAGTACCATTTCTCCTGACAAATGCCAAACCCTGACTCGTCCATCAGATTGCCAGAGAGAGAGGCATGATTCGTCACTCCAGAGAACACGTCTCCACTGCTCTTGAGTCCAGCGGCGGCGTGCTTTACACCACTGCATCCAATGTTTTGCACTGCACTTAGTAATGTAAGGCTTGGATGCAGCTGCTCGGCCATGGAAGCCCATTCCATGAAGCTCTCTACACACTGTTCTTGAGCTAATCTGAAAGCCAAATGAAATTTGGAGGTCTGTAGCTATTGACTCTGTAGAAAGTTGGCAACTTCTCCTCACTGTGAGCCTCAGCCTCAGCATGCGCAAACCTCGCTTTGTGATTACGTGGCCTACCACTTTGTGGCTGAGTTGCTGTTGTTCTCAATTGCTTCCACTTTGTTATAATACCACTAACTGTTGACTGTAGAATATTTAGTAGTGAGGAAACTTCAAAAATGTTCACAGGAGGCAACCTATTATGGGACCACACTTGGACTCACTGAGCTCCTGAGAGAGACCTATTCTTTCTTAAATCTTTCTAGAAGCAGTATGCATGCCTATGTGCTTGATTTTATATGTGGCTAGGGGTTAAGAGCAAGGAGAGAGAGAGAGAGATGCTAACTAAGATAAGCAACCCGGGAGTTTGCATTAATAAAACTCTAATAAGATTTACAATGTAGATAACTATGCCACCTCAGGACTTTCATCCAAGGATGTAATACTCAACACAAGTTCATTCTTCCCAAGGAGGACCAAGACAGTTCTGACAATTAAAAGCAGTTTATTACATATTCTTTTCACATTGAGAAACAACACATTCACTAATAAATACCTTTCAGACATTTACCTCTTTATTAGGAAAAAGGTATTTTAAATAAATAAAACAGAGAAAAATAATAATAATACTGGGGTTAATCAAAGACACAAACAGGAATCCCTGACCCACCTTGTAACCACTCATTAGACTGCACCCACATGCTAGTGACCCTCACTACAAATACATTGAAGCAAATCCAAGTGTGTTGAAGACCACATCCCAAAAGCGGGTGGGCCAAATAGCCTAAAGCCAAAAACCCACAGCACTTAATTACAGGTTCCCTAAAAGAATACTCACAATACACAGTTTATATTTATACATAAGACAAAAGCAGAAATATATTTACAATAAAGACAAAACAGCAGCGTAGTCTGGGGCGTCTGCTGATTACACAGCTCTGGAGCTGGAAGCATGCTGTTAAACACGATCCCCAACCTACACACACTTACAGCAGTGAGATTCCCCGAAAAGAAATCATACTCACTGCGTCAGAACAACGTATAGACTATTTTGCAAGATGCAACAAAACTGGTCCAGAAGCACTTCCTGTTTCAGTTTTTTTAACACTACATAAAAGCTGGGATAAAATACAACCAACAGAACATATAAAACTGAATCAAGAAGTTAAGTCAAGTCAAGTCAAGTCACATTTATTTGTATAGCGCTTTTCACAATACAGATTGTATCAAAGCAGCTTCACAGTGATAACATGAAAGTAGTACAACACAGATCAACAACATTGCTAAACACTAAATAACCCTAAATAACCCCAACTGAGCAAGCTCAAAGCAAGCCAAAAGCAAGGCGACAGTGGCAAGGAACCAAACTCCATCAGATTGGATGGAGAAAAAACCTTGGGAGAACCCAGGCTCAGTCGGGGGCCAGTTCTCCTCTGGCTTACATTCATATTGTTTATATATAAATATTAAATATAAATATTGTTTATGTATAAAACGGCACCATAACATATCACAGGCGTTGAGTCGTCTCATCACAGGCGTTGGGGCATCCAAAATCCCTGTGAGAGGCTGGACACAGAACTGGACCTGACGAACGCCATTTTTCTCGGGACAAGCGTCCCGAGATAACAGCAGAAAGGCAGATGGGAAATAATTAGCATAGCTGATGTTCATAATGATTTCCATTATACGGGAGTCGGTGTTAGAAAACCCCTATCTCACAAACTCTCCGCAACCCAACCATACGCGCCGACAAAGTTAAACAAACATCTTTAAGATTTTTTCTTTACATGTGAAATAAAGAAAACCGTTACAAACTGAAACAGGAAGTGTTTCTGGACCAGTGTTGTTTACATCTTGCAAAATGGTCTATATAAAACCATTGTGTGATGCCACATGCTCTCACTGCACTGCAACAACTGTTGAATAGGCTTAGTTACACACCAATATTACCCACAAAATTAAATCACATGCCACTTTACACTCATCCACATACCAGAGATTGGAAAAATAAGTAACCCTACACTCAAAAATAAGTAAACTACACAACTCCTCGAAAATAGAAACATAGACATGGCAAAACACAAGCTCAGCTACCCATGCACCTTGCTTTTATTATAAGTGTAATCATGATAATGATTAAGCAGCGGTATCTGACAAAGCTGAGTCCATGGGGAAATTATTCCTATTCTCCACTGGGGGGAGTAATGGAGGACAATCCCCAATCTACTACATATACAGTACAACTGTTGTTATGGAAGTCATTGGAACACCTGAATGATTTGGAGGGGTGTCCCAATACATTTGGCAATATAGTGTATATATATTCTTAAACAACCTGCTGCTAATGCAAGACAATTCCATATTTCCATTTATGGACATAAAGGCACCCAACTCATTTTTTTTTTCAAGTCAAGTCACCTTTTATTTACAGTATATAGATACAATACAATACAGATTGTATCAAAGCAGCCAGCTTCACAGCGATTACATGGAAATAATACAACAAGTTTGTTTCTAGAAGAAAATTGCATCATCGTCCACCTGAAGTAAGACAGATCAATAATATTGTTGAATATTAAATGTCCCCAAACTAAGCAGTCCAAAAGCCAAGGCAACAGTGCCAAGGAACTAAACCTCCATCTGGAGACAGAACGGAGAAAAAAAATCTGGGGGCCAGTTCTCCTCTGGCCAACGAGCGAACAGTGTATGATTATGATTCAGGCAACATTACAGGCCAGAAGTCAGATTGGATCAGAACATTCACAATATTTATCCAGTTCCATCTGGTTGGAGGTCAAAGTCACGCCGGTATTGAGATGAGTTTGTTGAAGTTGAAGGCCTTCACAGGGCTGAAAAGGCTGGCACTTCAGGAATGTGTTTTGGTCGTGTCCAGGCGCAGGTTCATCGTCTGATCTGGATAAGACCCAGATCCGGCTGACTTCAGTAAACCTCGGAATAAATGTAAAGACTAACATTAGTGTGGATGCCGTTCTTCTTATAATGTAACGAGTACATGGGGTGTTGTAGGAAGTGTCCCCGGTTCTGGCTGACTTAATCTAAGCAGCCTAATAATCATTTATCTGATTTGAATGATTTCCATTACACGAGAGTAACTTCATGCTGATTTGTACTCAGCTTTCGCCAAGATAAGCAAAACTAAGACGTAGCTTTACAGTAAATATGCTTCTCCATCTATTTACGCTTCTTTCCATATGGTGGTGTGACTCCCCTTGGCGCGGCACACACGACGGCCGCAACTACAGTGTGCTCTCCCTAGTGGACCAGCACGACAACCGTCTTGATTGAGCCGAGTAGGGGACATCTCTAAGGTCTTCAAGTTGACTAGCCCACGACACCTCAAGAGGGCTCGACAGTGACTCTGGCGTCCCAGAGTCGCCCCCCTCCGTCCCCTACTCAACTCAGCCCAGCTTACTGAGCTCTACATTCCTCCTGCTGCTGAGCCCTAACCACAATCTCGCGCAACCCAACCATACGCGCCAACCCGTTTGACTAAGGCTGTCGAGCCCCACTGGTGCGTCAAAGCAGTTTCAATGGCAACGGTTCCGTATGGCATACTACCGCAAAACACAATATCCACCCAACCACCCGTCATTCACACAATATACACAGAAACGTAATGACTGTAAATACTATGCTTCCTATACAAATAAACCAACAGACTCCATTTCTTTCTAAAAAGGAACATAGTTGTGAGGATACTGCCTTTTCTTGGAATTTTGATTTCGGCCTGTAACTGACTAATTCTCTAGGATCAAGTTGCATTTTGTTTAATAAGAGGTTTAATAACAGCCAGCTTAACAAATTTCGGTACATATCCTAGTGAGAAAGACAAATGATATTAAGAGGGGATCTATAACCTCTGGAAGCATCTCTTTCAATAGCTTAGTCGGTATAGGCAGGGGCGGCTCGCCCATAGAGGGCGCTGGGGCGCCGCCCTCCCTCCGACCTGTCTGTCTGTTTTTTTTAATATATATTATAATTTATCATTTTGAAAAATAATCTTTGTTAATTATATGCTAATAATGGTTTTACTTTGAAAAGTGTTTTGAACTCACCAGAATGATATTTGCATTCACTTTCGTTACTTTTATCATGTTGGTGTAGTAGTATAGCCAATAGGCTGTCTTCTCAGGGCGCCAGTTCGCTCAGCCCCACAGTGCTGGAATTTAAGCCAATGGTTCCCCGGTTGCTATGCAAAAAAGTTTATATTTCGCCAATCAGCGCCGTCAAATTTTATGGTTTGGGGCGCTGAAAATATCGCCCACAGTATCAGATTAGGGGAGTGCACCGTGCACGCGCACCACGGGACATTTTTTTACCTCAGATGAGAGAAGAATGGCAGCGCCAGTGACGTCGAGTGGAAATAATGTAAAGTTAGTCGCTCTGTCACTCACTCACTCACTCACACACACATAAACACTGTTTCACACACATTTGATATTAAAATAGTTATAGGAATATTAATACCTGTGTGTTTGCTTTGTTTTTGATGTTTTTAAGTTCTGAGCTAGATTACTGTGTTTCATACTAGTTAAAATCAACTTTCTTCTCATACTTGGGTGTTACAATCAAGAATGTTGTCCCACCCTCTCTTTCAGAGCCTTTTCTCTCTCTCTTTCTCTAGTATCAACACATTGTTATCCATTATCCAATTGTCAATTTGTCAAAAATATGTAGTCTACAGCTGGGGATTGATTAAACTAGATTGTTGTATTACCTATTTTTTTTTTGTATTACCTATATTATAATTTATCAATATTATGCGTTTGCACTTTTTCTGTCAGCACACAGAGCATAATAAACATGCAACTTGTTCATTATCATTAACTGTCAAACTGTTATTATTATTATTGTATTATTTGACCATTGGTATTGACTGGTTTAAGTTATTTTATTGGTATAGGTAAGGGCATGGCCTAAGGCCTAAAATGCACCAGAATGCAGGAAATCACATCTACTAAATTCAAAATTTTCTGGGGGGGAACCCCCAGACCCCCCTCTTATTCAGCCCCCCCTACAATAATTTTCACCAGCCGCCACTGGGTATAGGGTCTAACATATGATGTCGATTTGTAGATGATTTAACGAGTTTAGAAAATTCTTCCTCTCCAGCAATGAATGAATGGAATTTTTCCTCAGTGAGACTACAATGCACTGTCTGATGCGATGCTGTAGTAGACGGTTGCATAGATATAATTTTCTCTCTAATATTATCAATCTTGTAAGTAAAGAAGTTCATGAAGTCATTACTGTTTGAAAACTTCCAGTGTTGTAGTTTTATTTTTCATTAATTTAGCTACTGTTTCGAATAAATACCTTGGATTGTGTTCGTTTTCTTCTAAGGGTGTTGAAAAAGCCTTTCTGTAAGCAGTCGTGCTCTCTCCATAAATGCAAAAGAACTTCTAGTTTTGTTTTCTTCCAGCTACGCTCCATTTTTCTGGCTGCTCTCTTAATGGGCCGAGTGTGCTTGTTGTACCACGGCGTTGAACTATTTTCTTTAATCTTCTTTAAGGGCAATGGAGCAATTGTGGATGGGAGTTACGTCCAATTTTAAATCTGCACCTATATGAAACCGCTCAGTAGGGAAGCTCAAATTCAAGATGCTCACAGTCAAGCAGATTGAGTCACAAATCAGATCCAAGGACTGGTTTGTCACAATAGATCTAAAGGATGCTTACTCCCACATTTCCATGCTTCCACAACACAGGAAGTTCCTGATGTTTGCCTTCGGGGGCGAGGCATACCAGTACAGGGTTCTTCTGTTTGGCCTAGCTTTATCTCCCCGCACTTTCACGAAATGGATATGGATGCAGCGCTAGTGCCTCTGAGGCCAGCTACTCACTGTAAAGCAGTTTCAGAGACTGTTGGATCTGATGGCAGCAGCGTCCAATGTTTTACCTTGTCATGTAACCACAGTGGTGGCTCAGGACCAAGGGATTCTCCCCAAGGGGAAATCCACTCTGCACGATCAAATTCACGTGGCGCTGCCTTCGTGCTCTGGTCATGTGGAAAGAAACTTGGTTCCTGTCCAATGCTAACGACGGATGCTTCCCTTACGGGGTGGGGGGCGGTAATGAGCGGTCGTCCAGCCCAAGTTCTGTGGGGTTCGTGCGTATTATACGGCAAAAAGTCCATATCATATGCACACGAAAAACGCGTACCATATACACGCAAAAACTGTTTTTGGCGTATAAATGCCACGAGAAATGACATTCGTGCTATAGATACGAACTTTCATGAGATCGGGCTCGCCCCACTGGGGTTAGACCCTATGGTACAGCCGTGGCCGAGGTCACATCTGTACGCCTTTCCCCTGACTGCTCTGCTCTTAACTGACCGGCCCATTATCTACATGGATATTAAAACGACCATCAATTCGGACTTTGTCTAGAGCCAGTACTAACTCTGAAAGAAAATCAGCAAATTCTTTGATAAAATCTGAATTGTGCCCTGGGTGCATACACTTGCCAGCACAAAAGTCAAACAGGATTTATCATTTACACTACATAACATTACAGAAAGCACCATCACTTCAAATGAATTAAACTACATTTCTGGGTAATACTGAAGATATTGCTATGAATGATAGCAATACCTCCCCCTTTTCCTTTAAAACAAGCCTCATGTTTATAGTTGCGGGGTGGACTTAATTAAAGCAATGTATTTTTTATTTGATTTGATTTATTAGACAGTAAAATAAAAATAAAATAAATGCATAACAAGATGCCATCAAAATGACAGTATACATTTATCAGAACTGGCGAGGATAACACATTAAATTTACAAAACTTATTTCCATTGTGGTCCTCGTTGTAGTCTAATAAAGATGGCAAGCAAGCTACAGATGACTCAAGGGTACCTTGTATAAACCAAAATAAACACAAATACATACACATCAAGATAAATACTCCTTAGGACTACATAAAAACTAAGTCTAATTAGCATTTAGCAACCATTCGCCATATCACATGCTTGATTAAAACAGCAATCTGACTGGCTTAACTTAATCTCAACAGGGAATTTGTTCCATTCCATTGCTGTCATGTACAAAAACCCAGCACATCTAGGTTATGGTCGGTAATCATATCATTAACAAAAAGTGCTTTTTAGCTTTATCATTTGTTCATCTGCATTATATTTGTTTTTTATTTATTGAACATCAATTACATTTTTAAATGGGTTTTGGGGAACAGACAGTCTCTATTTGATGATAGGTGAAAGAGCCAGAGCCTGACGTGAGACCGCTAGCAGACAGTCGGTTTAGCTAGTTCCTGACCTGAGCCTCATGTTTAAATGCTTTTCTAGGCTGTGAATATACAAATAGCTTTCAACTATACATGTAGATCAATGTTAAAATGGGATTGTATTTCTTGTTGAATGCAATAAGGACATAATAAAATTAATTTATTAATTTATTTATTTACCAATCATAAGTAATTAAATCACAAATGTAATTAACATGCGATTAAAACTGTAAGCTGTACACGAGTAGATAGCTGTATGAGGACACAGACAGCAGATGAGAATGCAGCAGCATTCAGACTGTGGACTCTCAGTAAACATAAAGTTAGTCATTAACACACTTTAAACATCACATTCTCCATTCCTGTTCCATTCTTATTGTTCAAAATGTAAGTAAGCATTTTTATATAATTATTTTATATTTTATTATATATAATTATTGAGGCTTAGTTAAGTCTTGCAGTCATGACGTTTCAGTGGTGGATATTAATGAACTCGCAAATATAATTCCTATTAGGATTTATCTCAGCCACCATTATTTGTTCAGCGAAAGGTTTGTTGGAGTTCAGTTAACTAAAGGCTGTTTGTGTTGTGCTGTCCTGTTGGATTAGAGACAAAGCAGAATGACAAAATTGAGCAGAGACTAATTCAAGCTAAAACATTTCAAAGTTTTTGTTTCATGTGTTTTCGAATGTAGTTCTCATCTGAGGACAAATCTGGCCTCTAACTATCCTGCTCATATTTTGGAATACGGTAAGAATGATTTTTCTCTGTAATTGACAGTCACTCTTCTGAATGTGAGTTATTATCCACATATCTCTATCCAAACTATCTGTTTAACTCTACTTCAGGTATAGTTTTAGATTTCTGTCTTGCTTTATTTACAGGGTCTGTTGCCATAATGAGGAGCCTCTTCCTCTGTATCTCAGTGCTGGTTGTAATGTGGTCTGATTGGGCTCTTTGCAAGTCAGGTATGAGGTCAATATCACTTATTGCAAAGCGTATGTATTATTCTTATGAATTTGTTAAAAGCTGGTGACCTTTTGAAAATGTAAACATTTAGGGGAAATATTTGTGCCACATTAGAACATTACATATTGCCACATAATAAGTGCATACTCATCATGTTTGTGCCATTACCTGATTACGCATAACTTGTGCAAATAAATGGCGGCACATCAGTGGGCACAATAAATTCTAAGTGAATTACCCTGTTAATAAAAATTAAGAAATAAAACAATTCAATAAAATGATTTGTAGCACGCAAGACAAAGTAAAGTAAAGCATTCAGCTTAAAAGTAATTTGGAAACCCACTCCAAGTGCTTTGCACATTAACCCTGTGGTCATCTTGGTCAGTATTTTTTAACAGCCCAAAAGCACACATGCTCCTGCGGTCGAGAAGAGCCAACACTTTTATGGAGGAAGTAAAGGCCCCTTCATTGGAGCGGGAGTGTAGGGAGGAACTGTGCGATTTTGAAGAAGCGAGGGAAATCTTTAAGACGAGGGAGGCCACGGTTGGTAATGTCAGCTTTTATCTACATTTCCCCCCCTAAGTTGTGATCCACTGACTAATTTTTTGTCTTGCAATTTTTTACCTCCTCGGAATGGTACGAATTGTCTTGTAGTTGGAATTCTGGACAGCGTATAAAGGTTGGTTAAGTCTGTGTTGTGGAATAGCTTTCTAGGGCATCATAACTGGTGGCACTCATTAGGTGTTCTGTACCCTTAGATGGAAACCAGTGTGACTCGAATCCATGTGTTCATGGGCAGTGTGTGGATCTGTTACAGGATTACTCCTGCACCTGCAACTCTGGATTTGAAGGGAGACGATGTGACCTACGTGAGGCTCTTGCTTTCTTAATCCCTCTTGTGCTTTTCAGACCATTTTTGACCAAAGCATTTAGCATTTTTTTTTTCCTTTCTAAAATTTTTTACCCTCTGAATGGTAAAATGCTCAAAAAGTGGTTATCAGGTAATAAATGGATTATAACTACAGCATAAATATAATTTTATACCCTAAAATCCCCTGAAAATATTGAATAAAAAAAAATTAAACAATTAAACTACAATATAGTTCATTAATTTCACTGGGGAAAAAAGTCAGTCATTTTTGACGACCACATTATTATGTTAAATAAATAAGTACATTTTACATGTTCAAAGTTCTATCCATTGGTCAAAATGTACAATTTAAATTTACATAATTTGATCTGTGACACAGCTTTCGTCCACGGTTTGAACCACGAAGAAGAAACGTAAAAAAAAACAAAGGCAGTATTTCAAACTGAGTAGCAGCGTAACAGTGTGCAAACACCAGACAATGAACAGAAAGCACCGAAGATCTTAAATACACAAGATGACAAACTAAATGCAAACAGGTTAAGTCAAGTCAAGTCATCTTCAATTATATGGTGCTTTTAACCACACTAAAAAAAAAAAAGTTGAGAAAACTGAAATGTTTAAGGCAACCAGCTGCAGGACATTTTTGAGTTTTTTTGAGTACAAACATTTTCATGTTAAATTGTTGAATAAACTTTAAAATCAGAATTTGTCAAACAAAATGTAAGTTGGATTTTTTTGTAGATTATTCCAAAGCTGCTTTACTGTGATAATAGGAAATAAGTAACAGATTGTTTTGGCTTTATGACAGCTCTAGAATAAAGTTATTTTTAAAGTGTAGCTGACCTAATTTATGTAGCCTAAAATTTAATTATAGAAGTCTATAGTGTGTTACATGTATGCTAGTTCAAAGAGATGTGTTTTTCGTCTAGCTTTGAACTGACAGAGTGTGTCTGCTTCCCGGACAATATTAGGGAGACTGTTCCAAAGTTTTGGTGCTAAATAGTAAAAGGATCAACCGCCTGCAGTTGATTTGGATATTCTATCAAATCTAATTAATCATTTAATGAATAACCATGGGAACTAACTAGTGGTGGGAAAATGAGAACAAAGGAAAACTAACCAGAGAACTAAGGCTGGTAGAACAGAACACAGTGAAAATGACACTAAGAATAAACTCTGCGAAGCAGATGTTTATTCTACGATAACAACTGTCTGGATGTACATTATCCTGTACATTATCCTTATTACTTGCCACATAAGTAAATAATTAGACACAAAATATTGACTTGAGTTAAAGTATTTGACTTCGGATACCTTGATGAGCCTGTGTTATCAGTTTTTACCAGTTGTTATTGGAGAATAAAATACAGGTAGATGGTGTGATTGACCAATCAGAATCAAGTATTCCACTGAGCCATGTAATAGATATAAACATACTTCCCCAGTTGATTAATCACAATAAATTAGGACATTTGTTTTGTATTACAAGTTTTCGGAAATGTTATGTTAAATATGCAAACGAGGCATTGTGTAATTAAATATGAACTTATATTGCAAGACAGGTTCAAAACGTCTTGGTTAAGACTGTGACCTCTGTTCTCTGAGACACAGTGATCAATGACACTACTAGTGTATACCCAGAAGTATACAAGGGGTGCCCAGAGAACATGTCATCCACTTATTGTCTGAAGGGACTGTTCAGCAGGCATGGTGAACGAAGAAGTGTCTGGTTCCCTAATCTCAGGGAACAGAGGTTACAGTCGTTCCTTTTCGAAAGTGAACTCGCACTGTGTTGATGGAGCTATGGGGAACGTACAATCCCACCATTCTGAGGGGAGTGCATGTCAATAATGGCGTCAGAAATGGCAGTTATTTTCACAGAAAATGCCAAGAATCACTCTCCCTTTGGGTCACATACAGGCTGTCAGGGACATTATTCCCTAAGGTCACTGCCCAAGCGATGAGCCTTAAAGTGGCCTCCGAACAAGGGAAGGCCTACCAAAGCTGCTCAAAGGCTTGGAACCAACAGCTTCCATGGAAGGGTTTCCTATAAGGGAATATGGCCAGGGGGTCCGAAAGGAGTCCTGTACAGTCACTTTCTGGGGGGAACATAAAGTCAACTCCACATGCCAACAGGGAGCCAAATTACTGAGCTAGTCTTTCCTAAAACCTTTCCTAAACAGAGTCTCACAAAATCCAATAGGGAAAAACTGCAATTAATGGCAAATGAGGGGAGGGACTCAATCCTGGATCTACACAGTGCTCCAAAGCCCTGTGGAGGCTGGACACTCTAAAGGGACCCTAATAAGGGGGGGGGGGGCCTTCAGCTCTTGGGCTAACAGGGAGGCCTCGTGAGAGTTCTTCGACCTTCCGACCAGACTTAGGGATTTAAGTATTCAAACAGAGCAATCAACAGATATATTCTGGAACACTATGCTCAAACCTGATAAGTACTGACCAGTCTCTGGGCTAAAATTAGGGAGGCTCCATGGGGCCTGCAACATGATACTTAATGCCTTTGCAATGCTAAGCATCCAACTCGCCTTCAAGGAGGCCTGACGTAAACTACTGCTCTAGTAGAACTAGAACTACTGCTCTAGTATAAGTTGGCCTGACGTGGCCAACGCTTGATTTTGTAGTTTTATCTGGAGCTTGACAGAGCGGTGGCCTCAGTACAAAAACTCCTGACAGGGAGGAAGGCATCTCACACAGAAATGTCTGTTTTGATGCTCGGATGAACGGTGGCCTGAATAGAAATTTTTCAAGACCAACCTGTTCACTACCACAGATTGGCACTTCCGACTATACAAGCCTGACGACTCTAAATCAGAAGAGGCCTATGGGAAGAGTATGCATAGCCTACCTACAAGTATACTGTATGGAAACTTCAGGGTCCTATTTAAACTTCTATAAAAACCCTATCAAACAGGTCAACTATTCAACCTTACTAGAAAACTCTTGTAAAGGGAGGATACCTACAGAGCTCAACCTGCTGCCCGTAGATTGATGGCCTAAACGACATTCACAAAATGGAGGCCTATCACCATAAAGAGACGAGAGATGGATAGACGAGGTGAGAGAAAAGGAGATGGAAGCATAAGGAGCGACAGATACGAGAGAGGGGAGAGAAGAAAAAAACGAAATCTTGGTCCGGTTCCTGCCATCTGGTGCTCCACCAGCAGGGTGATTTTCTCCGCGATGCCTGGCGGTGGTGCTGGATAGCTCTCGGTGGGCGGCTCGACACTCCTCTGCTGCCTGGTGGACAGCGACGGCTTCTCCGGACACAGGCAGTCGGCAGGAGTCACCCGTTCTATGCTCCTCCCCATCATGGCGGAAAACAGCAGGCTCTGACCTCAGGCAAACGGCGGCGACTCCTCCGCTCCCTCACGGACAGCAGCCGCCCCTCCAGGACCCAGCCGGCCGGCAATAAGCTCATCCGTCCCCCTGGCAACTCACTCCAGCACACCGCCTCGAGCGTCCATGGTGAAGGACTCTGCTCAACCATGCTCGATAGCACCGCAGATTCCCCACAACGGCAAGGACTCTTTGACAGCACATTCCTCCTTCTTCCCGGGTTTTGGGACCAGTGTAATGAGATGTTGTGGGAAGAAGGAGGTGGGAACCGGCGAACATTCAACAGTCTTTAATACAATAAATAAAATAAATTCAAAACGAAAGTAAAAGACAGCAGCCCCCCCACGGACGACTGCTGTCACATATATCAAAATAAAACACAACATAAATCCAGGCCTGGTCTCTCTCACTCCTCAATGTCATGATCCTATTGGTATGCTTCCGCTCCTCCGTGAGGGATACGACACTGTTGCGTCGCACAGGTATCGCTCATTATTAGTCACCCCTCTCTCACGGCCCCAAAAGATATATAAAGATATATAAATAAATAAATCGCCATGTTTTGTGGAATAAAATGTTATAAAAATCAGGTGAATGAAAAAAAAAACACTCTTTAAAAACTTTCTGAATATAGATATGAATACAACTGGCGTATGCAGGCTAAGTGTTATACATGCAGTGAGGAAAAAAAATAATTTTGAGAAAGATATGCACTGTATTTAAAGTCTGTACAATGCATAGATAAATAGATATAAGTAAACAGATAAATAGAATAAATAGCTAAACAAAAAATACTCTAAAATTAATGGTTTTGCCTGCAGTCTTCAATTAAATTTGATTTGTAATTCCAGATTTTCAATCATTTTGAAATGCATTGTCTCTTTAAATACATGTTGCAGCATAACTAATGATAATTTATGTGATTTGATATTTGAGCTACACTGTCAACCACAATTGACAGCTGCAAATGAATCTCTTTGGCCTTACTGCACTTTTGTCTGCTTGGTCAGTGTTTTTTGATATGCTGTGTCACAGCTGATTTGGGGCATTTAATAGTGGACATCTTGAGTTAAAGAGCAGGTGTGTGTTGAGGTCATGGTGATAAATGTCCTGACAGCAGTTCTGTGGTTTTGTCCTCAGCAAGGACAGCCTCTAACTGCTCTGTGAACAATGGGGATTGTGATCATGAATGCCACGAGAGAGAGGATGGTCTTGCTCGCACGTGCAGTTGTATTGAAGGATACCAACTCCAAGACAACTCTAGAAAATGTACTCCCAAAAGTAAGTTACCTCAACAAAATGCACAAATACAAACTATACAGACACTGGTGATTTTGTATCCACAATGCACATTTGCATTTGTACTCAAGATTGTACTTTAGGAATTTTAATTGATATAATTAGAAATACCCACTAATGAATAATACTGGGAAGGACTCTGAAGAGAAATCTGAAGAGAAATCTCATCTTGAGAAAAAAGTGCTTTGACCCTTAATAATAATTATTTTCTAAAGCCATTTGACAAAATGAATTATGGTCTATGCATTTTTTAATATACAGATGAAGCTTCATGTGGCCAGATTCGGATTGTAAAGTCATTCTATAAAAATAAGCCTTTAGTAGGTTTACAGCCATGGGTCGTAGGAGGTACAGTTGGCAAAAAGGGAGAGAGTCCCTGGCAGGTAGGCTATTTGTGATTCATTCAATACGTGTGTAATCATAAAAGAGACAAATGTTTTATTAGAGCTGACAGATGTCATATTTTATTCCAATACTCAGCCAGAACATATTTTGTGCTTCACTGTATAAACAATAATGTGTTTTGCAGGCTCTTATACTAAATAATCAAGGCAAGTTTCACTGTGGTGGAGTTCTGATTGACGAAAACTGGGTTCTCACTGCTGCTCACTGCCTAGAGACAAGTACAAGGTTCAGTGTCAGATTGGGTATGTGATGCAATTTGAAGTATTTTTTATCCTCCCATAGATTTACATTTTTAGAAGATGCACTACTATAGCAGTGAGAGATGTTGTTTATTAAGCCTCAGAAGTTAAAAGAAATGCCAAAGTACAAGAAATTTGTTACAGAGTCTATACAATGTTAAAGTATAGTTCACCCAAAAATGAAAATTCTGTGAATCATTTTACTCACCCTCAATTTCTTCCAAACCAGTATGATTTTTTCTTCTGCTGAACACAAATGGATATTGGATATTTTAAAGACTGTTTGTAACCAAACAGTTGATGGACCCAATTGACTTACATAGTATGGGGGGGAAATACTATGGAAGTGAATGTGGCCAATCAACTGTTTGCATAATTTTAAAATAATGACAGGATTTTTAATTTTGGGGTGAACTATCCATTTATATTTTATTATCACATAAAATGTCCCAACTACTTGACGGATAGCACTGAAAAAAGTGTCCTGAGAAATCCCACTTTGTTTCTGTTGCAGTCCTAATCTCTGTAAAAAACCAAACCTTTTTAACCAGTCAGAAAAAGTGTCCATCCATAAACACCTTAAAGCTTTGAATAATAATTGTACACCTTCAGGTTCCCGGGTGTCTTTGGAGAATGTGTGATTGGAAATATGGGTGAGAGGTGGTCTATTTCAATGGCTAAGTCGGGAGAATTTCACCCATTTCAACATTAATCTTTATTGAAAGTGGATCATATATGTATATGTGCTCTCGCTGCATGCTATGACAGTCCATAGCACGCAGCGAGAGCACATGCACAGCAGTCCGCCTCAGCTCGAGCCATTCCGGTCTCCTCGACCGCAACAAGCAGCCGCCTCCTGCTCGCAGTTTCAGAACTAAACAGAACCATATCATGTTTAGTTTCTTCCGTCATTGTCATACTTCCTATCTCCACAGCACTTGTTAGCTTAGCTTCCAAACACAAGATGGCTGATATTGATTCATTATCTGCAAGTGAAGTCACACCCACTGATCTGTAATAGGCCTGTAGGGTGAGTGGGTCCCACACCCTTGAATAATAATGAGCTAATCTTTGTAGTCTCTACAGATTCCAATGAAAAATGACTTCCTGCTTATTATGATGCAAAATTACTATTTTTACATCATAATAAGCAGGAAGTAAAACACTTAAATCCTTATTTCTCCCATCTCAGGGGAAAATAAGGGAATAAACCATGACCATTTAAAAATCTGACTGGGTTTCTAAAGATAATGCAAATGGGTGAAGTGTCCCTTTAATGAAAAGAATTATCATGAGCTCTGTCATGGACACTAGCATGTATGCCATCTTCTGGCAAGACACAGGAATTCATTTGGTGCAACCGTCACAGTGCATAATGGGTATTCTACAGCCATTTACAGTACATTAGTTGAATGCTTGTTATTGCGGTGCATTATGGGACTGAATGAGTGCACTCGATAACATCCACTATGGTTTCGGACGCCACTACAAATGGCTGTCCCCTCAAATAGTGCCATATTTAAGGCTAAAGGGGGAGAAACTTCCAAGACAGGTGTTAAAAAAAAAATATTTCAAGGCTTTTGCATTCTCTCACAAAAGTTCAGCCGTCCCACAAGGAACTTTGCGTTCTCTCGCAATTAATTTGGAGTTTCCCCCAAAAAAAATCACATTGACTTGCAAAGAACACAAAAGATTTGTGAACCTTTGTGAACGTTTCTCAGGGAAACGCAAACACTTTGCGAATTGTGAAGCTTGTATTGTTGTTAATACTTTAATATGAATTATTAAAAAGTTTATTAGTGTAAATTTGTCTAAATAATCTTAACCAAGTGGGATGGCCGTCTCTGCAGGTGACTATGACCGGTTAAGGAAGGAAAATACTGAGATGACCCTTCCTGTCAAACAACCAATCTCCCACCCTGAATACAACCCTTATACAGTGGACAATGACATAGCTCTGTTGCGCTTGGCTACACCAGCCACATTTTCCACATACATACTCCCAGCATGCCTCCCCAGTCAGGAGCTGGCAGAACGAATGCTGCATCGCAACGGTACCATAACGGTCGTCACTGGCTGGGGGAAGGACAACGAGACTGCTAATCATTTCAGTTCAACTCTCAACTTCATTGAAATTCCTATTATGGACAAAAACGAGTGTTCAAGGCATATGATGAACAACCTCACTCAGAACATGCTATGTGGGGGAGTGCTGGGACAGAACAAAGATGCTTGTGAGGGGGACAGCGGGGGTCCAATGATGACACTCTTTCACGACACATGGTTCCTCGTAGGTCTGGTGTCCTGGGGAGAAGGCTGTGGGCAAAGAGACAAGCTTGGCATCTACACCAAAGTGTCTGGCTATTTGGATTGGATAAACAGTGTTCGTCAGGGGTGGGATAAAGTCTAGCCTATACCCTGTTCTGCATATCATAGAAAACATAAACATGAATCGGAAACAAATCAATGTACTCACTACAGTTATTCCGATATAGAGATTGGCAGTTAATAAACACATAAATGCAAGAGGCTCTTATTTTCCTGTTATCTGCATGTTTAAGGAAATCAAGCTGTAAGTCAAATGAGGAGTTCAACTAAACAAATGTTACATATTATGTGTTTTAATGAGTATATAAAAGTAGCACACACTTGCAAAGTCTTGTTATTTGATTCCTTTATAAAAGAAACATGTATAATAAGAGGGATTAATATATTATTTGAGACATTCTAAAATACAGTACAGTAGATTTGTTTATGATTTAAGAAATTGTAAAGGACGGCAATTTATATTTAGTTTTTAACTTAGTTTTAAAGTGAAAGAGCACAGTATACAATCACCCCAGAAAACAACATGCACTGGAGACATTCCTGAGTATGGAGAGTAACAGATACTAAAGGGCCCGTTTACACAACACCGTTTTCAACTAAAACGGGAACTTTTATGCGTTTTGGCCATTTATGTAAAAGGCAACTGCGTATTGGGATCCTGACCTGAAAACGCTTATCCTTTGACGTCATGCGCATGTAGTGACATCGCCATCTACTGGCCTGGCATGAATACAGCGTTTTTAATCGTTTTCGTGGATCCGTTGAAAGGGGATCGTTTTGACAAAGTTGTTGTCTGTACTCGTAACTTTTCAAAAGTGCAAAGGATAAACTTTTCAGTTTTTAGTACATCGCTGTCGTGTAAACAAACCCTAACCTAATTCCTATTCAAAACAAAATCATAGCGGGCAAATGCATATTGGATAGAAAAAGGAAGCTGAGAAAATAAAGACAAACATCCTTTTTAAATGAACAGACCTCTAAAAAACTGTCCCTGGGGGTGGTTTTTTTTTTTTGGTTGTTTTGGTCTAAAAAGCACGCACAATTACATATGACATTATTTAAATATTTCACTTTAATTGCATCTATGAAAAATAAATAAAATCATACTGAGATAACAGTTAGCAGAAGAAATTTGCAGGTTTTCTATGTTTATTAAAGGGCAGAAAAGTCTAGAAAAGGACCCTCCAAAGAGCCTTAATCCAGCTAAAATAATCGAACTTTACTTTTTTTCAAACAACCATTCTGTTGGACAAAATGTAGGCTATGATGATTATATTTCTTAATATTTTATATTATTTTATAAATTACATAATCTCTAATTAATAAACAGATGATAGCCTACTCATACTGGAAGGAAGGTATATGAACCTGAGGATTTTTATGTAATTCTAAAAAGTAATATACAATAGTTACATTTAAAATTAAAAAATGCAAATAAATTTCAAAACCTGAGCAGAATAATTTAAGGCACATATCCCTTATTTAAAGAGATTCATAATATTCAGCAAGCTTTAACAGTGAAGTGTCTAAGGCCTTAACTATATTCAAGCAACAGGTCTAATATTAACAACGACAACAAAAAAGGTTGAGAACGTAGTGTCAGAAAATGTTGGTAATGAAGTTAAAAAGGAGAAGGGTTAGATGACCTCCTGATCTTCAGCTCCTGTTCATATCGCTCCAGCTGAGTCCAAAATCCCGGGTTAGGCTCAACAACAGATCGGGCATTTTTTACTACCTGGTAGAACAAATAAGAATTACAGAAAAGTTAAACAACACTATATTCTGGCACAAAAATCTTGAATGTTGTGGTTTTCCATTATCAATTGGGCTACCAGTAACAATGATTATGATGATGAGTTGATGTCCTGTGGATGGATGCCTTTATTTTGTTGGAGCAAATTATACTTGTATATTATAAAAAACAAAAAAATATCAATAACAATCATTCCATGGAAAAATCAAGGATGAAATATCTACTAAAAAATAATCCTTAATATATATTTAAAAAAAACAAAAACAAAACATACTGCACATATCCTGACTAGAATTGTTTGCTATCAGAATGAAACACTATACCTGGAAGGCATCTGTTAGGCTGAGACCCTGGTGCTTCATTAAATAGGCCACACAGACAGTAGCTGAACGACTGCGTCCATTCTTACAGTACACAACGGTCCGGCCTCCCCTTTCTGCCTCGCTTGCTATGGCATCAGCACAGCGATCAAAATACTTGTACAGGTCTTCATTAGGGTCATCATAGACGGGCACACGCAAAGTGCTGACCCGCATTGTGGTAAAGGGTTGCTGCTTTGACACATTGATACAGAAAGTGACCGCCTCCTTCTGGATGAGATCATTGTTGCAGGCTGACTGGGCATTGCTGATTAGCAAACAGTCTGTAACTAGGCTCAACTGTAGCATTTCTTGCTATATGGTGCCTGCATGTATGTGATGTGACTATATGTTTGTGCATGTATCTTGAAGAAACGTCATAAGTTATGAATGACTATCATCAACTAACATTGTTTTATATACTAAGCTCAGTGAAGACTAGTGTTATTATAACAGAGGTAGATGCATATGTCAGATATTAGAGTATTTTATATATAGCTAAATGCATCAGCAAGGAGATTGGTCAGATGTTTCACCCTAATGCCATTTCTAATGCCAAGTCTGGTGAGCTGTTGATTCAAACAGAGAGGAGAGAGAACAATGTCTGTTTAGAACAAACACATGCAAATGTAATATAATAAATGGAACAACAATTTTGTAAAGCAACCTAAATGTACACTGCATTTAAAATGTTAACTGGGCATGCTCGAACACCATGTTTAATAGCAGTGAAATGCTCAGCCTTCCACTCTCTTTCAAAACACTACATTAACATTAAAATCATATTAAGAAAGCATTCTGACCTGCAGATTGAGCGTAGGGATGATCCTCGAAGCGGATGTGTCGGTCAGGAACTCATCATCCTCCATCACAAAAGTCTCTATGGCAGAGAAAACAACAACGTGCAGTGATCTCACATGCAGCTGACTGACCCCGCCCATTGAACTCTCTATCTTCGCTGTCCTCTCGCTCTGACCACTGTGGGGTTAAAAATAGATCAGTTACTTGAAATCTAAACTTGCTAGACAACCAACTGAACCAGATTATGCCTGTTCTGCTTACGTTTTGTCAATGAAAACAGTCCGGAAAAAAAATCTATATTTAAATAATAAATTTTTATTCCCAGTTGTACCTCATTTGTTTTATACTGAGATTAAAATAAATAAATAAATAAATAAATAAATAAATAAATAAATAAATAAATAAATAAATAAATAAAGGGCTTTTCTGTTTATTTATAGTAATCTGATCTGATCATAGCGCCACCCAATGGACTGTGTGCCACCCAATGGACACGAATTTAAAGAAATAGTTTCCCTTTCATTGTCATTGAAGGAAAAACCTTCTCATTGTTCATTTTATTATTATTTTTTAACTGAATAAATGCGTTTAAAACGACCTGGTAGTGAGTAGATGATGACAGAATTATTTTTTTGGGGTTAACTACCCACATAAACAAAGAAATAACTAAATAAATAGTCAAAAATAGGTAGTCGAAGTACAAATAGAGGTACTTATTATAAATAATGGGTAGAGAGCGTATGTGTGTTTTTAAATGTGTGTGTGTGTGTGTGTGTGTGTGTGTGTGTGTGTACACTCTACGCAGATTATTTATAATAAGTACCTCTATTCGTTCATAAATAACGGGTTATTAGTATTTAGTAAGCTGTTTAATTAGCGTTTAGTAATAATCTGATGTATTTTTATTATACGGAGTAAACAACGCATTGCTCTCCACCGCGTTTGACTCATAGACAGTAAAGGTTTGACCATAGGGTTTGACTGACGGCCAAATTAATTTACTGCTCTGACAAACATGCCGTGACGCAGTTCTCCCGCCGATACGTCTGACGTCATGACGTTGTTTCGGAGTTCAAAGCGACGCGAATGAGAGGAAGCCTCGAGATGGAGGCAGGGGGGGCAATTTAATGCAAAAAATATAAAATTTACGCGTACTTTGAAGACAGTTGACATTTCATTTTCAGAAAGAGAGACTACAACAGTCTCCACAAGGAAGAGTCGTGTGTTAAATTTAGATATATAGACTCAGTCAGCACTGGATATTTTGGGTGAGTTTCTCAAGTATTGACCGGGCGCCATTTAAACACGCTTTGCGGGACACAGGGAAGAAATAACCGCTCTCAGCCACACAATTATCCGCTTCAGTGGATACATTCTGCTCTCAAATAAACGTTTTTTAAAAAAGGAGATTCTATTCTCATTTTGGTAGACGGCGGAAATGTGCCGTGTTTGTGAGGGCCCGTGGTAGCGTCAGGTATTGTGTTAGCAGCTGGCTAACGGCTAACCGCTAACAGACCTCGAACTGAAGAGACATTTACGACCTCAAACAAGAGATTACAGGTATAAATTATGCATCAACCGACAATTTACGTTTTTGTTTTAGTTTCTGCATTTAAGAGATACATGTCTTTAATACTTAAGATTTGTTGGCTTTGAATTTGTTTGTAATTGAGTTCTGCATTATTACATCAATGCGGGATGTAACGCCACCTAAAGAAAACACATGCAACTAACTTAAAAAATGTTTTACTGGTGTTCACAAACAACACGTCAATGTTACCCACATGACTGAAGATTTTCTAACATTTACATTGCTTTAAGTCGACTCGGAATCTATTTGCGAAAAAGCCATTGGATGGACAAAATTCGTTCCTACTAACTTACTGCTAAAGTGTACTCTTACTAATTATTTGAACATATATATTTAAATATAATCAATCACGCATACATAAAGCATCCATATTATCATGCATCAAAATACACATTTAGTCACAGACAATGTTCTGACTTTTATTCTGTTAAACGTATTATTTTTTTTCCCATTTACATTTCTGGTAATTTACTTTGTTCAGAAGAACTGTTTTTTTTTTTGATTGTATGTGTAGTGCCTGTAGTGTGTATAATAATACACTGGATGATGCACAATATGCTGTATGAATTTCTTGGTCTCTGTGAGGGTGAAATAAAATATGTTTTTCAAAAATTAATCATTTGCACATGCTCTAAGCTGGTTAGGGTACTCCGGGACAGTGCTTTGCCAATGCTATTGGTTCAGGATGCAGATTTTACATTAGATATCAAGGGGTGACACAACACACTGGGGAAGTTTATTTTTTATTTTCAAACCTAAACATTTACTTTGTGAAAACCTCAACCAGCATAATAATTTCACTAGTATCTACCAAATGACAGATTAATTTGCCCTGAAAGAATATAACTGGTGACCCACCAGTTGAGAATAACTGCCAAAGACAATAAAGGGGTCCAGAATGGGATTGGGCTTAAGGCATCTTGACCACTGCACAATTTTATTGAAACAAAATTATAGTCTTCTTTAATATAATTAAATAATATTTTATAATTAAGTATTTGTTAAGATTCTTTTTTTCTCAGAAACCTGTTCATTGACATCAGCGGTATTATTCACTCTTTTAACAGAGCAGTTTTAACAGTCCATTTGACTTACAGTAGCTACTTGACCTCGGTCAGCTCTGATGGCATCTAAACAGGTTACCAAAGGTGTTTGTATTGATAAAAGTAATCCATTTTGTATCTCTTTATTGTATGAGTGAGTTGCATCAAGAAACTGACCTCTTTTACAAATGTGGCATTAGGAACTCAAACATAAGTTACAGAATGCAATGTTTGTTTGCATTTTAGGTTTTAAGAATAAGTACTCGCCAACATTGGTACAAAGCTTTTTGCAGTCACACTATGTATTTATTACATGCTAATTACAACTGAAGTATTTACAAAAAATCTATTTCTGGTGCTATTGGGATAATTAAGTATAAGTAATTTAGTTTATTTTTTGCAATGAAATATCCTACCTGGGAGTCGAGCCTCTTAGCTACCTTTGATTCCATAAAACACTGATCCAATGCCATCTTTGTGTGTACACTGTTGTTTATTATTATTGGAAATTTAGTGGAATAGGCACTACTACTATTTAGACCTTTTCATTGATCACAATGGTTTTAACTGGAGGATGTTTTTAATGAGAGTTGAAAGAAGGATAACTATTAATACTGTGATCTTCTAGGATTTTTCTCTTTGTGCTGCTTTCTTAAAAGTTGAAATGGGTAACTGTCCGTTTTCACCTGTGTTTAAGTTATGCATTAATATCTGTTTTAGATGCTGCCCTATTTTATTCATGGTTAAGTTCATTTTGAGCATGGAGTGTTTTTCCAGATACTCAGTACCAACAAACATTGATGTTAGTTCTCTGACATGTTAAATAAGTAGAATTATCCTGCCCTGGAAAAGGTTTCTAAAATTAACCTGGGGTTGCTTTGAAATCACTTGCACCATGCCATAGCTTGGATTTGGAAGTCAATTTATAATTACGTTAATTTCTTTGTATTGATTACAAAGTCTTTACCCTATTGTGTGTACTGATGTCTATCTTCACTTAATTACTCTGTTTATTCTTTCCGAATACTCTTTTCACATCCTGAAGAACCATATTGATTGATTGCAGTATCTACTTTATGTTGTTGTTGCTTAAGTTGTGACATGTAGTTCACATTTTCCTTGTGCTGTAGAATAAGATGTTTCGGTAACTGCACATATACAGCATTTATTGATCTTTGTTAATGTTCATTTCAACATTTAATAGTGTTTTATTTAAATCTTGTTAACATTAGTTAATGCACTGTGAACTAATAGGAACAAACAATGAACAGCTGTATTTTTATTAACTAAAGTTAACAAAGATGAACAAATACAGTAAAAAATGTATTACTTATTATTAGTACATGTTAGTTAATACATTAACTAATGTTAACTATTGAACCTTATTTTAGAGTGTTACCGATGTTTCTTATTCACCAGTTGTTGGTCTTATGGCACAGATGTAATTTTTGATGTTAATATCTTTTCTGTCTCTCTGTATGTTACATTTTCCATTGACCTGTGCAATTGGTTAAGTTTTGTTCACTTAAAGTGAACCGATGTAATAAACCTTAAACTCGTAGTAAATGTCCTTGCCTTCACATCTTCAGGTGTCAAACATGGCGACTGACATTGGCTCCCCTCCCCGGTTCTTCCACATGCCCCGGTTCCAGCACCAGGCTCCCCGGCAGCTGTTCTACAAGAGGCCAGACTTTGCTCAGCAGCAGGCCATGCAGCAGCTCACTTTTGATGGCAAGCGCATGAGGAAAGCTGTCAACCGCAAGACCATTGACTATAATCCATCCGTCATCAGATATCTTGAGGTATAGTCCTGAAAAACAATTAACTAACAGAAACAGAGCATCCCTCCTTTAGCAATCTGAACATTTGGCTAATTGCTGTATTTCAGAATCGATTGTGGCAGCGAGATCATCGAGATTTCCGTGCCATTCAACCAGATGCAGGCTGCTACAATGATGTATGTTTTACTACTATGCTCAGTTCTTGTATGTTTCTCCTTCAAGTTCATATATCTAATAAAATACTTCCTTTTCTTGCAGCTTGTTCCTCCAGTTGGTATGCTTAACAACTCTATGAATGCTGTTACAACAAAGTTTGTCAGAACCTCAACCAATAAAGTCAAATGCCCTGTTTTTGTTGTGCGGGTAAGTTTTTTTTTATTTTACAAAGTACGTTAATATGTAAAATACATTAATTTGTTGTATAATCCACATAAAACCAAGTCCTTTGATTGTTCTAAATATTTCCGTATCCTTTACATCCCTTCTTCTAGTGGACTCCTGAAGGCAGGCGACTTGTAACGGGTGCCTCCAGTGGGGAGTTTACTCTGTGGAATGGGCTCACGTTTAACTTTGAGACAATTCTGCAGGTAACCAGAGACCATGTTTTTGATTTGAGGCACATCACCTTGCCTCAACCTCATAAGCTTGCTAAGAGGCCCTTGCTTATCAAATTTTCTTCTCTTCGTTCTCATAGGCTCATGACAGCCCTGTCAGGGCAATGACCTGGTCTCACAATGACATGTGGATGTTGACTGCCGACCATGGAGGTTACGTGAAGTACTGGCAGTCCAACATGAATAACGTCAAGATGTTCCAGGCTCACAAGGAGGCGATTAGAGAGGCCAGGTCTATACACAATCTACCATTTTCTGTAGTTAACCCGAGCCTGTTACTGCCCCTGCAGTGGCAGGGCTCTGCCTGTAGGGGGCTCTCCTCAGTGCTGTCTGTTCTGAAATACTCTTCCCTGTGCTGCTCAATGTTCATGTCCTTTATTATTGACACGTTTGTGTGTTGTTGTTGCAACACTGCATTTATTTGTCACCTGTGGCTTATGAGTTATGTATCCTCATCTTTTATATACATAATTACTTTGTACAGAAAAGGTGTATTTCTCACACTTTTAAATAAAGTATTTCCAATTATTTATATTCTAAGGTGATGACACATGCAGTCTAGAATAATAAATAAAAAAACACGTCCGTTTAAAAGACCCTCGGGGACTAACGTGTTTGTTGGAAGGGTTTATGGAGCCTCCGTATTGGAGATGCTGGACTCTTGTTTTGTCCTTGCGCTGGTGTAATTGTAGGAAACCTACACAATTTTAAGTTTCAGTTCACAATGGTTTAACAATGAGACAGGAGCTGTGCTGTCCCGACTGGCCATCAGAGTCTGTGCCACACTCTCAGTCAGTCCCATAAAACAAGTCTTCCCTAATAAAAATACTGCCTCTAAATAAAGATTTTTTTTAAGAATAAATAATATTCACTTCGATGCAACTCTACGGGTATAAATGCACATGGCAACATTTTCATATACAGTGAAAACCAGGGTTTTTTTTTATTCACTGGCACTCCTTTTCATTATGTTAACTCAGACACAATGCAGGGCGTGTGAAGTTCTTTCTGATGCAATAAAATGCAATTTCACCTACAATATTTAAAAACAAAAGGAAGCCACAAATTTAAAGCCAGTGTAACCAATTTATACAAATGGCTCATGGGTTGAAGTAAAACCTGCTGAAGCGAGGCTTTTGCTTACTTCAGTGGTTCATTTCTATCTTAAGAACATTTGAGCACTGGTACTTCATGGTGTTAGGTGGTGTGATAATTCTGCTTCATTTGTCTGTAGAAATAGTAAAGTAATTGTGTGTTTTTGGAGGTCAAAGAGTGAGTTGGTAAACTGAGGCAGGCTCAGTTTTGCCAAATGCTTGAACCAGCTTGTGTGCCCTCTGGAAGGAAGAGTGGTCTGTGTAGAGATGATTGTTCAAAACCTACATGGTTGTGTTCTAATTGAACTAAAGTAAATATTTTTAACATGCTCATTCCTATTTCTGATGTTGTACGGCAGGGCTCAGAATACAGGGAAATGAATGGCCAGTTTTAACTATTGCAATCCTTTAAGCATGTGTGCTGTCTATGAGCAGCCCACATAGTTTTACCATCTGATTGTATTTGTGTTTTTTTTTTTTTTTTTTTAATTAGAGGTGTGGAAAAAAAAATATGCGAGAGTATAATAGGACTGTTCTGTAGAGTGAGCTGTCTGCTAAGGAGATGGATTGTTCCTTGTCAGATCAACTCAAAGCGGCCCTGTAAGATGTCCAACCCACAGAGAACTGCTATGTTATCCTTCATTGTTGATTCTCTCCCTGCTGTGTCTTCAGTTTCTCTCCTACGGATAATAAATTTGCCACTTGCTCTGATGATGGAACTGTACGCATCTGGGACTTTCTCCGCTGTCATGAGGAAAGAATTCTGAGAGGTATGTCATATAATATGTGGAGATATTCACAAATGCTTTCCTTTGAGCAAAATTACACTGTCATCTGGGTTCACAAACACAAGTCTTCATGTTGTCTTTCACACAAATCTGCACACTTTACCATGGGCTGTCGGTTTCAGATTCATGTTTTTGCTTTGATTTGGCAGTTTTTATGGGTCTGCAATTTAATATTTATTAGAGCTTGGTTTTGAGATTATTACTAATATTTTACTGATAAATCCTTTTTTAAAGTACCTATTAATGCCAAAGATACAGTTCCCTGTGTTAATAGTGTTTTGTGCACCTTTTTTTAGGAATTAATGCATTTTCTTGTGGAAATTTAATCCATGTGAACATGGGGAAAAAATTAGCTTTCTGTATGAGCATTTTATTGTTTGTATCGGCAAACTATTGCATCTTATAATCATGTGTTTTAGGTATTAAAGTTTTGTTTAAAAAAAAAAAAACTAATAATGTGGTGCCCTATTGCCGTACTACTACAAAAAAAAAATTGTAGTAGAAAGGTTTAGATATTGTTTAAATATATTTTTTTTGGGGGAAAAAAAAGATTAAGAAATTATCTTACAAAATTAGATTATCAAATCTACTGATTATCAGTTATCTTAAAAAAAATCTAACCTTTTGTCCTATGACTTAAGATTCTTATAGCTAAACAGAATAAGCATTAAACCATCTCTCATCATGTGTTGCTATTGAAAGTCACTCTGTAGTACAGAATCAAATGCAAATTTGAGTTTGGCTTGCAGAATCATTACGCACGTTGATTTTCTGATCATTTTTCTTTTCAGGCACATTTGACCAATTCCAAACCACATTAATCTCAATAACCTACTATTCATTTCCTGTTTAATCATTTACAAGTATAAAATAAGCCAAAAAAAAAAGATTTAACACTGTCCAATGGACAGTGAAATGTTGGTTAGACAAATCATTGGAATTGAATCATTGGGTCAGACAAAAGCGGGTCGAGAAGTAAAGACACGTGTTCACTGCAAAAGAATTAAGTGTGGAACAACCAGGAATGCTTTAGTCTCCAGTGCCACCATTTTCCAGGACTGCAACCTCCCTGGAGTCTCCAGAAGTGCAAGGTGTCAGGATGTCAGAGACGTAGGTTAGGTAAAGCCACTTAAGAATCACAAGCTGAAGTGTTGTAAAATACATGGAGGCTGTTTTTTTATAGGCTTTATAGACAGACGGATTGAGAATGACTCTTTAAGGACCAGCAACACATCCTCTTGTACCACTGAATAATTCATCTGCCAGTAAGTTTTGTGAGTTCATTTTTTTAGTCCACCTCTGCAAAACAGTCTTCAGGGTAGGAGGGAGGTTGCAGTTCTGGAAAATGGTGGCGCTGTAGACTTAAGGGTTCCTGATGGTTTTTCACTTAATTCTTCAACTTAATTCTTTTGCAGTGAACGTGTCTCTTCTTCTCCACCTGTTTTTGTCTGACCCAATGAGCATTTCACTGTCCAATGGTCATGCCTTAAATGCAATTTATAGCATTTCATCCTTCTCATGGAAATTTATTTATTTTTTTTTTTTTTTACTTTTCAGCCCAAGTTAAATCTTTTTTGGCTTACTTTATCTGTAAAAGAAACTGCCTAATAATTATGCACACTTTCATTTCCAATTTTCCAGCCTTCCTGAACAATTATATATCACTTATAAATGATTAAATACAAAAGTAATAGTAGTTATCATGATTAATGTCATTTGGAATTGGTAAAATGTGCCTGGAAATAAATATATGATTAAAAAAATTCAACATGCCTAATAAGAACGTACCTTCTGGAAGCACTGTAGCCTTTCTAAACCGCCACTTGCCTGTATCGCTCGTTACAATGTACTTTCTGTTTTAGGACTTTGTTTTTTGCTGCTCACTTCTGTTGACTTTTAGTTTAAAAAGTGTTGATCCTTCTGGCATAATTAGAAATATTTGTGTTTATTACAATGTAGTGAAGATGAGGCATTTGTCATACCAACAACATACTAATTTATGTATGCAAGACATGCATAACCTGACCCATCATCATTTTCGTAAAAGAAAATCCACCTTAAATGCACAGACATCATCACATGGCAATGGGCTTCTTGTTTGGCTTCAATAATACTGAAGAACATGTAATACCTTAAACTACTTTAAATACAAAATTGAAAGAAAAAAAATGCCATTAGTTGACACATGATGACCATTGTGGGACTTAAGGATTTTAGTCTATTATTATTGTTGTTGTTGTTTAATAATCAGTTCAATAACAGTACCAGTCCTTTTCATCTCTTAGGGTTTTCTTGTGTTTATGTGTGTCCTGTGTTATTGGGACAAAATGTCCCCACAAAGATTTATTATCCAAAACCCTTGTTCTTATGGGGACATTTTTTTATCCACGAGAAGGAAACAGCTTATAAATCATACTAAGTGATTTACATATATATTTTTGAAAATGTAAAAATGCAGAAAGTTTTCTGTGATGGGTAGGGTTAGTGTAAGGGGATACAATATACAGTTTGTATATAAACAGTATAACCACTACATCTATAGAAAGTCATAAAACATGAAAACTGAATGTGTGAGTAATGCAAAAAAAAAAATAATAATAATAATTATAATGTGAGTGACAGGGTATGGAAGCTTTGTGGTAAAATAAAACATTAAGGTTTTTTTTTATGTTTTATTAACAAACATACCAAAATTGGTATGTTGATTTTATATTTAGTTTATATAAAATTGGTTTATTATAAAATCAACATATTTGGTTTGTTGATTTAGGGGTTATTGGCTGTAGGTTCAAAAATTGTATCCTTTGTCCTGTAAAAATTCAAGTCGAGTACTTTGTGTACTTTTGAGAGGTCAAATATTTCAAACAAGATGCATATATTTTTTAATGCTAGTTTACTTTAAGGTAGTTTCAAATCTATGTGCACTTCAATAGTGTACCAGTTAAGACAGTGACAAAGTGACCTGAAATTTAAGCAAAGAGAAGATATTACTTTCACCTAATTAATGACCCACTGGATCTATGATTGAAATATTAATGAATTAAAGAAGGCACAATATTGTCAATTTGGCAGTAAAAAAAGACTGGGGGAAAAAAAAGGACTGTAAACAAATAAAGTATTGCATGAATGTGATTAGCATAGGTTTTATACATCGTAAGACCTTTCACATTATATTAAATTTATCTCCAGTTTTTGTTGTTGTTTGTTTTCCTGAATGCTACGTGTCTTTAAGATATAGCACTCTCCCTATTACAGTCATCTAGAATGGGCCTAATTTTTATCATTAATAAAAATAGGACTCGTGTTTCTTTTTTTTACTTTTTAAGTTACTTTTTAATAGATCTCACTGATTTGCATAAAAACAGAATTTGCATTCTTTTACAACAGGGATGTTCACTCCGTTAAACTGTAGGCTTTCTTGCTTTACCTCATGTTTGCAAACACACAAGTGTTCATTCATCTGTCAACTAAACATACCGCTAAGGATTCATGCAGCTTTACCCAGACATAATATAAATTAATTAGCAAGCTCATGCTTACTTGATTATTTTGGGCAATGTTTTTGTGGCTATCAAATAATAGCATTATTTAAAAGGGCACATGATATGATTGTCAAAGTGTCCCGTTTGTCTATGAATTTTGTTATTTTGCTAATTTTATTATTTAGCTAATTCAGTGGCATGTGACTTGATTAAGAGTTTAATCTAATAAAATGTGTTTTGTTCTGGCTGTTACTTAGGATGGCTTTGCTCATTATAGAGTAGTAAAATATTATGGCATTTGATACATATAACTTAATGCTTAATTTGTGATCAAAATCAATAAAACTCTCAAGTAACAATGTTTTCCTGAAATATTAAAGAAAAATATTTGCAAATACACAATATGTTTCTCTTTTTATGTCACAAACTCATGCGAAACCTACATATGTTTCCAGGACATGGAGCCGACGTGAAGTGTGTTGATTGGCATCCCACAAAGGGTTTGGTGGTGTCCGGCAGCAAAGACAGCCAGCAACCTATCAAATTTTGGGACCCAAAGACTGGACAAAGTTTGGCAACACTGTAAGTTAGTGCGGTGGCAATCTTTGTCTCCGTAGAAACTTCTCGAGTCAGGAGTTCAAGGTGTCAAAAGAATATACTTCGTTTCAATCAACAAAGCAGAGATGTCAGCTGATTTTCTAACAATTTTACTCAAAACTCATTTTTATCCAGTTTCTTCCAACCTGTATACACTTTGCTCAACAAATGGTCTTTCGTTGGGTCATTTCACGATATAAGTAATTTTATCAGGGAAATTTCACAGTTATCAATACTATTGTTAACTAATGTAAGAAAAGGGTCCTCAAAAAAATTACACTTTAAACTGCCAGCAGTACAATAAGAACAAAATCGTATTACAAACAAAACTGAAAAATAAATACAACACAATGAAAATACAAATTAAATAAACAGTGTTTTAACTTCAGGAAGATGCACCAACTGTGGTATTCAGATGAAAAATAACACTGCATAGTCTTAATGTACATATTGAATATAGATTCATTCTTATTAAAGCTACTTAAGAAAATCACTCACTGATTTGACTGAAAAGCTTTTGTCATTTGTTGTTTGATTATCATTAATGACAATGTATGACTATATTAGTCATCTTTATTTATATTGCGTTTTTCACAATACAGATTGTATCAAAGCAGCTTCACAGTGATAACATGAAAATAATTCAAGAAGTTTGTTTCTAGAGTTGAATTGCGTCATCGTCCACATGAAGTAACGCAGATCGAAAATATTGTTGGATAATTAAATGTCCACCCCCAAGCAAGCCAAAAGCCAAGGCAAAATATTTGGCTGCTGTCAATTTAAGAGCTAATGCACTGATCCACCATCTGTTACACGTGTTTTATTTTTTTTAGCTGTGCACATTCACTCATTTACTGTGTACATTACCCACAGCGTTTACGTGAATAGGCTACTCCAAAAAGACATTTCGACATTTTTGTGTACGTTTAGGTGCGTATCTGAAGGCCATTTGCATATCCGCATTCGGCTCAATCTCAAACCGTCACATGGGGAACAGTGTCTCTTTTGTGGCTTAATATGCTTTTAATAACACTGTTTAATATCAAACAGTAAGCAGTAATAGCAACAGTAGACTGCATTTTACAACGCTCACTTATTTGGCCAATTTGGATGTTACGCTTGGGCTTTTAGGGACGCAAAGACATGCTCGAATCTCAAGCGGAAATCCACCAGTACCACTGGAATTAAAAACATTATTACAAGCTTACCCCTTTGAATCGAGCTAAGGCAAGCAGAGTTTTGAGCACTGGCTGGTTATGTATTTTCTCAAATATGTATTTTGGATACTTTTTAACTCCCCTAAAAAGCTACGGACTGCAGCTTTTAGAAATATGCTAAATCAGCAGACTGTAAATGATTTGATAAGAGCTACTTCGATGTATTACGCCATTTAACAATAAAAATGGTTTTAGCTGCTTTTAAATTATTTTTATGCTCAAGTGTTGGAGTAATTAATCAGCTAAAACAGGTTAAGTGTGGCTATTAATCTTTCGGTTGTGTTTTGTCCTCAGACATGCGCATAAAAACACTGTCATGGAGGTGAAGTGGAACCTCAATGGCAACTGGCTGTTGACGGCATCACGTGACCATTTATGCAAACTGTTTGACATCCGCAACCTCAAAGAGGAGCTACAGATTTTTAGAGGACACAAGAAAGAAGCCACAGGTATTATAATCCTAATGAGAATGTGTATGAATGGCTCTTGTGGTGGTGAAGCAGTTTAGTCTATACTCATGCTTTCGACTTCTGGTTGCAGCTGTTGCCTGGCACCCGGTTCATGAAGGCATGTTTGCCAGTGGCGGCTCTGATGGATCGCTGCTGTTTTGGAATGCAGGGTAAGCTCAGATCAGTTCAGATCCTTTCTGTATCCATAACAGTCAAAATTGAAAATTGAATCAAAATTATTTACTTTGTCGCATGTTATTTGACTGACTGCTAATCTGGTTGAAATATTTTGCTAGTGTGGAGAAAGAAGTGGGAGGAATGGAGATGGCTCATGAAGGAATGATCTGGAGTTTAGCCTGGCATCCACTGGGCCACATCTTGTGCTCTGGGTCTAACGACCACACCAGGTGAGTGAGTGTAACCAAACTTTCATGTAGTTGACAGGGTTGTTTGTTACATTTACTAAAATTTTAGTTGCCAATACCAATAACAGTGAAATTTCCCAATTCTCGATAATAATTGTTACATTGTTACATGTTGCCGCAAACAATATGCTATTTATTTATCACACTCCTTTATTTAGATTGAAATTTAGTATATTGATAAATTAAATAAATTCCATACAGTTAAGTGTACAGTCAGAAACAAAGAAATTAAAATTTAAATGCAATAGATCTTAGCTCATTGCTCTGCAATCACTCCCTCAGCAAATTTTGGACAAGGAATCGGCCAGGGGACAAGATGCGGGACAGATACAATCTGAACTTGTTGCCTGGAATGTCAGAAGATGGGATGGAATATGGTTAGTGTTCCTTGACCTCTTGCAATTTGGAAGTCCTGTACATGTCATGTACTTATGAATTCATAATGCTTTATCCTGGGGTAATTCTAGATGACATGGAGACCAATAATGTTGCCGCCATTCCGGGCATGGGGATCCCAGAAACGCTGAAGGCTGCCATGGAACAAGAACAAAGTGGTTAGCACACACATACATGATCACAGTCAATATTTATCGACATGTATTCATATACATGTAGTTGGTTGGTTATTGATAAATTGTGATTGTGTGCTTAGGAAAAGATATGGCAGCGGAGCCTGAGATGAGCATCCCTGGGCTGGATTGGGGAATGGAAGAGGTCATGCTGAAGGACCAAAAAAAGCCCCCGACTAAAAAAGTCCCTTATGCAAAACCTATTCCAGCTCAGTTTCAACAGGTCAGTATGATGGATGGACTTATACACATTATACATATGTTTTAGCACCATACTATGGTGGTTTGGATCTTGTGGATACAAATTTGGCTAGTTGTCTGTCCTTCACTTTTATCTCATTCAATAGGCCTGGGCAGAGAATAAGGTTCCAGCAATGGCTCCTGGAGAGGTTCCAAAAGAAAGGAAGGATGAGAAGAAAGTAGATGGCAAGAAGAAGACGCAAGCTGAGATTGAGCAGGAAATGGCTGCCCTGCAGTATACAAACCCAATGTTGCTCGAGGTCAGCTAATATGCTTATATGTACAGCTTTAGCATTGTGCTGTAAACATGTGAATCATCACTATGTTATGCATATCAACACTGGTTAATTATTTTTTGTTAAAAAACAAACAAACTTTTTGTCTGTAGCAACTGAAGATGGATCGAATGGCACAATTACAAGAGCAGGGAATGCCTCCCCCTGCAGGACAGTCAGGGCCAGTGCCTCCCTTTCCAGGGCAGGGTGGCCCGATGCCCCCTCCAGCACAAGGCTTCCCTCAATCTATGCCTCCACAACAAATGCCGCACAACATGCCTCCAGTGGGACCAGGTGGAATACCTGGTCCATTCATATCTTCAGGCCAAATGGGTCCACCAGGACCTATGCACCAGGGTCCTCCTCCACAGGGCATGATGGGACCTCCAGACATGCATGGACATCCACGTCATCCTGGCCCTCACAGGAATATGGGACCCCAGGGTCCTCCTGGCATGTCTGGCCCTAGAGGTATGCAAGGACCCCCCCATGGAGGAATGCCCCCGGGTTCTGGTGGACCTCCAGGCGGTATGATGGGACCACCACCGCGAGGACAGGGCCTCCACAGGGAGGGATGATGCATCAGGACATGAGGGGGCCCGTGCCTCATGGAAACATGATGGGCCATCAGGGACCCATGCAAGGGGGTATGATGGGGCCTCCACCCAGGACTCATGGCAATATGCAGGGCATGGGAAATATGCATGGAATGGGGCCTCCTCCAGGTGGTATGCATGGACCACCAAACAACATGCAGGGGCCACCAGGAAACATGCAAGGACCTCCAGGCAATATGCAGGGCCCTCCACCATACATGCAAGGCAAACCATCACACATGGGTGATGGAAACCGAGGACAGTTCAACCAGGTGAAGAAACCGTTGGAATGAACACATCTGGGAATGTTTAGGACAAAGAGATGTAACTGAATAGATGTCAGAGTAGCTTCTGTTGCTAAATTTTGTGCATGTCTTTCAGGGACAGAATCCTGGGCCTCAGTCAATGATGCATGGAATGGGACAACAGGGTCCTAATGGGAAAGGTAATGCTCAGCCTCTTGAGGGAAGAAAATTACTCATATATGGGCTTCACTATTCTGGATAAATTGAGAATGTCGTTTTTTTTGGTTTCAAACAGAGATCACGATTCTCCCATGATTCCAAACAGACAACTAAACAAAATAACATGATTTACTAGAGGTTCTGATAAAGTATGAATTGCTGCAGTCTATTTATAATGTTTAATTAATCTGAATTATTTTAAAAACTTGGTTTGAAAGAATGACTCAAGGGTTCACTCATAAATAATTCACTTGTTTCATTACTTGATGAATCTGTTTTTGAACAAATCTTTTGAATTCAATGACATTTTTATCAGTCACTTGTCACCACCTGGTGGCTATTTACAGCACCAAGTTACTTTCAAAAGGTGATTTGCTCTTTTTTGATTGCTTCTGTAGACATCAGTGTTTTTATCCAAACTATAAACCTTTATCCTGGTACTTCTGTGATATGAATGTTTGTAGCAGAAATAATGATAATGTGTGATTGAAAAGACTATATGGGAAGCTATTTCCTTCCTACACATGATAAATGCTTTTACTGGGTCAACGCCAGGGCCAACGCAGATTTTAAGGTTTATTAGACACAGGCACATCGTTGTAATTTAGAAATGGAGATCGTGTGGGTGTTTGAATCGAGATTGTGATCTTTTAACGATTAATCGTGCAGCTCGTATGCAAGATGATATAATCAAAACTAGTGTGTGAAAGTTAATAGTGGCTCTCCTTGTCTGATATTACCAGGAGATGCTCCTCGAGGACCTAACCATCACATGGGACCCCCATCGGAGCGACAAGGCCCAGGAGGGGGTGGTCAGGGCTCCGATGGAGGCCAGTACTGGGGTGATGATGGGGGTTATCAAGAGGGCTGGAGAAGAGGCCCTGGGGGTTCAGGACAGGATTACTCTGGAGGTCACAGAGGAAGCTCTGGAAACCAATGGGAGGGCCAGGAAAGGTTTCCTTCACATGATGGAGAGTACATGGGACATGACAGGTATGCTTCATTTAGCACAACACGAATATATATTCTGATTTTCTTAAATGTCTTGAGTCATATGAATTAGAATGTGAAATGTTTGCCTGGTGTCTTTACAGGTATGATGGGTATGAGGGTTCTGGCGAGGAGTTTGACCAGAGGCAGAGACGGCCACCGCGTGGAGATGATTCGTAAGTGTTGCGTGCAACCTCAGATTTAGCCAAGAATTGGCTTTACTGTGTTCTGGCAGAAAGAAAGAAATAATAATTCAAAATGATTCTTAATACTGAAACATGACACAAAAGTCTGAGGAATGCTTCCTTTTCTGCCAGTCGATCGTTCAACCGTTTAAAAGTATACTCTTTAAAGCATGAGCCTGTACAGACATGTTCTGATCTTTGACCAGGATTGTCCACTGATTGATAAATACTTGATTTTTTTATTGTCTGATTGTCTCTACAGATACAGGAGAGGCGGCCCAAGTGGGCGTGGTGGAATGGGCGGCTTCCAAGAGGAGTATGGTGAAGATGAGGGCTTTGATTCCCAAGAAGACATGGGCCAAGGATGGGGAGGAAGAGGAAGACCACGTGGTGGACCACCAAGAGGAGGTAGAGCCTATGCCATTCACCAGTCCTTGAGCTCACGTTGCGTCCATAAAAACTGAGGTGTCAGGTTTGAACGTGACATCTTTCTTTGGTGGTGTAGGAAGAAAGGGGCTTCTCCCAACTCCTGATGATTATCCCTCTCACTATGAAGGAGGAAGAAACCAGGAGGGCTGGGAGGGAGGGCGAGATTCAGGTAGAAGTGCATGAAGGGGATGCCAATAAATGTTCTTGTTGTTGCTGCAGTGCAGTAAGACATGCTTGAGCAAATTCCCATTTTTTTAACTGAGGCCATAAAGTTGAGAGTACACTAAAAGATTTTAACCCACATTTTCCAGACACAGACATTAATTTTTTGCAACAACAATAAAGTCAGATCAAAGCCAAATTGGATGACGGGCCAGTTAGGTGTGAGGATTCCAACATAGTCTGTAACTTGCCTGAAACAAGGAAATCTTTTAGTGCAGGTATTGTAGTGAGAGCAGTGTCGTGAAATGACTGATGAGGAGATGACAGGATGGGGTCTGTTTTAAAACTTGACTATTAGACTAGGTGACAACAGGGTATAGTCTGTGGCCATCCCATAAGCTTACTTATAATTCTTTATGAAGAACGAAAAGCCCTCGGTGCCCATCTCTGACTTGTCTTGCTCCATTTTCCAATTTCTTTGTTGTTTAGATTCATTTTTCAGCACAAGGTACAAATCAAAACATACATGAAGCTTAAAACTGCTATTGTGTTAGCCACTTGAATTTTTTTTAACTTTTTGGACGTTGTCATGAGAAATTATTATACAGTAAATTTCAAGGCTCTTTTCAGGTGGATCTTGAAACGTCGTCTACACTTGATATAGTGGACAACATGTGCTTCAAGAAAGCAGATGTTGCATAATATTAACAGTAAAGCAGTTTGTGTCCTCATGTAAAGGCATAGTTCAAGCTTTACATTATGTTAAGGCATAGTTCAAGCCTAACATCAAAGATCCAATCAAATTAATGTTGGTGTGTATGTGTGTTCAGGTCATGAGAGTTATCGGGATGGTCAGCGGCCAGACCACAATATACATGACAGTCCATCTCCAGCCAGTAGAGAGCGTTCCTCCTCTTTACAGGGCATGGATATGGCCTCGCTGCCCCCACGCAAACGCCCTTGGCATGACGGACCAGGCACTGGTGACATGGACTCCCCTGGTGCAGTGCCTGATGACAGAGCAGGTGAGCGATGGATAAGTGACGATGACTTGTTTTAAAGGGGTCATGAACTGGCTTTTTATAATTTTTGATACTGTTGTCTGAGCTCAACTAATGACGTTTGTAAGGTTTTACATTCAAAAACATCATGAATAAGTAATAGGCTATTTTCTACCGGTTTTGCGCCTAGCTCCTGAAACGCTCGTTTTTTATAGGCTTGGAAGCTATGTTTAGATATTCGTTTTGCATATTAAAATGAGCTTCGACTCCCCGTCAGTCAGTTCATGTGGGGAATTGTTTTGTAAACTTCCAATGTGGAAAAATGGAAACCAGAATGATTCGCCCATACATGTTCGACCCAGAGTCTGATCACGAATCGCAGGATCAGTAGATATCAAACGATCTGTAACAATGTTATATTAGCAACATATGCAACACACTTATTTGAGTAAAAAATGTGTTTTTTTATGATTACTGTCGGATCCAATATACAGCATATATGCACAGCATTGTTTTTTAATCTCATTCTGTCTGCAAAATAACCTCAATATCTTGCACAATATCTTACCCACGCGAGCTGGAAGTTCATTAAGAATACATTTCAACCACGCATTCCTAAAATTGGAACACGAAGAAAGCTTATGCAGTCACTGTGTGTTTCCACAACCAGGCTCTGCACAATATTTTGTCATCTTCAGCGGCACTGTATCTCAGTCCGGTTTAGCGCCACATAGGCCAATGTTTTTTAGCCATAACTAATCACCCGCTACTTGGTGGGCAGGGCTACAGTAGTAGGCGTTGGTTTTCTTTTGTTGAGGCGGTGTTTCGCTGCTCTCTGACATCACAGGTTGGCCAATTCACAGATCCCTTGTATTACGATAAAGCTCAAGGAAAAATGTATTTCTCAATTCATGACCCCTTTAAAGTAAAATGTAGAATACGGCATTCTGTATACTAATATTATCCAACTCCCCATAGGTCGGCCATCACCAAGAGAGGAAGGTGGATATGGGCCTCCATCACGGGGAGGAAGAGGTGGATGGGGCCGTGGTGGGCCGCCTAACCCAGGCGGTCCTGGTCCCAATCTGGGTCCGAATGTCAGACGAGGGGCTCCACGTGGTGTTATGAGGGGAGGTCGCGGGCGGTAGTAGTGGTCACGCCTGCTTCTCAGGGAACACGGAGGCAAAACCACAATGAGGACGGGGGACAACAAAGAACCACACATCGCTACAAAATCAGCTTCCTTGAGGGTCTGGACAGTTTTGCAGGCTTGGACAGGTGTCTGGAAGCACTTCAGTATAAATCAGCGTGGAACCCTTAATTGGTGGCTTAGCTTTTTCTATGATGTATCAGGCGGAAGGTGGTGGGTACCGGTTATCCAAGTCCAAATGTTTTGGCTTATGATGCCTCTTGCCACCTGATTGGTGTACTTGTGACACGTGGGATTTGTTCTAACCTTACGTCAATTGTGAGAATAATAACTGGGGACACATCATGGTGTGACGAGAACCATCTCTTGCAATGGACTTGTGTTTGTGGTCCAGGAAACTGTATTTGTGATGCATGGTACAACACTCTGTAGATGCTTAAGAGAAATCCCTTCCCTGCACTGAGCAGCTGACCTGCTTGGTGATTCACTTGGACAATGGCAACTGAATTTGTACCAGCACCCGAGCCCCCTGTGTCTTTTCTTCTTCTTTTTGACCTCAATGATTCTGATGTATCAAACACAAAACATATTGTGAACCATCGACTTCCTCAGTCAGATTCTGTCAGCCAGCAAATGCAACTCAATCTAGGTAAAGGCCTCTAGTCATCGTCTTGAGGACTGTCTATTACTAGAGAAAAATGGTCTTTTGAATGTTTCGTTCCCCCAGTGGCTCAACGATGTTTATTTAATTTCATTTTTATGTAAAATAATGGAGATAATATTTCTGTAACATTACCAGGCTACTCTGAGAGACGAAGCTGCAGACTTTGTTCCTATATGTACAGTTTGTCACAAAATTGTCATATTGTTTTGTCCTTTTTTTGTATGAAACCATAATAGAATGTGCAAAGTTTATGTAAACTCTCTCTGCTCTTGTCGTTACTTTGATTTCACCCACTCCTTTGTGTTTTTATTACACTGATATGAACTCTTGAAGGTGGGAGTGTCAGTCCTGCTTCTGGAGATCCATGTTCCCAACAGAAGCGTAGTCGCACAAGACTGAGATCCTCTATTAGTCATGTGCAAGTCAGTTCACAAACTTGATTATTTTTTTTACTTTTTATTTTCATGAGCTTGCATTTCCATTCTCCCTTCCAATCACACCCATGCAATTGTGGAAGTCAGTGGAACGAAAAGTCTAGCATGACTTCATTCCTTTCAACCCACCTCTACATGCATGTATTTTTTTTAATTACTTCCAAAGCCTTGATTGGTTCAGATGTGTTTAGAGTTCATCTAAACTTGGTAGGAAGGTGGATCGCCAGGAGAACAGAGCAGCCTAGCTTTGACCCTGTCCTAACCAGATTTGACAAAGCAATAATAAATCTCTCAAGCTCTCTCTTCCATAGTTTTTGTCCTAATTAACCACAGAGAACTGCTCACATTTTGGGTTTTAGCTCTGCCCACACATGAAAAAGATTGGAAGTTATAAATAAAATTTATGTTTTACGTTGCACGTGTTGCAAGTGTGGGAAAATGCGTAAAGAGGGAAAACCGTTTTGTTATCCCAAGTTTTTGCCATAGCTCATCCATTTTTGTATTCGGTATGAACAGACACATTTCTTGCAGTTGGAATCTTTTTGTTTCGGGCCTGGCTACGACACGGTGCAACACTACACTTTTTCCAGACGATAATTCTATTTTGGTTCTATATCTGCAGCATCACGCCTGATAGCACTGCTCACATTGATATCTGACTTGACCAGAGAACTACTGCTCATGAATATTAATCATCAAATGGAACGAGTAAGGAAGAAATATTGGATATTACACATCTCTGAAGTTTCACAAGGTAAACCATTACGGTGATTGCTGTCTGGAAAGCCATCATGGTAGTGACAGCATGCAAACAAAGATCTCAACCACACTGTTCTGAATATCTGATTTGTTATATGTCCCACATCATTTTTTGTCTTCAGTGTTGACTTGCACATTACTTGACAAAAAATGTCCATTGTCAATAGTGTGGCGATAAATGAGAAACCGTTCAATTTCAACACAATTAGCTTTGTTGGTCAACTTTAACTCATGTGAAATCTGCACCTCTGCACCTCATTTTATCGCCCTCAAGCAAAACTCAATGACTGGATTTCACAGAGCAATTATAAATGTGCCTGCACCACTTAAGGTCAAAAGCTTCTTTCCTATATAGACATAAGTTATTTTAGTGGATCTTAAGATGCAGCCACATTTACAATTGCCCAGTGACATTTTACAAGCAAAATCCAGCCATCTCAATCGAAATTCAAGCATTCGAGAGTTTTGGAAATGTTCCCAATGTAGGTTTTGCTAGTGTTCAAGTTCTTCACACAAATCAAATTTTCCTCAAATCCAGCGCTGGAGGGCCACAGTCCTTCAGTTTACTGGATAAAATTGAATCCAATCTGACTTCTGACCTGTAATGTTGCCTGAATCATAATCATACACTCTTCGTTCATTGGCCAGAGGAGAACTGAGACCTGCTCAAACATCCCTATGTGCAATCTAGGCTGAATCTGAAATCGCCCCCTAAACCCTTATTCACTATACCCTAAGTCTACAAATACTGTTCACTATTCACTCTGTAAATGAGAACGAGTGAGCGAGTTCAGGCAGCCATTGAGTGTACATCGGTTGCATACATAAGTGCTCCCAATAACATCGGCTTCCGATATCACCACAAATGGCTGTCCATAGGGCGTTATTTGAGAGGACAGCCATTTGTAGTGGTATCTGAAAACATAGTGAATGTTATTAGTAATTATAGGGGGTGATTTCCGATTCATCCCGAGTGAGTGAAGACCTTGATTAGTTTGTTCAGGTGTGTGTGGCCCTCTATGACTGGATTTGAGGAACCCTGACAATATACTGTGCGTCACTCATGGGAAATATCTGTGCTCAAAGACCAGGATAGAAAACCACTACTATACATGTTTGACCATCATATGTGATACAAAACTGATCTGTCATGAAATAAATGGCTTATCGTCCTTCAGACCAAAGAGTATGATGTCGAGAACACAGAACAAGATACATTCAGCAAGTTTATTTATAAAGCTCAGTTTCAAAAGCAGTTCAGAAATGTTAAGTCAAGTAGTAATTGACGTCTTGGTCATATGGTCCTTGTGGTGAAAATAACAAAATGTATATATCCCCATCCATAGAGTGCAGCTCGCATTGTATTCCTAAACCATTGCCTACCATAGTTTCACAATCTGTACCAGACCAGTCACTCTCAAAAAAAAGTGTGTTGTTTAGTCCGTGGTCATATAGGCATTGTCTTTCCAGTTATAGTCCTTTTAATAGCAGACGCTGCCATGCCACCCACAAACCTCATCCCAGCACTCCCACCCGGCAACAAAGCCACAATATAACCCACGATAGCTGCGATCTGAAGGCCGGCCCCGAGCGCGGTGAACAGGGTGCTGTGAAGACTGAGTGCCGCGTACAGGGTGCCCACCAGTGCGCACAGGTACACCGCGCCGCCCGGGGTCGGGGTCGCGATGAGTTTACTGGGTCCGCGGAGGATCGCCGCGCCGAGCAGCGCGAACACGGAGCCGAGCGACCAGAGCAACGCGAACTTGCGCGCCTTCAGCAGGAGCAAAGGGGCGTACAGCGCCGACAACCCGAAGCAGAGAGCCGAGAAGAAGATACACGTCCCGAACGCGACCAGCCGCTGGGATCGACTCAGGCCCGGTAAACACGGGTCCGGTTCTGATGACCAGGGCCACGAGAAGCCGCTGCTCGAGCCCGGGCCCGATGACGACGCTCCGCGGTTGCTGGCTCTGGAGAACGGACTCGACCACCGACCGAACCAGCTCTCGGGCACCGACTCCGGCTCATTAAAGTCTATGGTAGTGCTGGAACTGGACTGGGATACCGTCTTCGCGCCGCTTTTAGACTGAGCCAGATATTCCTGGAGATCTCGATTTAATTCGGCCATTATTCAGAAGGATTTATGGAATGAAAACAGGAAGTTATTGTGGCATTGTGATGACGTCTCACAGTGACGTTTCTTTTCTTCTTCTTTCCTTTTAAATGGCGGCTGGCAAACCATGAAACCCACCCACTGGACTGGAGTGTGGAGCATGATGAAGGGGAAAAAATGAGCTTAAATCCAATTTATTAAACCTATTTCTTTCAAATGTTTATTATTACATAATAGACTTACATAACATACTGTTCTAAAGCATTCTTTCTCTTAAGTGTTAATGTCGTTACTGTACTCGATGGAAGTACAATTTTAATCAAATACTCTTACACATTGTTTATAATTAACTGTTTTAATTATTCTGATTTCTTTTGATTATTTTAATTTCTTCTATGTAAAGCACTTTGAACTGCCATTGTGTATGAAATGTGCTATATAAATAAACTTGCCTTGCCTTGCCTATACTGCAGCTTATTTTTTTGTGTTTGGAGCTTGGCGCAGGTTGAGTAGCTAGGCTACTTTTAAATTGTAACATAATTAGAAATAAGTTTAGCACACGTGTGCAGGATAATGATGCATCAGCCAATGTGTTATCATAGGAAATACATAGAAACATTGGCAAATTAGCTTGGTATAGCACAAAATGAAAAATATTAAAAGAGGGGTAAGATGGTCCGCTACCAGGGATAATATTTGATATTCAACATAATACAATGTCACAGTTCACTATTTTCCAGAGACTCAAAACTGTTTAAGCTGACCAATTTTAATATTCAGATGAAATAACAAAATTAAAAACAGCTTAGCCAATAACCAGTCATCAAAAGTGTCGAGATCAATTGTTGTGCCATCTGGTCAGAAGAAAAAAACACTCTAAAATGTGCTGGAAAACCAAATATTGATTACTATTGCAATATCTGTGAAGGTGAAAAGGAAACCCCTTATTTTCTTTTTCTTCTTTTTCCACTGTAAAAAATATTTTCATGATTTGTATACATTTTTTCTTTTTTCCAAATCAACTTAAATTATTTATGTGGTTCAGATAACATATTTTGAGTTTCTAATGATTAAATCAATCTCTTTCATTGTATTCACTCAATTTTTCCATTTCAATGAACTTAAAATTTTATGACAGCCAGATTACTTCATTTTTTAAGTTAAACGAACAATATTTTTTTTTACAGTGCATTGCACAGACATTGTTCGGATTGATATGGAAGTTTAATTAAGTAGAAATTTTGCATTGCTGTTCAGAGTAGACTCGACATATTAGCATTAATATGAGAGTTTCACATTCATAAATTGAAATGGTCTGACTCCAAACCAAGTTTTTTTACTTTTAAAATGATTTCAAGCTTTGTTGTATTGATTACACAATCGTAAAGGTCAAAAGAAAGACAATTAGAGCCTATAACATGATAAGCAGTATGATAAAAAATTGCATAAAGCGGCACTCTTTTGTTTATTATTTATAGATTGTGTTATTGTATTGTTTGTTCTCTGGCATTGTTTTAGTATTTTATTTATTTATTTAACTTTTGGATTAATATTTCTCATTGTATTGTTTGTGTTCTGCAGCATGAATAAAAAAAATAGTTAAATATTTAGTTTATTATATAATAAACAAATACAAACATTTAGTATATTGATATGTTATTTTTAATTGTCTTCATTTTGTTATGGTTCTTATTGTTGTTAGCAATTTAAAAGAAAGTTCCAAAAAATAAGAATTTTTTTTTTATTTGTATTTATTTATTTTCCTTCATTTATATTTCTGTTAGGCTACGTGTTCAGCATTTGATCTGTCTATATCTAATTGCATTCAAGTTAATATTTAAGTAGGCTATACACAAGTGTTCTTTTTCTACATTTCCAAACCTTGCCATCAGTTAATAAAAGTCCAAGTATGAATTATTTGTTTGGCTTCATAAACCGACAGGCTGTCTGTCATGAAGACAAGAAGTGAAGGATGCAGAGGGAGTTTAAAATTAATCTCTCTCCTCATTGGCCAGTTGTCTTCAAAGCCTTTTTAGGGTTTGAGCGTGTCGACGGGATCTCCCTGCACACAGTGTCCAGCACAAGTGTGAGAGAGAGACACACACCAAGGGACCAGGTCAGTTTACCCTTAAAACACTGGGCACAATAAATAAACACTATTATACTATACTTTACTATTTTAAATATATTTGAATAGTATAATTAGAAAAATCAATAAATGTAGAGTCCTGTCAGTGTATTCCTGTATGCATGTGACTCAAGTCAAGTGCATGTTCCACATTGTAGTGTAAAGTTCATATGAAACACTCGTCTGTATTTAGCTGATTGCACATGACTGTTGTTTTGCAGCAACTGGTAAATTCCTTTTTTAACGTTGTATTTTATGTCTTGTATTTAAAACTGAACTATTGTCATTTCTAATATCTCTGCAGTTTGGGCTTTTGCTGTTTTGTGGGGTTTTGTTTTTGACATATTCCTCTGCATTTTACCGTTTTTGCTGCTATGAATGCATCCTGTCAACTCTTCGTTTACGGGCTCATTCTAACACCTGTACAGGTCAATTTATTAAAAAAAATACATAAAAAATGCAGTTTATACACACTGACTTTTATATCCTACTCATCTTCTATCATGAGCATCACTGACTAAAGCTATTAAACAATATTGTTGCCTGTTGTTTTGTGCCTGATGAAGCACAAATCTCTGTTGGATTGAAACACTGCTAAGTATTTTCCTTGAAATTTCGGTAACACTTTACAATAAGGTTGATTATTTAACATTAGTTAATGTAATAAAGGGGCACTTGGCAACTCTAGTTTTATCTTCGTTGATTTCCACTTTTGTTGTGGCATGTGTTCTCATCAGCGCCCCCTACAGCTGTGTGGCATAGCTATATTTCACAACACTGTCATAAAGAAACTCACTTGCGGCGCCTTCCTTCGCTCATCTACTTCTGTTATTATCGTAGCCGGCCAACTCTCGTGCGTACGTTCATTATTAGTTTTTACAAAGCCATGTACTGTACATGCATACATTTATAAGAACTTGGCACATGTGTTTTAAACTTGATTTTACTTAAACTTGAACTTACTTTCCTTTATCTCATATGTTCATTAACCTGTATATATTTGTGATTTTTCGAGAACAATTGAAGCTGCTGTCAACTATTCATAAGAGGGCTTATCAAATCAGACTCTCATCGGTCCACTTTCCGGCAGAGTTCAGCTCCAACCTTGATCTCACTCACTCTCCGTAACTTCGAGAATCATCGCCCCCTATCATTCACTATTCCCTACATTACTCCACTAATATCACTCCACAAGGGAGTGAATTCGGACACTGAGTGCGCTGTTGAACGGCTGCTGCTTTTGCATAGTTTGTGCTTTCTGATTAATAATCATTTGACACACTATTAATTAAAATATTTATCTTGAAGTCTGTCATGGAAACTAGCACCTTAATTAAACAATTTAATAATCAATTAAAAAATCTGACATTACGCTGTACCCACATTGGACTAGCGGTTTGGAAAATTAGCGGATTGATGACGCCATCTTCTGGCCAGACTCTCACGGTGAATTATGGGTATTCTTTAGCTGTTGAGTTGGGCCCTGTCCCAAATGGGACACTTGTGGACTTACAATAGCTGTGCATGTGTGCCACGTGTCAGTTAAGTCCATAGCGTTCACTATGGTTTCAGACACTACAAATGGCTGTCCCCTCAAATAGTGACCTAGGGGGTGATTTCTGGCACAGCCCTTGTTTAGCTTGTCCAGGAGTGTATGATTAGGGTTGGAGCTAAAGGCTTGTTCATACCATGTCGTAATTAGCATAATTACAAGATTCCAACTTGTGAAAAGCCTTAACATCTTCATAGAGCTCATAATTACAACTTGGTAAAGAACGTCACTTGGTGATTAGGGCATGGTGTTGTAATCGGTCCAACCAGTTTCTGATGAGCGGGTAAAGGTTTGCTGTGTGTTACTATCTTTTCCGTGTGGCAAAGTAATTTAATTAAGCTTTTATCTGACTCCATTTTATTACAACCTCGAATTTAGGTTGGAATGCCAATTAGTTATTGGTCATTTATACAGTAGTTTAGCAGCAATTTGATTAAACTCTATTAAACTCTTTACTCTTATTATCCTCGTTCATTCGGGTGCCGAAGTCAAACAGGGTCCTCACACCGGCCGTTCATATTATGTGGGCCCACGATCAAAAAACTTTCATTTTTTGGTCACTAAACAGATGTAATTGGCTTTCTAAGAGTGTCGTATTAGACTGAATACTCTATTTAAGATATTTTACATAGCTCTCTTGGTTGTAACGTTTTCTTTAGACAGAGGTCATGACCACTACTACAGATACAAGCCGACCAATACTACGTCTCTGGTTGTAGCTTTGGTTTGGTCATGCCATGGTTTCCCACGTAAACTAAACTAAAGTAACCCTATTTAGGTTGGTCGAGGAGTATTTGGTCTGTCCTAAACGGAAAGTCCCTTTTAGTCTTTGCAAACCAATTGCACTTGAATTAGTGCCAAATTTTAGCCGGAACTCTAAAATCACACTGTGGCCTATGCTCCACTCAAAACTGGACTCTAGTACGTCAATAATCTGCCGCAGATCTGTGGTAACAATGGATTTAGCGTAATGTACTAAAGTTAATAATTTCAGAGCAAGTCAGAATAAATCCAAATGTAACAAATATTAGTCTGTTAAATCTATCATGCCAATGACATAATCAGTTCAAAGATAATAAATACAAAACATCAATCTCTGGAATAAAGATAGAAATGCATAGGCTGTCATTAGAAATATATAATTCTGAGAGAAAAGAGAATATTTGCTAACAATAGGAATTTGCATTCAGAGTTTACACCTTTTGAGGGCAGGATGCCATTTGCCTGGAAGACACATCCTCCTCTGTAAGCAAGATATCTCTAAACTCTTAAGAACTTGATTACCTTTTGTTTTACTTCTTTGGGGATGAGACCTTTGTACCAGTCGCGCTGAGACGTTTCAAATGAGACCAGACATGTATAGTGTTGTATGATAAATATTCACATTTAAACCATATAGATTTTGGGTAAATTTCAGCATGAGAGAGAAACGGGATGGGGGGGAAAGGACTTGACTTGCTTAACAAGAATAGCTTAATGCCCAAACTGTTTCTAAACTGTCTTGTTGCTTGTTTTTTTTTTTATTATTTTTATTATTATTATTTAAAAAAACAAATATTCTTTCTTTCCATGCAGCCAGTATCATGTCAGTATCGCAGATAACGCCGACCCTCTTCCTGAGTGGGGCTGATGCTCCTATGAATCAGGAACTAATGACCCGCAAAGGCATTACACTCATTGTGAACGTGACCCTGTCCCACACCTGCCCCATCTACCCCGGTGTGGAGTGCATACGTGTTGCAGTGTCCGACCTCCCAAATGCCCGTCTGGGGGATCATTTTGAGCACGTTTCAGCTCGCATCCACAACAACAGAGCTGGAGGAACGCTAGTGCACTGCGCCGCGGGCATGAGTCGCTCGCCGGCTCTAATAATGGCCTACCTCATGAAGTACAGAGGAGTGACTCTGAGACAGGCACACAACTGGGTTAAAGACAGCAGACCCTACATCCGCCTTAACACGGGATTCTGGACCCAACTTCTGAACTATGAGAAGAAACTCTACGGGAAGAATACTGTGAAATTAGCAGAACCACTGGACCCAGTGCCAATGTCAAAAACACCAAAACTACCTTCCAGGAACAACCCGAGACAGTGTCCTCCATCACCGAGGCTGAGACGGCTTAGAACATTCACCTCTTTGGCACTTTAAACAACAATAGCAAACTGATCTTTTTGCCAAATGTGGACATTAAATGTCACTTTTCATATTGTAAGGGCAGTAAATATCACTTTGGATGGACAGGACCTAATGCAGTGAATCAGACCATCAGCACTTCAGCTTGACTTTGATTTTTCTGCCAGCATTTGATTTGTTCGGTTTTGATGTGGCCTGGTTGGAATTCCATGAATAAATGTTGAAATATTGTAGAATGTTGCATTATTTAACCAACAGAGGACACTGTTGGAGCATCACACTCACACAGGCTCAGGACTGACACACGTGAGGTCTATATCTCAGTTCATCTAAAGCCAAGTTTGCTTGGATTTCTACAGTATGATGTGCATGATGTTAAGACTATGCAGCTTAAACCTTTTTAAAACTTTCAAACTAGACTTTGTCAAGCAAATATCACAATTACATTTTCAGGTCATTTTAAATGCACTTTTAACTTCAAACTCAAATTGCAGTTCTTCGCCCTGTTTGCATTCAGATGTGCTCAATTCTCAATTTTAAAAACCTATGAAATGCCAAAGCTGCTGAAATGAGACATATAGATAGATAGATAGATAGATAGATAGATAGATAGATAGATAGATAGATAGATAGATAGATAGATAGATAGATAGATAGATAGATAGATAGATAGATAGATAGATAGATAGATAGATACAGTAGATAGATAGATACAATATATATATATATATACTCATTACATCCAACTTTATTTGTTATAATTTGATGATTATGGCTTACAGATATGAAAAACTCACAATATTCAAAATGTGTATTTGGGGATTTCATATCTGGAAGCCATAATCATCGACATTATAACAAATAAAGGCTTGAAATATCTCACTTTGCGTGTAATGAGTCTATATACTAGTTTCACCTTTTAAGTTGAATTACTGAAATAAATGAACTATTGCACGATATTCAAATTTTTCGAGTTTCACCTGTATATGTAATTGTTATATTTACTTGACAATATTTGTATATATATTTGTATATTTGTTATATTTGGTTGAAAGGTATATACTATATATATATATATATATATATATATATATATATATATACAGTAGTCAACATTTGAAGTAGATCAAAACCTTTCATCAAATTTATACATGAATTTTGAAAAAAAATTTCCTGTTCTTGTTTTGGAACAACTTTGATTAACTTTTTTGATCCACTTCAATAAATTAAATAAATGGTGTAAAATAATAAAATAATTTTTTAATGTGTACAATTATACATTATACAATTATACAACAAAAGTACATAAATGCACATGCTTCCAGTTGCTTCAATGCTTCATTACTTTGTAAATGTATTAATTTATGCGTTCATTTATTTATTATTTCACCAGCTTTGGCATTCCATAAAACCCCTGATAGATATATATACATTTATTGTTATTATTTTAAATCCCTATAGCTTATACAATTGGCCTTGTGACACAAGGTGAGCATTTCAATGAGACAAAAAAAAAGTCTCAGGTTATCATTCGTCACCTTTATAATACAGGTTGATCCCTCGCAATCTCTCTTTTAATCATGTGTGTTTAGTGCTTTTGGCAATGCTTTGTTGGTGCTGAATGAGGGGAGGGAAGGCATGGGGAGGGGGGGTGAATGTGTTGAAAGCTGAGAAAGACAGCGTGGAGAGGGGGGAGAGTCGAAATGTCTTGGTTAAAAAAAGGCACTAATTTATCCTGAAAAATAAGTGTAATTTAGCTTTGGCTAAAAGCCTGCCATCTTGTGCAATTAACAGGAAACAAGTTGGCCAACTATGTTTGGGGGAAAAGTGAAGTGTTTGTGTGAACTGGCCCGTGAGTTTCTTTGTCTCTTTGTTAATGAAGACACTGCTTTCAGTGAACCCATCATGGGATAAATAAGCATGTCATTACCACACACTCATTTATCTTTCGGCACATTATTTGACAGCAATCCGTCCTTGTAAGGTATTGCTGTCTGACCACAAATGATATGTTAGATGTTTTCCCTGGAAGTTATAGCAGAACATTCATCTGGATGGTGTGTGCGTGCGTGTGCGTATGCCTGTGTGTGTGTGTGTAGTATAGAGAGAGAGAGAGAGGGCACTGTGCCAAACACCAGGCGCCACTCTTCCAATATGATGACCTCATCCCCATCCACTACTGGAACATTTCGTCTACATTCATCATCGCTGAATGTAGTGTTTGTGTCTTTGTTTATGCACAATGAAATTCACCAACAATACTAAGAGTTAACTATGTTAATTGTGTAATAAATAGCTTTATTTTTATTGATAGAATTCTGTGGAAACCTTCTGTGGAAAACTCTGTGGAGACCTAAATAATTTGCTGCAGGTTTTAGGGTTTTCTCCTACGAAGTCCACCCTATTTATCCTGCAAAAGTGAAGCAGTTGCTTCATTATATTATACACACAAGACGTTTGGGTTGCTTAGTTAGGGATAATGTATTATTCATCAATATTAATTTGACTGACACAGAGCTGCTTTATATTGAACTCATTGAACAGAACTGAATCAACATTGAACTGACTTCAGCTGAATAATAGCAATATTTGTACAAAAAAATGTTTCTGTTTTCCTAAAAGTTCAGTCGTAAATCTTAAAATGCATGTTGAAACACTTTTTCTCGGGAACAAGGACTCTTTGATACGGTCGATGAGACGGTTTAAGCAGTTATATAATTATTTATTGCAAATATACACAAATATTAATATTGTTTAAAAAAAAGCAAATGCAAATAAATAAAACTTCAACCCTATTAAGAATGGAATGCATAAACATACCACGTGAAAAAAATACATACACCCATATGAACAGTTTAGAGTTGCTATTATTTTGGAAAGAAATGCAGCAGTGCAACCCTGCTGCTATTTGCAACAATGGTAAAGATCCTTATACACAGAGTCTCTTTTAGATGCTCATTAAGTAATTATTATAATATGTCCTGAATAACTCATCTAATGAAGATGTGTATTTTGTCAGCACAGTGAGACCTGCTTTGTATTGGTGTCCTCATATTCCAAAAAGGATGCCAGAAAACAGACTGTCTTGAAGAATTGTGAGGGCTGAGCCTGTCCCATTGTCAATGAGAATAGATACATACTCTCCAGCCTGTGAAAAAAAGAAAATAAATACATTAATGAAGCATTTTGTTTATTTTATGTTCCATGATGAAGAAGAAACGTTATTAGATATGTGCTCTTTGTAGCTATGGTTGGTGTATTGGTTCACCGTTTTCAAGGAGAGTGTATACGTATCTAACACATGACACTGACTGTCATGTGGTTTAACCGTCAGGTAAAAAGATGTTAAATGTATTTTTCAAGGTATGAATTCATAAATCATTAGGTTTTGGGTCGTTGTGCCATATAATAAAAGAGTCCAAACTTCATTATGATATCAGGACAGTTGCATGACCCTGACTTTAAACATCAAGAAAAATTCCAAGTGAATTTTAAATTAGAAATTACAACCATGCTCACTGTAGAAAAAGTGTATTCAAATCACTGTATGTATGAACCAATTATAATGGGTTTTTTAATAAACTGAATAAAAATAGCCCAAAAGTGAGTATCACATTACTGAAAGAGGGCAATAATGTATAAGCACACTGTAATACAGGTTTTGACAGGGATTAATCATATTGTCAAGGTACCTGCAGCAGAAGATGCCTCTGTGACAGATCAAATGAAAAAAAGATGCCCTAAATATATCATTTTCCCAGGCCTTTGATGTCTTTTTTGATGCATTATTGGCACAAAGAATTCCAGAAATCTGTATAATTCTTGTTCAGTTAAATATGCTTTTTATGATTTGTGTAGGCTTGTCAGTCAGTCGTACCTGTAGGTAAAGAGTACCGGTCAGGAGAATACTGAATACTCCTCCTGTGGCGCTCACTCCAGTCACAGTCTCGAGAGACCTGCATCATTATAAACACATTAATCATGGTCTTAGACTCATTTGCTTGACTGAATGTGTGGTGTTATAATAACAGTTCAAACGGTCAGTGCGAACATTTGTGATCATGGATCATTTCTACTCACACATTACTCTGACAAAGAGACTCTATGCATATGGAGGTCTTGATACTGTCTCTCTGCCTGGCATTAGGCTTCTTCTGAGACTCGTTGGATTCTAAGAAAACACAAACACAGACGCATGATGCAAAGTTAAAGGGATTGTGACAGGCAAACTCAATTTTCAGTAGTACAGGCACCCCACCCCTGTTCCACTGAGCTTTATCTAAGGGACAGACTGTTGGAAGGGCCACATTTACATTTACTGCACACTCTCTGTGAGACAGCATGATGCAATTAGGAATAAGGCATTGCATGTGCTTCAGCTTGCAGAATTATGCTATGAAGCTTATCATTTATATTTCTATCTGTCTAAATGGCAGGGGCGTAGATTTTAATAGGGAACCCAAGGACGTGTCCCTACCAATATCCAGTGACCACTGATTTGTCCCTAGCAATAATTTTGATCAAAGATATAAATTTTATTTATAAATAACCATTGTTGTCAGATTGTGTCATGCTGTTTTTATGTATTAATTATTTCATTTAACCTTTATTTAACCAGGAAAAGTCTTATGATTAAAAATCTCTTACAAGAGCGTTCTGTGAAAAATACGCAATTCCTTGAACACAAGCAGTACCGGGTACCGCCTCCCGAACCCACATTGCTAATCCAAATGGCTTTGTTTTTCTTTCTATTTTGTGAGTGGCCGTAGCTAACATTTGGTTGTGCGAAGCGGCAAAGCTCCTCCAAAACCTAGGCGTGGTAATTAAGGGAGAAATCAGTTTTCTGCATGGAAATAAGGGGCAAATCATGTCACGTATTGATTCAGGGAGAGTGCATTTTTTTCAATATAGCAACTGCAGGATAAGTGGCAAACCTAAACACTAGTGTGTGTACACACTCCTTTTTGAGGGCCTTTATTGTGAAAGATTATGACAACTGGCTATTTTATGTGTGCTCACAAGCTAAAAAGACTTATAAATCTGCCAAATCATGTTTCTATTTAAATCTAATGTTTTGCAGAGGTTTCTGTGAGGGTAATGTTTAGGGGTGGGGCTTGGTCTGTTGAAGGCTTGGTCTTGTCCTGTTTGATCAAGTTGAAACCCTTGTCAGGCTGCTTTGGATCATCAGCTGAGGCTGAAAGAAGTTTCAGTGCTCTTAGGAGACTGAAAACATGGCCCAGAACAAGAATGGCACAAGTGAGACTTAACAGTATTGCTGTGTGCCATGTCCACCAGGACAAACCGGACAATATTGATGTGAAACAAATATGCCAACAGTTCATTTCCGTTAATGACAGATTAACAGAAATGAATGAAAGACATGTGTATAGCTTCTTCAAATAGCAAGTAACAAGACAGTAACATTGGCATTAAAGCATTTAAGGTAAGTTTCGGTTACACTGCCTCCTTCTCATTGTTAGTTACCTGTGACATTACAGAATTCATTAATTAACATACGTTAAGGTCAATGAATTATGCAATGTAACTGAATACATTGTCTTATTAATTTTCTGAATCCTCAGCCTCCGGGGATGTGTGTGGGTGATAATGACCATGGTGACAAAAAGGTAGAGAAAGGAAGATGAACTAAGGCGGCTTAGGCGGGAGAGAAAGCCTTCTGGGTGTTACTGGCAATAAAGAAAGCAAGAGAGGCACCGGTAGTTCAGGAAGCCAAGGAGGAATCGGCCTCCATGGTCTTGCCTGGCCTATGGTCAAGGGCTGGAGCCATCACTAGACTCTGGTCAGGGGCTGGAGCCATCACTGGACTCTTGGTCAGGGGCTGGAGCCATCACTGGACTCTTGGTCAGGGGCTGGAGCCATCAATGGACTCTTGGTCAGGGGCTGAAGCCATCACTGGACTCTTGGTCAGGGGCTGGAGCCATCAATGGACTCTTGGTCAGGGGCTGAAGCCATCACTGGACTCTTAGTCAGGGGCTGGAGCCATCAATGGACTCTTGGTCAGGGGCTGGAGCCATCACTGGACTCTTGGTCAGGGGCTGGAGCCATCAATGGACTCTTGGTCAGGGGCTGGAGCCATCACTGGACTCTTGGTCAGGGGCTGGAGCCATCAATGGACTCTTGGTCAGGGGCTGGAGCCATCAATGGACTCTTGGTCAGGGGCTGGAGCCATTAATGGACTCTTGGTCAGGGGCTGAAGCCATCACTGGACTCTTGGTCAGGGGCTGGAGCCATCAATGGACTCTTGGTCAGGGGCTGAAGCCATCACTGGACTCTTAGTCAGGGGCTGGAGCCATCAATGGACTCTTGGTCAGGGGCTGGAGCCATCACTGGACTCTTGGTCAGGGGCTGGAGCCATCAATGGACTCTTGGTCAGGGGCTGGAGCCATCACTGGACTCTTGGTCAGGGGCTGAAGCCATCACTGGACTCTTGGTCAGGGGCTGGAGCCATCACTGGACTCTTGGTCAGGGGCTGGAGCCATCACTGGACTCTTGGTCAGGGGCTGGAGCCATCACTGGACTCTTGGTCAGGGGCTGAAGCCATCACTGGACTCTTAGTCAGGGGCTGGAGCCATCAATGGACTCTTGGTCAGGGGCTGGAGCCATCACTGGACTCTTGGTCAGGGGCTGGAGCCATCAATGGACTCTTGGTCAGGGGCTGAAACCATCACTGGACTCTTGGTCAGGGGCTGGAACCATCACTGGACTCTTGGTCAGGGGCTGGAGCCATCACTGGACTCTTAGTCAGGGGCTGAAGCCATCACTGGACTCTGGAGCCATCACTGGACTCTTGGCCAGGGGCTGGAGCCATCACTGGACTCTTGGTCAGGGGCTGAAGCCATCACTGGACTCTTAGTCAGGGGCTGGAGCCATCAATGGACTCTTGGTCAGAGGCTGGAACCATCACTGCACTCTTGGTCAGGGCTGGAGCCATCACTGGACTCTTGGTCAGGGGCTGGAGCCATCACTGGACTCTTGGTCAGGGGCTGGAGCCATCAATGGACTCTTGGTCAGGGGCTGGAGCCATCACTGGACTCTTGGTCAGGGGCTGGAGTGATCATTGGACTCTTGGTCAGGGGTTGGAGCCATCACTGGACTCTTGGTCAGGGGCTGGAGCCATCACTGAACTCTTGGTCAGGGGCTGGAGCCATCACTGAACTCTTGGTCAGGGGCTGGAGCCATCACTGGACTCTGGAGCCATCACTGGACTCTGGAGCCATCACTGGACTCTTGGTCAGGGGCTGGAGCCATCACTGGACTCTGGAGCCATCACTGGACTCTAGGTCAGGGGCTGGAGCCATCACTGGACTCTTGGTCAGGGGCTGGAGCCATCACTGGACTCTTGATCAGGGGCTGGAGCCATCACTGGACTCTTGGTCAGGGGCTGGAGCCATCAATGGACTCTTGGTCAGGGGCTGGAGCCATCACTGGACTCTTGATCAGGGGCTGGAGCCATCACTGGACTCTGGAGCCATCACTGGACTCTTGGCCAGGGGCTGGAGCCATCACTGGACTCTGGAGCCATCACTGGACTCTTGGTCAGGGGCTGGAGCCATCACTGGACTCTTGGTCAGGGGCTGGAGCCATCACTGGACTCTTGGTCAGGGGCTGGAGCCATCACTGGACTCTTGGTCAGGGGCTGGAACCATCACTGGACCCAACACACATAACACCAGCAACATAAATGGAAAGGATCACCTATTTGATCCCACCAGGACAGACAGGAAGGGCAGGCTCTGGCATTTCACTCATTGGAACAGACTCAGGAATTTCACACACTGCAACAGGCTTGGGATCTTCTCTCACGGGAACGTTCTCCGGAATTGTTTCACTGGGATGGATTTGGGAATTTCACACACTGGAGCAGGCTTGGGAATTTCACTGGTGTGGATTCAGGACACGAGATCCACAGGTGGCCAGCACCTGCTCCATGATGTCTTCAAAGGTCCCCCGAGGACCATCAATGGGCAAGCGTGCTCTTGTCTACTCAGTAAGGCTGGCGTGGTAAAATACCTTTAATAAGCAGTTGGGAAACGACGTCAGGCATGTCAGTTGTAAAAAATTCTTTGTGTTGTCCTTAAGGGTTATTCCTTGCTGTTCAAGACAGAAGGAAGTTCTAGTAGGACTCATGGCAAGTCCATACTTTAGACTTTGTCCGGGTCTTGTGTTCTGTCACTGTATGTGGCTGATAATAAAGCGCACAACAAGGAATTAAACAAAATCGTCTTTTAATTGAATAATAAACAGGAGAAGACCAATTAAATGAGAAACACAACCACATTTCTCAAATGCATTAAGAATGCAAAACAAGGAACTAACTAAAACAGAGGGCTTAAACACAGGGCAAACAGAGGGAGAAACTAACTAGACACACCTGAGCTGAGGAACCTAATCAATGGGCTCTATGCACGGCGTTATTTCCGGTGAAGGATTAAGGATGCTCGATAACTTCCGCCGATCATAGAGTCCAATGCAATACCGAGAATTTATATTGAATTTTATACTCCATGGTTACACTAATGAAACGTTAGTCACAAAAACAGATAAAACAGACACCCCTCGTTGTGTTTATGCTTCTTTTTAAAATTATATTAAATAAACATAACTATATATAAAATTACATCTAAACGTATGTACGTTTTGTTTCAAAGACGGGAGGACAGTAAATATTGAAGACTCTGCCATAATCCCGTTTTCTCCGGTTTTCCTCCGCTTTAATCTACACAACCGGAAATGGACGAGCATCCTTACGTCAAATGCGGAACTTATGCGTGCATATAGCCCATTACTGACCATGGTGAGAAACATTTGATTTCAAAATCTACACCCTTGGTAAATGGAACAAATGAATTACCTGCCAATGTATATTGTTTAGCTTACAGTTACATCCATTCCTTGCATACTGCTACATATGCAAAGAAACAATGTGTCAAAGGAGTTGGGTGCCTAAAAACACAATATATTCATGATTTAGTACTACTTAATAAAGATCCACTATCCTGCAGAGTTTAGCTCAAACCCCAATCAAACACAAGCTAATTAAGGTCATCAAAAAGAACTGCGCGCCAATGTTCAAGGTTGGGAATCATACCTTTAGGGGTACAACAGCTTGTCACTGGGGCAGTTCCCTCAAAACTACACCTACTGCACCTCCCCTACACCTTAAATCTGCATTATGAAGCCTTGTTTGGCTATACATTAGTGAATTTCCATTATGCCTAAAGCATAGATGCTGGGATTGTCTCCAGTGTCCCTGTGATCCACCATGGACAATCATCTTGTTTGAAGAATCGATGGATGGATGAAATAAATTAAATTTTGAGCTGTTGAGTCAGATTTCGCAGGAAATTCCAGGCTTACATTATTCATTCTTCACAATTTGCGTTCAAAAAGGGAAAGCACCAGATCCTGTGCCAAAACAAGATCCACACACAATGGTAGATATGATACTAGCTCATATGACTTTTTTTCTGATATACAGTTTTTTTTTGGAAATTCTTCTTACTTGGTGCAGCAACAGATCCTACACCTGATATGGTGACCAGCCATAACCATGTGGTCTCTTTAAACCATCAGATTCATCTGCACAGATGTGCAGCGCTGAACCACAACTTAAAAGAACTTTAAAGAACCTTTAAGCTTTAAAGAACTATTCTGCAAGTAACACAAAATGTTATGTTTCAACCACAGATGGCAATAGAGAGACGAAAGTGCATAGGGGAGCTTTGACATATTAATATTGTATAAATATTGTTTAGGGCAGGGATGGACAACTCTGAACTGGGAGGGCAATGTTCAGCTCCATGCCAAATCAAACACACCTGCCTGTAATTTTCAAGTAATCCTTGAATACTTTGGTAAGATTTTTCAGGTGTGTTAGACTAGAGATGGAGCTAAACTCTGCAGGACAATGGCCCTCCAGACCGGAGTTGACCATCTATGTTAGATAGGGTACAAATACATTTCATGTAAATAAGTAGAGTGGGAGTCCTTTTGAAGGCTTGAAGAAACTGCCCATGAAAAGCTAGTCTAAAGTTATTTTTTTTTTCACAATTTGACAATATAAAGAAGACGCTTAGTATACAGAAATTTAGATTTAAGTTTTATAGCTGGTGATGTCGATTTTATCTTAAAAGCACAAAGTGCCGAGCACAATATTTTAATATAAACTAAGGCTTACCATATTTTCAAGTTCTGGAGCATGAAGTTTAACAAAATTGGTTGATAACAAGTTTGAATGTTGGGGAGATTTTTGAACTACGTACCGAGTAGCAGACTAGCTGTGAGCTGATAGAATCCAGACACTGGAGCCGTATAGCGGCCACTGCTGGCGTTAAAGCCCTGTCCTCTCTGATGGAACTGCTCTGTATTTGAGGGCTGTTTGAGGAAAACACACAGAAATGGAATTATTGAATATACCTTTGCCGATCTCTTCCTTCGCCAACCCTTCACCACTGCTTTGCCAGTCTGTTTCACCAACAGCCAACGCTAACATTGCTGCTTAACCAATATATCTAGAAGTTAGGGCTACTTCAGGCCAAGGAAAGCTTAATTAAGTGATTAAATTTAATTTCTCATCTCTGGGGATGTTATATCATGGTTAATAAATGGAGTAAATTGTTTCTAGTTTGAAAGGGATTTTATCCACTCACAGTGTTGAAGGGCTGGAGCTCCTGCAGACTGCGACGGTGGACCAGCAGGTTGTGGTGGAGTCGGCAACGGAAAGCCGTGGCCACACGAGGAGGTTGATCGCAGAGCAAGCAGTGAGTTCCTACCATCTCTGAGTTGAAAGACAATAGCAGCATTGTAATGTTCCTTTGTCAAAAGCACAATAATAATTTCCATCTGACTGCATTGTTTAACGCGGGACAAAGTATAATAACCCAGTAGACTACACATTCTCAGACACAGAAACACTGAAATACAGCCAGTGGAAAATGGTTGAGATTGTCTTTGATAGACACTTGGCTGCAAATAAATTCATTAAACAATCTCACGGTGAATAGAAGATGTAAATATTTGGAGTGTTTGAGTGTGTGTTTGAGCAGACAGAGTGGATGGAAGTGTGAGGGAATGAGAATGCTAGAATGTATAAGCGTGCGGCGCCACTGCACTTTTCTATGTGAATAAGAGCCTTTATGTTTTATATTGCTGTCAGAACAGCCTGCAGCTCACTGCACCAGAGCACAAACAGACCTGTGTCTGCTTTCCTGGCAATCCTCCAACACTCATTCCACACACACACAAAATCTGGAATCTGTGGAATTCTTTGGCCAGGCCAAGTCAAATCCACGTCCTGGAAAATTACACCTATTAAGAGATCAGGCCAGCCCACAAACAGACTTGCAGCCGCCCCAACAAATGAGCATAACAACACGCATCCCAAACATCAAGCAATGCTGAAAGTGATCTAGCCGAACAAAAACACACACAGCTGTTAGACCACTAAAACAGACAAATTCCAATGTTTAACAAACTCTTTGAAAGGTGTTGATGTCAAAACGTAATACTTAATAGTATAACTAATTTGTGCACCTGCATCTGCAGTCTTTGTGTAGTTTAAATCCATCACTCTGAAAAACTATTGCACAAGTGCACTGAATCTTTAGATGGTGCATGGTATAGACCATCAACCCTACAAAGTCACAATAGTGTTTATGAACACTATGAACAGTGGTTGTCAATCCTGGTCCTGGAGACCCACCTCTGTACATTTTCCATGTCTCTCTTATCTGACACTTTCTCCAAACAAGCTGGTGATCTGAATCCACTTATCAAATCTGAACAAGTTTTAGATCTTGCTCAGGTCTGCTAGATGTACAATTGTTAGTGGTGTGTGAATGGGCTTATGTCCAAAAATCCCAGAATACCTTTCAGTTTGACTTGGAAGTCCTGTACCAACTCTGGATGATGAGGCAGTAGGGGGCCTGGAGGACCAGGAGGCCCCTGGGGACCAGGAGGGCCTGGTGGACCTGGAAGGCCATGCTAGACATGGAGAAAGTTTTCAAGTTACATTGCGCAATTAGAGAAATCCATTTGAAGAGGTGAAGGATTGGACACTTTCTCATAGTAGACATGTTGTGCTAAATCTGTTTTCATTCAGATGCACTCAACATTGTTCAATATATCAATGCACTTATTCTATGTATTAATAATACTCACATTTAACATGGTGTGTAAGAAGCAGAGATTACCTTGGAGAGTTTTTTATTTCCTTTTGGTTTCTTATTTCCACCCTTGTTGGAGTTGTCCCTAAAGACTTTCCATGTCCTGTGGGGGCTCACGATGGTTATGTCAGAGGATACAGTCTCCTGTAAAAGTTAAGCATCTCAGGGCTTTAAACTATGCAGGCAAACTTTCACTACAGCAAATATGCAAACTCTTCCAGTAGAAAGGATCAGGTTTTGTGTGATCATTATACATATATCCTATCATTAGATCATTATACATATATCCTATTATATATATATATATATATATATATATATATATATATATAACAGTTTACAGGTGGTAGACAATTAAGGTCACAGTTACAATAACTTAGGACACTAAAGAGACTCTGAAAAGCTCCAGTAGAAAGATGGCCAGAGTTCCTGATCACCTGCGTGAACATGCAATAGTCCTGCTGCAGGAGGCATGAGGACTGCAGATGTGAACAGAACAAAAAAACTGCTTTGTCCGTAATATAAGAGGCCTAAGTGGCCAGTGTTAACGGGAGACCGGGAGGATAACTGATCTGAACGTCTTTGCAGTGCCAAACCACATGTAACCATATGCAATAACTGGTGCAAATTTGGTGCAGTCCATGAGGATGCACTTTAGTATTAAAGCAGCTGGGGACAGCAACATTTCTCAAGCTCATATATCCGTGAAATTTATTCTGTTTATGTCTCAGTCGTTGAATCTTTTTATGATCATATAAATATTTACAAGCGTTTAATTTAATGGGAAAAAAAGTTGAAAGTGAGAGGACATTCCCTTTTTTTGGTTCACATTGAGTTTGTATAAAGTTTAAAAAAAAAAAAAATATTCCCTCTTGTCTAGTGGTTTTCAGACCCATAAGATTTGACACAGTGTCATCGTGTAAGCCTTGACAGGTGTACATCAGGTGTGTGTACGGCATTTGACTTACAGGGCTCTCAGTGCTGACTGTGTTGTCCTCCTCCTGGAGCTCCAGACTCTCCTCACTCTCTTGTGTGGTGCAGGCGGTCAGCAGTAAACCCAGCAGAAGGGCCAGCAGTGCCCCTCTTGCCCCTCTCGTCCCACGCCTGAGCTTCATCCTGCAGTGTCAGTAGGTAAACGTCTAACTCACTCAACCCCTTCTTAAATATCTCAATGCACAATTTCCATTCCAAACCAGAGATGTGTCCAGAAGTCCTGAGGGTAACGCAATTGAATCGGTCCTTAGAAAACAAGGATGTCCAAAAAAGAGTAGGTGAGAACTTGGAGTGCTGGTTCTCCAAAGTGTGAACAGAGTCCTTTAGCTGATAGTGGAACTGGTCTGTGATCTACCAATGTTCAACTTTCATTTCCGGGGTGGTTTTTGAGATGGAGAAGAAAATCGGTCCTCAGATTAGTTCATGTTTTGATTGTCCTCAGCACGGAGAGTTCAGAGAGCCATGAGCGTTGTCCATAGGGCCTCACTACTCTTCTACCCATTCACAGTCAGTCTGTCCTCTGACAGCCAAGATTCTCTGTGCCTCCTGAGTATAGTCTAAACTGTCTGAGCTTGAGTTATGGATGTTCAGCGTATGTGTTATAGTCACCCACTGTGAGTAGGTGTGTATTCCATAAATACATGTGTGTGGTTGTGTGAATGTATTTGTTGATTGTTAGTGTCTGTTGCTGAGTTGCGGTGTGATTACCTGTGATAAACCCTGTGTGTGTGGTATACTCAGTCTGTGGGTGGTATCTCCACTTCTTCTCTCTGTTTTAAAAGTGTTTGATTGTCTTCAGCTTTTCCCTGGTGCCTTTGCACAGTTCTGTCTGTTTATATTTTCAGTAATTCCTTCAGTGATGATTTTTTTTTTTTTGCCAGTTGAGGTCCCCTTCAGGCTCCAGGTAATTCCACATCTATCAGTGGCCCTCTCAGAAAGGATTTTTCTGTTTTGAAGGGCTCCTTTTCGCGCTCCTCTCTTTTTAGCTTCCTCTCAGACCAGACTCCTCCTCCTCCTTTTCTAATTTGTCCACTCCTCCTGATATCTGCCGCTGAATCTTGACCTGTCACTTTGTCTCTCTTCAGCCTCCATGCTATTTATCTGAACTCTCAATTTATCTGATCTCTCTCTCTCTATGTCTCCTACACTGAGTTCCTTGGTCCCTTCTTTCGTTTCTCTTAGATCATTTGTTTGTCTGTGCCAGCCCTTTCTCTCCGTCATCCTCATCTGCAGGGTCCTAGTGCCTCTTTTATGGGTTTATATAATGGTCAGAGATGCTCTGAGATGATTTCCAGTGATGGAAATAATAATAATAAAAAAAAAGAGTTAAATGTCAGAAATATTATAAAAAATAGTGTTCATTTAGTCTCTATCCTACATTTGCAAGCAGTGAGAGACCTTTGGGTGTGGCAGAAATGTGTATTGCAGATATGCAAAAATGATGACAGTTGAGATGAAAATTGCACACTTTCTTGTAACAAACCACCACACCTCTCCTTTTATCAGTCTTCTGCTCTTGCTTTTTCCTGGCTGAGAGTACAGCATCTGTGTGGTTTTTAGACTAGACCACAATTGGGCATGAAACTAATGAAGCTTTAAAAATGCAGGAGTCTGTGAGCCTAATTAAATGTCATTATTTTCAAAATTCATACAAGAGATTATTAGTCTTTTGGCAAATTCGTTTAAACCTCTGGTGCTCATGAAAACGAATCAAAAATGACCGAAATGTTGTTGTTTTTTTCAATGGAATTAATGTACTATATTTTAGTTGCATTTTTAAGGTATTTTATTGTATTAAATTATATTTACGCTGTATTCACTTTTTGAGCATAGACCTGAAAATTACATTTCCAACTTAAACTGTCGTAAATATTGAATGCTTTATATTGCAGACTTAAGTTTGAATTCTTTTCAAAGACGACACTAGGCAGATTATTGCTGATGTGAAAAAAAACGTTTAATTTTTACTGAATTTTACGTTTATTGTTATGAAAACTGTGCATGTGTTACAATTTTATTTGAAATATATAATTCAAAAACATGTTTTACTCAAAAAACCCCATCATAAATCAAAACAAGTTGCGTCCAAAATTTGAGCCTAATATCTAAAAAAAAATTAGTTTTCACTAAGATTTTGTTTTCCTGAGTACCAAAAGTCTCCCATTCATTTCCAATGCGCTTATTTTTGACCGCGAGGAGCACTAGTGTGACTACTTTTTTTGACCAGTTGTTTTTTGTGATTTTTTGTTCACATAGACAAGAGCCAAAACCTTTTCCAATTTTCATACCCTTTCGATGAACAACAAAAAAAAAATCTTAAAAAAACGAACGGAAATGACCGAAAAGCACCAGAGTGATCAGGACAATCAGCACAGTATTTTTCATCCTGGATCAGTGTAATTTTAGTAAAGAATAGAGGCAATTTTAAATGATTCAATCAGAACCACTGCAGCAAATCCCTTTAAAGTATGCACTGAAAATAAAAACAAAAGCATACTTCATCAAACAACATAGACAATGCTATCTAAATGATTTAGGAAATAGACGTTTGTTGTTAGAGAATGGTGAGTGGAAGCTAACTGCATAATTAAGTCCTGGATAAGAGGATTTGAGGTCACTAGTCCTGATCTGTAAAGACTTTCTCAGTATCACCAAATCTCATCAGACAATTTCAATATCCTGTACACACAATGACTTCTCCGGTGGCTAAAGGAGAGGCCCGGAAAAGATGTTTCGGAAAAGGTTTCACGTCCCTGTTAACGAATATGCTCTATGACCTCATTTGAGAAACGGCACCACTTGAACTGCTGTAATTCTGTTGTCAGAGCGGGTGAGTACCAAAGCCTCAATATATAGGCTAGCACTACGCTTATATAACATTATGTCACCATGGTTTTATTCATCTGAACTGTGAATTATACTCACTGTACTTTCAGTGTTAAACATGGAGCAGGACGATGTTTCGCCGCTGCAGCACTTTGTGGTTGCAAAGAGGACAATCAGTGCTATGTTTCAACAGATGTTGGAGTATGTTAGAGAAGGATCAGATTTTGTAGAGGGTAAGATGATTAACTATTGCATTTGTGATTGTGACTTTCATAGTTTACATTATATATTTAGTAATTAGTCTATTTAATTTACAAAAGGTACTTTTTTTACATTTGAGAACGCTAGTGAAAATGCTTCAGTTTTGGCTTTTTATCATTTGATATATTTATCATAGTTTTCTTCATTACAAATGAAAGGATCAGCATAGCATTTTAAGTGAAATGTTTATTGTTACAAAGGACACCTTACGCTTTAACTTCAAATTAATTACCTCCATTAGGTTCGATTTAAAATCCCAGCATTTTACGTGAAGACTATTGTATACTTTTGACAATATCTATGTAGACTCATAGCCGTCACCAGGGAGTCCCCTTGAGAGCAACCAGAGGGCACTCAACTTTTTCAATAGGGCAAGACTATTGCCATTTCCTCACAAACTACATCTCCCATAACTCCCTGCCCGGACTCTTCATCCATTATCACATTCACCTGTGTCTCATTATCTTGTTTAGCTCACCCCATATAAGCCTGGTTTTCACACTCACGATATGCAAAGTCTTGTTTAGTGTTACACTGAAATTTTGGGCCTTCTCCCTGGTTTCATGTCTCTTTGTTTTGGATTTCTTGCCTGTTTGGTGGATTACTCTTTTGCCAGGTGTTCCCTGCCCCGTGTTTGTTTGTATGGATTGCATGCCTGTGTTTGACCCTACTTGTACTTTGGATTACGTCTTTGGATTACCCTGTTCAATAAATACTGCATTTGGATCCACAATCTGTGCATTATTTATTGAACAGGGTAAGTGTGAGCTCAGGGTAAGAGCAGTTCGTTACAAATACAATGGTTTCTTAGTATGGAAATGATTTAGTACCATGATATATATTAAAGCACCATGGTATTTATGCTAAAATGCTTTAAAGTATTTTTTCACATCAAAACACTGTAGTCCATAGTGTCACAGGTCAGCATGTGTCCATGCGTGACACAATGAATGATAATATAAGACATTAATGAACACAGAGAAGAACATAAAACCAATAACATAACTTTAACAAGAGACAAAGGACAGAGATGAACTGAAGACTTAAAGGCCAACTGAAGGCTTAAAGGCCCACTGAAGTGCCTTAAAATCCACAGGATTATTCAATGTGTTGACGTAATTTTCACTGAAACAGGAAGGCAGGGTGCACATTTAGAACAGCTCCTCCCCTTTTAAAAAAATAGACAATTTTTTTGCACTTTAGGCTCTATTTACACGAGAACGCTTGCGGATGAAAACGTAAAAATATTTTATCGAATGTGCCTTTCGTTTACACGGCGACGCCGTTTTTTGAGGCTCAAAAACGCAAAAAAGTGAAACCACCCTCCAGTGTGGAAATCTTAAAAACGCTCCACCGCCGCGTTCCCGTGTAAATGGTAAAAACGCAAAAGTCTGCTCGACAGTGAAGGTTGTACGCAGGTGCGTGGACTTGGTGTTGTTGTAGTATGCACTCCTAGCCGCCTGAAGTGCATACTACATTGAATTTCACACACTTTTGCGTCTCCATTTGCACGCGGATTTCCCACACAAAACACTCGTCTAAACGCTCGTCTAAAACGCCAGAGCCGTTGAGCTTGGTAAAGCTGCAGTTTCCTCCTAATCTCCTCCATATTGTTTTAAAATATATCATCCTGAGCAGAATTCATATTGGTCTGATACATTTTCTGGTCCGCTCTGTACTATCGTGTCTCTAGACCATAGAAAACCATGTGCGCTGCGACGGTTCGTAAAACCATACTTCAATCACCGTAATGAAAATCATATTTACACAGTCTAAATAGTTCCCTATCCCCGATATAGTGCACTACGCACCATTCATCAAACAGAAAATAGTAAATGTGTCTACAATTGACCGGTTTCAGCCACAACTTCAGCATCTATTTATAGTGTAAGGTTTAAAGTATTACGCAGATTTTAGAGAGCATTTGATTGGACAGAAAATCTGATGAGAAACTGTGCAAAGTGTAGAGTGATGTCACCAAAATCATTGAATGCTTATATCTTCTACATGCGAATTTTGTCACTGTTTTGGAGCACATTAACTTAGATAACAATAAGGATGGCATATTTATACTAAAATTACATTTAAACTTCATGGGAACTTTAAATACACAAAGGATGATAATCAATGAAACAAGGAACAGGTGTGTAACTAACAATAAACCACGACAACTAATGAATGACTTAAACTAAGGTAAACAATGGCAATGAAAACACTAAACAAGACAAACTAAACATGTCTGTGACACATACCCTATAATAACAAAGCAAAAAAAAATAAAACATTCTAATAACATAGGCATTCAGACCCTTTGCTATGACACAAATTTAGCTCAGTTGCATACTAATTTTCTAGGTCATCTTTGAGATGTTTCCGCACTTTGTCAAGAGTCCACATGTGGCAAATTCAATTGAGAACCCATTGGCCTCTGCAATTTATATTGGACGTTTGGAACAACCAGGGCTTTTACTAGAGCTGGACCTCAGTCCAAACTGAGCAGTTGGGGGAGAAGGGCCTTGGTGACAGAGAACCTGGTGGTCATTATGGTTGCGGTTCAGAAATCGTGTGGGAGAAGCTTTCAGAAGGACAAACATCACTGCAACACTCCATTAATCTTGGAAACTACATTTCAAATAACTTACTAATTTGCAACTACATGTCAACTTATTCTCATTGAAGTTAACGTTGGGGTTCGGGTTAGTAGAATTAGTTGAAATACTTCCAAAGTAACTTATAGTCAGTAGAATGGCTGTTCCGGGACCATCAAAATAAAGCATCCACAAATATTAAGGAGACAGTAACTAATACTCTAATCTAATGACTGCTAGCTAGTTGACATGTCTAAAGTGGACTATCAAAATAAAGTGTAAACAAAAGCACATAAAGGACTTTCAGACTCTGAGAAACAAGACTCTCTGGACTGAATTGCGGTTCCAAGCATCATGTCTGGAGAAAACCAGGCGCTGCTCATCACCTGCACAATACCATCCCAATAGTGGTGCTATTAGACTGAGGGAATGGGGGAAAAATGAATGCAACACAAAACTATCATTTCAGTACTGAGTTAAGGGCCTGCAGTGTGAAATTTCAGGAACAATAAATAATAAGCAAAGCAATCACAAATCTGGCTTTTGCTTTGTCCCCATGGGACATGGAGAGTTGACTGATGGACTCTCACACAGGCCTAGATCTCTTTATCACCTAAGTTTGGTCCAGCGCTTTACTGTGATGGTATTTAATAAGTGTGTGTGTGGTGCCCAGAGACGAGGAAGAGTGAGGATCTGGAGCATGTAGCCGAGGAAGAACAGTGTCTGCAGATCCAGGCCTGCTCCAGGAAACTATCGGTCATCAATGATGTGCTGGCCCGCAGACACATGAAGGTGGCTTTTTTTGGCAGGTAAAGCAACAGTGGTCATATGTAAAGCAAATGATGACAACAGGCCAGCCAGAATGAAGTTAGCAATGCATACAGCTGAGGAACTAAAACAAAAACATTAATATTGCAGACTGATCTCATGAAGTAGTGTGTGTATGACACGCCAATTCGTATTTCTATTTTTGGCGTGCTATCAAGACGCATAATCGCCTTTCAGCGTGTTTATGAACGCTGTTGACTTAACGTTATATAAATATATGACTTACCTCAACCCCGTCCCTAAACCTAACCGTCACTGGGGTTAATGGCATTTATGACTGTTCCCTTACCATCCTAGGTAAAAAAAAGATATGACTTACCTCAACCCCATCCCTAAACTTAACCGTCACTGAGGTTAATGGCATTTATGACTGGAGATTTGACTGCGTGTTCAGACACGCGGAATGACGCGGACGTTAATGGCGTAGACATATACGCATACACACACGGATAGCACAAAATGCGTGGAGATGACACGCCACCTGACTCGAAAGTGGCGTATATGTTTTCGCAAAAGTCATGATGTCATGTTGAATATTGATATATTTATATTTTAATTCTTCACCTGTATGCATTGCTAATTTAAACAAATAGCAAGACGTCAAAAACCGAGTATTTGTGTACAGTGATAGCCCTCTCTCTCTCTCTCTCTCTATTTCCCTCCTCCCCTCCTCATTAATTTGTGTTTGAGCTTCTCTTGAGAGTGTAAATGGACAGTTTTGTTACTGGATGTTGTTTCTCAGGACCAGTAATGGAAAGAGTACAGTAATTAACGCCATGCTAAGAGAACGGGTTCTGCCCAGTGGAATCGGCCACACCACAAACTGTTTCCTGAGTGTGGAGGGCACAGATGGGGAACACGCCTACCTTACCACTGAGGACTCTGAAGAGAGGAAGAGCATTGAAGTATGACGCAAATATTATGCAGTTCTTTATGTTTGTAAACTGGTGTTCATCTGGGATAATTAATGAAATTACTCTTATTCTTGCGACTGGGACAAACCTAAAAACCTTTTTTAAAAACTAAAACTACAGTTTCTTTGATGCTTAAGTTGGCAACATGGTTGTGAGAAAATATAAATCAATCACAATTACTGGTAACACTTAACGATACGGGTGCACTAATATACATTAATTCATGCTTAACTAATGCACAGATAATCATGAGTTAATGTATAACTCAAAGAACTAAACCATTAATTGATGATTACTGCATCAGCAACTAATAAAGAGTCTATATGATTAATAGATTAAGTAATACATGAATTGCTATTAATTCAATGTGTAATTGTATATTAATTCCTCAATAACATATTTTATTAACTAACAGTGTAAATTAATGTTTTAATTACCATAATTAGTCAAAGCTATGCACTTTAACCTCGAGTTGTCTGATTTAATTAATCATTAGCTAATTATTTGCAAAGGTATCATTACGCTATGACTTTACTTGTTGGGGCACATCATTATTAACTAGTCATTTAGTAATTTGCACATGAATTTGCACTAACAATGAAGCAATTAATCATGTATTAATGCATATTAGTGTACCTGTCATATTATCTGGAAGTTGAAATACAAAGCTTTGGCTCATTCTGGTAATCAACATATTAGTTCAAAAAACGAGTTATTATGGAATGAATCCACAATTACATATTTAATTAATAACAATTCGTGAATGAACTAATACATTAACCTTACAGACTATTAATTAGTTCCTAATTAATGAATAGCTTAAATAATCATTAGTTACACATTAATTCAGTATTATCTGTGCATTAGTTAAGCATGAATTAATGCTTATTAGTGCACCCGTATTGTAAAGTGTTACCCAATTAGTTAAAGCTATGGTAGGCAATTTCAGAGAGGCTGCGACAGTCAAGTCAAGTCACATTCACTTATATATAGCGCTTTTTACAATATAGACTGTTTTACAATGATAACAGGAAATTAATGCAACAAAGATTGTTTTGGCTGTACAGTAGCTCAAGAGGAAAATCATTGTCTAGCTTAAGTAAGTTTTATATTGATTAATTTGAGTTGTAAAAATCATTAGTTATTAACTCAGGGACTGCTTTTAATGCATTCTTACTGTTTATTACATGACAACAGCGCTTTGTTGATGGCATATGCACATGCGTATTACGTGTTAAATCTATAGACATGTACGTTTGAATGCTTATGTGCGTGGGCGCGTAGTCTTTTTTTACAAAGTGACATTGCCAATTACTCGTCTGGCATGCAGAATATAGCGGTTTTTAATCGTTTCCGCAGAATTATTCGTTTCCATGCCTCCTCCAAAACACATGAACACGTACAGCCAGAGCAGAGTCTGCAAAGTGTCACGAGAGACGCCATTAAATTACCATGAAAACATACCACTGCAATAATAATAAACATAAACAACTTAAAAGCTCTAACTTTTACCATCTGATGGCAGCAGATTAATTTTTCAGTTGATAGATTGGCAATAGAAACACATAAATCTGAGTCTGAGGACGTGAATTGCAGTAATTACCTAATTAATGGGTAACGCATTACAAGTAATGCAAGTTACGTGATCAAATGAAGAGATACATTCAAGTGTATCATCTCTAGTGAAGTTCAATGTAGAATTTGTTGTTTTCTAAACTGATGGCATGTCAAGTTATGCATGTTTTATCTCACTTTTATATTAAGAAACTAGCTTTATTTTTTTTTATGTCAACAAGATCCACAGGGGAGCTCTCTATGTCATTTTGACATTTTAAAAAGATAAATAACAGGTGTTTCCATATTGTGGTGTGATATGAAAAAAGTGTTGAAGCTTAAAGTTTGGCTTTACCTTACAGACAGTCAATCATCTGGCCCACGCTCTGCATATGGACAGAAACCAAGACTCAGGCTGTCTTGTCCGAGTGTTTTGGCCCAAAACTAAGTGTGCGGTGCTGAGAGATGATCTGGTTCTGATGGATAGGTATGGAACCGTCCACACAGGCTACAGGGTTGCCAGAGCTAAATATAGTTTCTGCAGGGTAGTTTGGCACATGAACAACAGACCTGGACTGCGTTTCTCAAAAGCTTTGTGAGCCTACAGAGATCATAAAACTATTGGCAACAACGATCAACTTAGCTCACAATCATTTTGGGAAACACAACCCTGGATACATAGACTTCTATAAGGAACTATACAAGGTTTGATGTGTTGTAAAGGGGGGCAAGTCAAAGGACTAATGGTTTTGGAAGTGCTGCTCTAGAGATATCATGAGTGGTAACAGCTGACACAAAAAAAGACACCAAATCCCCTGATCTCAGATTAGCAATAAAGAATAGAACATTATGTGTGGTTTGGTGTAATGTTATTGCCCTCACACTCCTCAGTCCAGGCACAGACGTCACATCAGAGCTGGACAGTTGGATTGACAAGTTCTGTTTAGATGCTGATGTCTTTGTGCTTGTGGCCAACTCTGAGTCCACCATAATGAACACTGTGAGTAGAACCTTATCACTTTCAGAAATCCATTAACAAAATAAATCTTTGTTATATCTGTTATCAGTCAATATTAGAGTTGTTGTTTTTTCATCTATTGGTATCAATTGGATATTTAAAAATTCAAACTTCCAACATTTCCTATATTTAGATGCTTCACGCTCATTTAGACTACCTTTGCAGTCAACTTGAGTTTAAAAGCACTAATACTTAAATAAAACTGTTAAATGAAGTTTTTAGCTCATTTTAAAATGAAGTTCCATTTTTTCATAGTGCACATTACAATGTTGTGATACTTTAACTAACTTGTAGCATTTAAAATAATTTATCGTGGCAAAACATTGTCAGATATTATTGTAAAAATAACTATCAAAGTATTGACCAAATTGTAGTATCGCTGCATCCCTATAAAGTTTACTTTTATTATTTAGATACTTTTTTCTGCAGCTTTTAATTATTTTCCCTTTTGTTTATTTGAAAGGAGAAGCACTTTTTCCACAAAGTGAATGAGCGCATATCAAAGCCCAACATTTTCATCCTAAACAATCGCTGGGATGCATCTGTCTTAGAGCCAGAGTATCTGGAAGATGTAAGTTTTATTACCATTAGTCTCAAGTGATTCACCATATAAAACCACCACAGAGATTTGTGAGATTTTTGTAACATTTATCATTCCTCCGTCATCCATTTCAGGCTTTTGAGTTCAAGGAAATGAGATTAACAACACTTAATAAGTTTCATTACTATGTCATTCACAAACATAATGCAGTGCTTAACAGTTGAGAAGTTCATGTAGATTAAAGGGATAGTTCACCCAAAAATGAAAAAAGATACTCTGAAGAATGTTGGTAACCAAACAGTTAATGGGCCCCATTGAATTCTATAAGTTTTCTTCTTTTTTTTTCATACAATAGAAGTCAATGGGGCCCATCAACTTTTTGGTTACCCATATTCTTCAAAACATATTTAGTGTTCAACAGAAGAAAGAAATTCATACAGGTTTCGGAACACCTTGAGGGTGAGTAAATAATAATAATAATGTATTATATTTGACAACATTAAGGGTAACTATAGGACACGCATTTACATTTGATTTTATAAAAAAGTTTTATTTTCAGAACACCTCTGCACACCACTGATCTATTACGAGGCTTTCTATAACACATATTCAGTAAATGATGACAGCATTTTCATTTTTGGGTGGACTAACCCTTTAAGAGATGAATGGATATAAAATTTTATTGAATATGTTTATGAACTATAAGTTGATTATTGAAAGCTTAGTTAAAGGAGGTGTTATATTGTGTTCATTTGTTTGTACTTTACTAACCTTTTAGGTGCGGAAACAGCACATGGATCGCTGTGTCAGTTTCTTAGTGGAGGAGCTGAAGGTAGTGGACCTTCACAAGGCACCTGACCGCATCTTCTTTGTCTCTGCCAAGGAGGTGTTGAGTGCCAGGATCCACCGCGCTCAGGGAATGCCAGAGACTGGTAGGCTCCAGCGCTTTGGGTCACACAGTGCCGAGTCTACTGCTTTTGACACGGTTCTGGAGGGAGACCAGGAAAAACGAGGCTTAGCCAAGTTAAAAACGAGAGTAACAACCATATAAAACACTCAGAGGCAGATGCTATTAAATCTTGAAGTGGCCAGTGTTGTAGTCGAGACCACCTCAATCGAGTCCGAGTCGACACCGAGACCAGAGAGAGTCGAGTCCGAGTCAAGACCGAGTCCATAGAGAGTCGAGTCCGAGTCGAGTCCGAGACCAGAGACGGTCGAGTCCGAGTCGAGACCAGTGAGGGTTGATTACCTAATTCACTTTTATTTACTTAGAGAAATCCTTTTTTTTTTTTTTACTGAATTTACTTAGAGTTTAAAAAATATGATCCGTTTAGGGTAAAAAGGCCACATAGTAGGTGGTGTTAAAAGTAATTTTATTACAATTTGTCATGCGCAGTTGCACACTAGAAAATCACCAATCACTGGGCGTGTCAATCAATTTAAAGAAATATTTTATTAACATACATTTATAATCATGAAAAATATTTTTAATTGAACTCGAGTGGACTTGGGAATAATTCTGAGTCCTAAAAAAAAAAATGTTCGAGTACGAGTCAATTCCGAGTCCAAATGGACACGAGTCCATGACAAGACCAAGACCATTAAAATATGGTCTCCGAGTCTCGAGTACTACAACACTGGAAGTGGCCCAATGATTTTGAGAGTGATACTTGAGGAGTGACTTGAAATGTGCAAAAATATATGTAAATTTCTTGATATTTCATTTGTTGGATGGTAGGGATCAAACGGGGCATATGCTTTTTATTTGAAGGCGGGGCTTTGGCTGAAGGATTCCAAGAGCGACTGATGGAGTTCCAGAGTTTTGAAAGAACATTTGAGGTGAGAATGCTCTCAAACTGTAGTCACTGGCTCCAGGATAATCGTTGTCTGACAACGAGGCTGAAAACAATGAAGATTAAGAGGAGCTTGATGGAAACTGAGTCTTAGCCATGTCTGTACGCTGTTTAGACTAGATGAGAATTTATGACAGCTTGACGTGGTGACGGTCTCCTTAAGCAAGCTGTTTTTTGCATTGATTCAGGCCATCTGCTGCTGGCTCCCAAACGTGTGAGATACTTGGTGTTCCTCTTAGATTCCAGGCAGCCGTTTACCGTAGTGGCCAAGTTAGCGGATTTGAGTTGGTGAGCGTACCTCACATTCTTGGGAACCAGGGATGAAAATTCACAGTAATCTGTTGTGATTCAGCCATGAAAAGCATGTTGATGGGTACAGATAAAAATCGACCCGTTGGCATCTTGTTTTAATCATGACGTGATCCCTGATAACTGTGGCACAATGACGGCTCAAGAACGCGCTTCATGGATTCCACAGGAATTCATATCCCAGTCCGCCGTGAAGACCAAGTTTGAGCAGCACACAATCAGAGCCTGGCAGATCATTGAGTCGGTCAAGGCTATCATGGATGCCATCAATATTTCTTCAGCAGAAAAGAAGTGAGTTCCAAAACCTTGTCTGCTCTGTAATGGAGGGTCTCTCTCCACACTCCAAGACACTATAATTGGTCCCACTATTGAACCGAGACCTCAGATTCTCTCAGTCAGAGAGAAAACATTTGTTTTTAGAATGGTATTCTTCATAGAAGTCATTGTTGTGTTGAAACGTTTTAGTTGTAACCATCATAATGTTCTGTAAATCTGTAGAGTGTTCTCACTGGAAGAGCGTGAGGCTCAAATGGACCGGCTAGAGTTTGTGCGAAATCAGCTTAACTTCCTGACCGAGGACATCAAAGACAAGATAAAGGCCATCGCTGATGAAGTGGCTGCCAAGGTAACTTGCATTATCATCCCTTACAAAATGTACCATGGCAAGCCTTGTGTCTGCAGAAAACCCCTCAATGTAATCTGAGTATGTAATCAGATTCTTGTGCTTGTAATTAGATATTACACTTTTTATTGATTAAATGATTACATGTTAGTTTAACAATGGCAGTAATTCATACTTCATTCTACTTCATGTTTTTTTAAAAAGTCTACTGCTTATATATACGTTAAGAAGGTTTTCCAGGTTTGTGGAATTGCACACTAGTCGTGAGCCGATCACTGAAAGTGAAAACTGAGACCACAAACCTTTTATTTAGGTTATATTTTAAAGTTATTTAAAATATGATTTAATTACATAATAGCTTGGTCTAAGAAACCCTGACATAATATAATATTTAATACATTGCATGTTGTTGTTAACAAAGAATGAAATATTTTCTTTCTCTTTGTATTTTTAAATCAATATAGTAACCATTCAAATTAACTTGATAAATGTGTCAGGTCAAAAGTAATCTAAAAGCAGTCAAAATACATTACCTAGAATGAGTAATCAAGATTACAGACTGTATGTATGTATATCATGTACATCAGGGGTCTATATATATATATATATATATATATATACGCACACACACTCACCTAAAGGATTATTAGTAACACCTGTTAAATTTCTTATTAATGTAATTATCTAATCAACCAATCACATGGTAGTTGCTTCAATGCATTTAGGGGTGTGGTCCTGGTCAAGCCTTGTTGATGCTAGAGGTCAGAGGAGAATGGGCCGACTGATTCAAGCTGATAGAAGAGCAACTTTGACTGAAATAACCACTCGTTACAACCGAGGTATGCAGCAAAGCATTTGTGAAGCCACAACACGCACAAACTTGAGGCGGATGGGCTACAACAGCAGAAGACCCCACCGGGTACCACTCATTTCCACTACAAATAGGAAAAAGAGGCTACAATTAGTGAGAGCTCACCAAAATTGAACAGTTGAAGACTGTTGTCTGGTCTGAGTCTCGATTTCTTTTCAGCGTCAGAATTTACCAATAACAGAATGAGAACATGGATCCATCATGCCTTGTTACCACTATGCAGGCTGCCACTTTAGGCCCCTTAGTGCAAACTGGGCATCGTTTAAATACCATGGCCTACCTGAGCATTGTTTCTGACCATGTCCATCCATTTATGGCCACCATGTGCTCATCCTCTGATGGCTACTTCCAGCAGGATAATGCACCACATCACAGAGCTCGAATCATTTCAAATGTGTTTCTTGAACAATGAGTTCACTGTACTAAAATGGCCCCCACAGTCACCAGATCTCAACCCAATAGAGCATCTTTGGGATGTGGTGGAACGGGAGCTTCGTGCTCTGGATGTGCATCCCACAAATCTCCATCAACTGCAAGATGCTATCCTATCAATATGGGCCTTTCAGCACCTTGTTGAATCAATGCCATGTAGAATTAAGGCAGCTCTAAAGGCGGAAATTGGTCATAGTATTAGTATGATGTTCCTAATAATCCTTTATGTGAGTGTATGTGTATATACACAAATATATATACACAGTCAGGTTCATAAATATTGGGACATTGACACAATTCTAATCATTTTGGCTCTATAGACCATTTCACAAGATGTAAACAACACTGGTCCAGAAGCACTTCCTGTTTCAGTTTTTTAACACTACATAAAAGCTGGGATAAAATACAACCAACAGAACATTTAAAACTGAATCAAAAAGTTAAACAAACATCTTTAAGATGTTTTCTTTACATGTGAAATAAGTTACAAACTGAAACAGGAAGTGCTTCTGGACCAGTGTTGTTTACATCTTGTGAAATGGTCTGTACACCACCACAATGGATTTGAAGTGAAACGAACAAGATGTGCTTTAACTGCAGACGCTTAGCTTTAATTTGAGGGCATTTACATTCAAATCTGGTGAACGTTGTAGGTATTACATCCGTTTGTATATGTGCCTCACACTTTTTAAGGGACCAAAAGTAATGGGACAGATTAACAATCATAACGCTGGGTTTAATCCCTGGTGATGCTCTGCCAGGCCTCTACTGCAACTGTCTTTAGTTCCTGCTTGTTCTTGGGTCATTTTCCCATCAGTTTTTTCTTCAGCAAGTGAAATGCATGCTCAATCGGATTCAGGTCAGGCGATTGACTTGGCCATTGCATAACATTCTACTTCTTTCCCTTAAAAAACTCTTTGTTTACTTTTGCAGTATGCTTTGGGTCATTGTCCATCTGCACTGTGAAGCACCTCCCAATGAGTTCCGAAGCATTTGGCTAAATATGAGTAGATAATATTGCCCGAAACACTCCAAAATTCATCCATCTGCTTTTGTTAGCAGCCACGTCATCAATAAATAAAAAGAAGAGTACAAATAAAGAGAACCAGTCCATTTGCAGCCATACATGCCCACACGATTCACTGATGAGGTGGTATGCTTTGGATCATGAACAGTTCCTTTCCTTCTCCATACTATTGTCATCACTCTGGTACAAGTTGATCTTTGTCTCATCTGTCCATAGGATGTTGTTCCAGAACTGTGAAGGCTTTTCTAGATGTGAAGGGTGTTTTCTTCACCAGGGAAAGAATTCTTCGGTCATCCACCACAGTTGTTTTCCGTGGTCTTCTGGGTCTTTTGGTGTTGCTGAGCTCACCAGTGCATTCTTTCTTTTTAAGAATGTTTCAAACAGTTGATTTGGTCACACCTAAAGTTTTTGCTGTTTCTCTAATGGGTTTGTTTCGTTTTATCAGCCTAATGATGGCTTGCTTCACTGATAGTGACAGCTCTTTGGATCTCATATTGAGAGTTGACAGCAACAGATTCTAAATGCAAATAGCACACTGGAAATGAACTCTGGACCTTTTATCTGCTCCTTGTAAATGGGATATTGAGGGAATAACACACACACCTGGCCATGGAACAGCTGAGCAGCCAATTTTCCCATTACTTTTGGTCCCTTAAAAAGTGGGAGGCACATATAGAAACTGTTGTAATTCCTACACCGTTCACCTGATTTGGATGTAAATACCCTAAAAGTAAAGCTGAAAGTCTGCAGTTAAAGCACATCATCTTCGTTTCATTTCAAATCCATTGTGTATAGAGCCAAAAAAAAAAAAAATAGAATTGTGTCGATGTCCCAATATTTATGGACCTGACTGTATATTGCATTATTTTATCCCTTGAGGTAGTCCCCTGATGTACATAACGTTCAGATTTAAAAAAAAAAAAAAAAAAAAACTTTATTAATTCACCTTAAACCTCATCAGCCTCTTTCATGAGGATGGTTTTAGACGCCTAATAACCATGGATACAATTATACAATATACCATTTAAAAGCTAAAACTGAATTGTTAAATTGGTAAGTACTAATTGGTTAAAATCCAAAATTTCTGTTCAAAATAACTTTCTTCCATTTTTAAGGGAATTCTATTTTATTTTATTTATTTTATTTTAATTTTATAATTTGTGAAACTGATGGTATATATTCCTTCAAATTACAGTAGCTACTAGCCTGTAAAAAGTTGACAGTGTCAGCTAATATTTGAACATAATATTTTTTACGGTGTTAAAAAGGTCCAGTGAATTCTCCCTGCTGTTCTTCTAGGTGTCCAGTGCCATGGCAGAGGAGATCTGTTTCCTGTCTGTTCTTGTGGATGAATTCTGCGCTGATTTTAGCCCTGCCCCAAATGCCTTAACCCTATACAAAACTGTGAGTTTTGTTAAACCCCTTTCAAAAGTTATGTTATTTTATTTATTTATCAAGTCCGATTAGAAAGAATCATGGAGAGTTAACTTTTCAAGCCTGAAACATGTACCACAGATACCCAAATACCTGTGCTTGGTTAAGCAGTGCACTGGTTGTCACAGTCTGTTCACCGTTCATAACCTAACCTCCTGTCTAGAGAGTTACCTGAGTGACAGCTTGTCTGTGTGATCAGCGTAACAGGATTGAGGAGCTGGTGTCTTAACGTCCTGCTGTGCACAGGGAAAGGTTACTTAAGACTAGACACATTGTTCTTTCATTCTTTCAGGCGTGTGACATCTTCAAATTCTGTTAAAAGACACACAAAAGGTACATTTATTTAAATCATGACAACTCTCAAAATAGTTTTGGTATGTTATAAAAATGGCAATGTTAGTGTATTTGGTCTTGGTGGACCAGACCTCCTACACCGCTGCTGCAGAGATCAATGCAAAGAGATAAACTTGCTACTGCTAGATACACAGACACGCTTGGATAAATGAATAAATAGACATACATGAATCCCATAGCAGATCTAGGCAGGTGGAGCTGGGGAGGTGGACGTTTTCTGATAGCGCTCTGCAGAACTAGCTTACAGCAAACAATAAATCAGACTGTTTCAATGTTAAGCATGTAAAGCATCAGCTACAGGAGGTTTTTAATATCTTTACCAATTGTGAAATCTGCTTGCATTCGAAAATTATGGTGCATCACAAGATATTCTTAAAGTCCCCCTGTAGTCGTTAATTTAATTCCCTAAAACTTCCCTTTGATCACCAAAATGACATATTTAAACGTTTATTTCTTTTTGCCTTAAAATAGCTTGAATATAACTCTTCACCCTTGCCTCATTAGTATATGCGGTGCTATAAATATGCAAATTAGCCCTGTCTCCACTCACTCACACCAGCTCAGACGTCCACTCGGATTGGTTACAACAAGGTAGTACTTTGTGATGTCAGAAACACCAGCGATTTCAAACAGCGTCACCATTTCAAAAGGTCTCCTTGTAGACTTGTTTCTCATTGGCTATAGTGGAAGTACTGACATTATCATAGTCGTAATCATCTCGATTTAAAATCCTAAATATAAAAAATGTTGACATTGTCAGGGCGTCCCTGATGTGTCCCGCGAGCGAATCGTTTCAGATTTTACCTCTAACGCCTCACATTACCAGATAATCTTTGCCGAAGGACCACCAGCCTGCGCCCTCTAGAGTTTCACGACTGAACTAGATATTTAATGCTATATTTGTGAAGCACAATAAGACACTTTCATGACACTTAAGATTGGGTTGATTTATGAGCGTACATATTTCTGATATATTATATGATTTGAAAGCTTTGACATAAATTAAATAAAAGTTATATTCTGAGCCATAAACACATTGCAAAATAACAAAACACCATAAAGCCTGCAAACTGAGGTCATCTTATCTGACGCAGTCTTGCTAATGACCCATATTTATCTTGTTTTAAGAATATTTAGTATCCAATAGGCAAATAGGCTATAATCATGTTTGTGTGCATTTTCCAGAAGCTTATGGCCTATGCGGAGGAGAGAATGGCCAAGAATCTGGACCTGCGCTGTTCCAGCACTATAAACGGCTGTGTGATGTCGTCTCAGAGAGACATCATGGGTACACACTCATGCACAGTTCTCACTTCAGACATAAAGTCTCCAGTAAACAAGCTTTCTCTGGCAAAAGATACTTTAGCATTGACCGCCCTCCCGTCGTTTTCCTCACACCAGACACCTTGCGTCCTCTGCTGCCCCCTGCTGCCCGAGGGCACCTACACCTCCCCCACAGGAGGTTCACCATGACCTATGACCTGAACTTCTCAAGCCTCTGTGAAAATTTTGTGGAGGACATCGACTTTCACTTCTCATTGGGTCTTACATCCTTGGTGAATCGTTTCCTAGGGCCAGCTAAAGCCAAACAAGCTTTGAGTCTGCTGAACCAGAACTTGAAAGTAACTTGATTTAATGATCTCTAATGAAAAACGTATTACGCGTGTGAACAGGCCTAAAGTGACGTGATATGCTTTGTGCACAGGTCACCTCTTCCTCTGCTCAGACCCAGGACGAGCTGGCTATCTCCATGGCAACAGGACTGGTCTCGTTCACATCCAGAGCATCGGTGGGCGTGTTGGTCACTGCTGGAGTGGTAAGAAATACTTGATTCAAAGCTTTACATATCAGTAAGCACATCTAAAAAGATTCTACAGTAAATACAACTGAGTAGTGTGATGACATTTTTGGACAGGTGTGGCGTTCTGTGGGATGGAGGGTTGTTGTACTCTCTGTGAGTCTCTATGGTTTGCTCTACCTGTATGAAAGGGTCACCTGGACCAACAGCTCGAAAGAAAGGGCCCTGAAGCAGCAGTTTGTGGATTACGCCACTCAAAGACTGCAGGCCATCTCACACATCCTCAGCAGTGACTGTGGACAGCAGGTGCAACAGTGAGTGACGGGCTGAACAAATCCTCCACTCACCTATAACACAAAAAAATGTTGTTTACAGAATGTTCTGGTTGTTTCCTGACAAATTACAGTAAATAGGGAAGCCTCAAAAGGCATCCAAATCAAAAGCAAAGTGGTCCATGTTATAAAGTGTTCTGAAGTCAAGGAACAGAATGATATTTTGTGAGGAAAAGAACAATGATGTATTGAAAGTGAACTGTTCCTTCAGTTTTATAAACCACACCTGAAGGATTGTAGGCAAGTGTATAATTATAGTGTATAAAAGTGCAAAATATAGCAAATTAGCTTGCAAAATTCCATATGTCCACCTTTTTCTCAATTTTTTTCCCTCTATCAAGGACATCTTTAATGAGTTTCTATGGAAGCACACAAGCTAGAGTCTTAAAGGGATACTCCACTTTTTTTGGAAATAGGCTCATTTTACCACTCCCCTAGAGTCAGTCAGTTGGGTTTTACTGTTTTCGAATGTATTCAGCCGATTTTTTGATATTTAGAAGAATATCAGTAAACCGACAGTTTCTGGTCTCATTGACTTCCATAGTATATTTTTTTCCTACTATGGAAGTCAATGAGACCAGAAACTGTCTGGTTACTGATATTCTTCTAAATATCAGAAAATCGCCTGAATGGATTTGAAAACGGTAAAACTCAACTGTTTGACTCTAGGGGAGTGGTAAAATGATCCTATTTCCAAAAAAAAGTGGAGTATCCCTTTAAAGTCCCCCTGTAGTCAACCATTGTATCCCTTAAAACTAATCTTTGATCACCAAAATATATAAGGGTTTTTCCTTGAAAAACTAATTATTCATGGCTTAAAATGGCTTGAATGTAACTCTACACACCTCATTTTGTATAAGCGGCATTCTATGAATATGTAAATTAGCCCCACCTCGACTCACTCGCACCAGCTCAGAGATCCACTCGTTGATGATCACATGTTGACCAGGGGTGCGTTTCCCCGAAAGCATCGTTAGCCAACTATGGTCGCAAGTTCCGTCGTTATCAGCATAGTTCAACGAGTCGGTGTTTACCGAAACAATCGTTCCAACAAACATTCGCAAACAGCATTGCAAAGTTGTATGGTTTGAACGACAGATCTCGACCGGTGGTTTTCCACATTTGGACGTAATAAATCCTTATTTTGAGCAAAATAAGCAAGTAGACATTCAGTCCAACCGGTGCCTTTTATTCAGAACCAAACGTGCCGCACAAGCCCTCAAAAGTGAAGCCAAAACGTCTCGATTGCCCCCCTGTGACCGGTCCTAGTATAGCTCATAATCCCCGCCTCCCCGTTTTATTCAATGGGACGCGAGACCAAATAAACAATTAAATTACACTTCACATGACCTTTTTCCAAAGATAGTTTCTGTCATTTAGTGTAGTTTCTATCATGTTGATGTAATTTCAAGTGTTCGTTTTTAAAATAAGTTTGGTTTTACTTATTTATGTGATGATAAAAACTGTGCTCTGACATCATGATTGACAGCTGTGATTGACAGGTTCTCTGTGCGAGGTAGTCACTGAAGCACCAGCGGACTTTTTTTAATAGTATTGATTATGGGAAACAGTCGTGACTAGCTAGTTGATTTCTCCAACGATGCATCGTACTATGGTAGTGAAGCAGCGAAATACATACAGGGGTTGGACAATGAAACTGAAACACCTGGTCTTACAACACAATCATTTATTAGGATGGTGAGGGCCTCATTTTGCATCCAAATACAGCACCAATTCATCTTGGGAATGACAGATCGAAGTCCTTCACAGTGACCAGAGGGATTATGAGCCGTTCCTCTTCCAGAACAGTGTCCAGGTCACTATATGATGCTGGTGGAGGAAAACGTTTTCTGACACCTCAATAATATTCAGATCTGGTGACTGTGCAGAAAATGGGAGATGTTCAACGTCACTTTCATCTTCATCAAACCCTTCTGTCACAAGTCTTGTGTGTGTTGGTGCATGATCATGCAGATACGCGGTTTGAGCATCAGGTGCTCATGATCCTCCAGCTCATGATTTTTGACTCATGTCCATCAAACACAGTCAGGATTGTCATGATATTGCAGCGCAAACCATCACTGATCCACCCGTGCTTCACTCTGAAGATTGGCCACCAGGCATATAGATGTGAAACCTCCAACATTGGCCAGTGTTTCAGTTTCATTGTCCAACCCCTGTAGTTGTACAGGAAACGCACCCCTGATCGGTTACAAGGTAGTTTGTGAGGTCAGAAACACCAGCGATTTCAAACCGTGTTTGGTTCACTGCAGTTTTAAGAAGAAAATACTCCGCAATGGTGTTTACTTGAATATGAATTTGCACATGGTTTGTCTTAAAGCTACACTGTGTGATTTTTACCCCCATCTAGCGGAGAAAAGGTATATGACCATCCAGTGAATATTAGTTTCTGTTTCTCTCAATTCCGATTTCGTTTTAACTCCTACGGTGGCCAATGTAGTCCAAGATTAACATGGCTTCCAGTTCGACCTCGTCCATGAGTGTTAACTCAAATGTAAACGCGAAAGGCGAAGCTTGAATTAATGGGTATGTCCCTCTTTGGCTAATGTACTTTCAAGATGGAGAGGCAACATGGCGACTGACATTAGAACCCCTTACCCGTATGTATTTTCAATGGCACATTATACACTCACGAGAATACTTTATTATTTAAACAAAGTAAATATACATTAATGAGCACATATATTTTTGATAGAACTAAGTGTTTTTAGCTAAGAATAAACTAAAAAAGTTACACAGTGTAGCTTTAAATCATATTAAAAACACCACAAGCGTGATGTTCACCACAGGGGGACTTGAGTCCTTGTGAATCTTGAATGAGATATTCTGGGTTTTGTAAAATATTATTCCTAATGGATACACAGGAGAAATTTCAGGGGGAAAAAGGTTGATTCATGTCTCTTGCCAGTAGTGTATTTGATGCGTGAAGTCACTTTCAAAATATGCGTAGGGACATTTTTTTTAGCCTCACTATAAATTGCCAATCTCAAAGGTTCCCAATGGAATGATTAGGAGGCGTCTGAATCAAATCAACGTGTGTGTGGTTTCATAAGCAAGCAAAAAAGTCAATTGTCTATTGTGAATAGTGCAACGCTGAATGAAGGACTGTCACTTTCAAGCTGTCAAACTGAGCTGATTTGAACCAAACCTTGAACCAAACCATTCCAGATCACGTGAACTCAATTGAAACAACTGGCTTTTGCTTGTTTTTGCAGATTTATTATGCCACAAAGACTGTTGTGAAAGGATAGCAGAAGCCTAAAAGGCCTGTTCACACCGGGACAAATTTCGCACGCGTTATTCGCTGACGTTTAACGCCTCGTGACTAAACAAAGGGCGCCAATGTGAGTTCACACCGACGCATAAAATGCCACACGTAAAAGCGTCATTTAAAAAAAAAATGCCTCGGGTTCATTTTTTTAGTTTGACGCGCCACGTCAAAAATTATCCGACCAATGAGATTGGCGCTTTTGCTCAGATGTTTGGAGCTTCTGAAGTTACAGTGAAACACAACTTGGAGGCGCTCAAGCACAAAATGGTCTTGCTGAGCACACATATGCAACGGTGAAGAAGATATATACGTGTCGCCGTCTTCACAGCCATAAAGAAATAAGACGAGGAAGATGCAAAGCAAGATGAATGTAGAGCTGATGTTCTCGTTGGTGATAGAACATAAAGAACTATAATGGCAAACGCGACAGCGACTACACACATCTTGATAAAAGAGAACTGTTATGGAGTGGTATTGCAGAGAAAATTGGGGCCATCTAATGTCAGGGAATGAATTTGCATGTTCACTCGGCTCATCGTCACCGAAAATCGCTTGAGTGTGAACAAAAAAAAGCGTTGAAAAACGCTGTCAAATAACGCGCGCTAATATTCGTCCCGGTGTTTACAGGCCTTAAAGCTGAATCTCTATTCTTTGAATTCCCACTTCAAGCCAAATTAATTCATAACAAGATACCATACCATTAAGAAATTACACATTCTTACAAAAATGTATGGCTTCACTTCAGAAGACCTTTATTAACTCTCTGAGCCGTGTGGACTGTGGAGCAATTATGATGGATAGATGCGCTTTTATGATGGACAGATGGACAGATGTGCTTTTATGACGGACAGATGCGCTTTTATGATGGACAGATGCGCTTTTATGACGGACAGATGCGCTTTTATGATGGACAGATGGACAGATGTGCTTTTATGACGGACAGATGCGCTTTTATGATGGACAGATGCGCTTTTATGACGGACAGATGCGCTTTTATGATGGACAGATGGACAGATGTGCTTGTATGACGGACAGATGCGCTTTTATGATGGACAGATGCGCTTTTATGACGGACAGATGCGCTTTTATGACGGACAGATGCGCTTTTATGACGGACAGATGCGCTTTTATGACGGACAGATGCGCTTTTATGATGGACAGATGCGCTTTTATGACGGACAGATGGACAGATGTGCTTTTATGACGGACAGATGCGCTTTTATGATGGACAGATGCGCTTTTATGACGGACAGATGCGCTTTTATGACGGACAGATGCGCTTTTATGACGGACAGATGCGCTTTTATGACGGACAGATGCGCTTTTATGATGGACAGATGCGCTTTTATGAAGGACAGATGCGCTTTTATGACGGACAGATGCGCTTTTATGACGGACAGATGCGCTTTTATGATGGACAGATGCGCTTTTATGACGGACAGATGCGCTTTTATGATGGACAGATGCGCTTTTATGAAGGACAGATGCGCTTTTATGACGGACAGATGCGCTTTTATGACGGACAGATGTGCTTTTATGACGGACAGATGCGCTTTTATGATGGACAGATGCGCTTTTATGACGGACAGATGCGCTTTTATGAAGGACAGATGCGCTTTTATGACGGACAGATGCGCTTTTATGACGGACAGATGCGCTTTTATGATGGACAGATGCGCTTTTATGACGGACAGATGCGCTTTTATGATGGACAGATGCGCTTTTATGACGGACAGATGCGCTTTTATGACGGACAGATGCGCTTTTATGATGGACAGATGCGCTTTTATGACGGACAGATGCGCTTTTATGACGGACAGATGCGCTTTTATGATGGACAGATGCGCTTTTATGATGGACAGATGCGCTTTTATGATGGATAGATGCGCTTTTATGATGGACAGATGCACTTTTATGACGGACAGATGCGCTTTTATGATGGATAGATGCATTTTTATGATGATAGATGCGCTTTTATGATGGATAAATGCACTTTTATGATGGATGGATGCGCTTTTATGATGGATAGATGCGCTTTTATGATGGACAGATGCGCTTTTATGATGATAGATGTGCTTTTATGATGGATAAATGCACTTTTATGATGGATAGATGCGCTTTTATGATGGACAGATGCGCTTTTATGATGGACAGATGCGCTTTTATGATGGATAGATGCGCTTTTATGATGATAGATGCCCTTTTATGATGTATAGATGCACTTTTATGACTGATAGGTCCACTTTTATGACGGATAGATCCACTTTTATGATGGATAGATGCACTTTTATGATGGATCGATGCAATTTTATGAACAAAAACAGTCATTCACTGCCATTTTAAAGCTTGGAAGTGCCAGAACATTTTTTAGTGTAACTCCGACTGTATTCGTCTGAAAGAAGAATGTCATATACACCTAAGATGACTTGAGGGTGAGTAAATCATGGGCTATTTTTAATTTTTAAGTGAGCCATCATTTAAAATTCAAATCTGTCCTTGTCAACTTTGCACACTGAAGAACATGGGCTTAATAAAAGGTAAATAATAGACATCACAGCTTTTGCAGCACTTAATCATGGCAGTGATTATTGAAGTGAATATTTCATCTACAAGCCGATGACAGATGAAACAAAGACAACTGCGGACCCGCATACAAACATACCGAGATGTTTGAAATATTGGTTTATATGATCTTCTCGGATGGATGAGGGTGTGCGGGTGATGTGTGAAGGATATGCTTATCTGGGTTCTTGCAGGGAGATGGTGGCCGTTTTCGCCCGCATGTGCCAACAGGTTGACAAGAGCGAGATGGAGCTTGAAACTGAGATCCGCAGACTGAGCGCCAGGATCCAGCGCCTGGAGAGTGTCCAGAGACGCTCCAAAACCCTCAGGTAGAAGAGTCATGGTGTGCGTGAGAGAGAATGACAGCTCACTGTAGATAATTACCCGTAATTGGAAGAAAATCTTTCTCATTTGGCAATTCTGTAAGCACAGGAAAGGTGTGGCAGCATCATTAAACAACATTGCATGTTCGCTTGCTTTTTATTTTCTACAACACTAGAAATTTAAACTGTATTTTATGACTTCAAGATTATATTTATTTAATACTTAAAATAGTATTCGTTCAGCTTAACATACAAAGACAAAGTCTTTTGGAGATTGAAGACATGACAAAAACTTGCACTTTGAAAACCTTTTTCAAAGGCCACCCCACGTCATCCAAGATGTGTATAGTAGAGCCCTGTGAAGCAGCAATTTGGACCTTTAACCTGTCTGGTTCCCGTTGAAGTCCACTATATGGAGAAAAATCCTGGAAAGTTTTACTCAAAAACCTTAAAAGGAGTCGTTCACTTTTAAAAAAACTTTTGCTGATAATTTACTCACCCCCATGTCATCCAAGATGTCCATGTCTTTCTATCTTCAGTCGAAAAGAAATTAAGGTTTTTGATGAAAACATTCCAGGATTTTCTCCATATTTTGGACTTCAATGGGAACCAAACAGTTCAAGTTCCAAAAGTGAGTTTCAGTGTAACTTCAAACGACACCAGACGATGAATAAGGGTCTTATTAAGCGAAATGATCGGTCATTTAAAAAATATTTAAGTTTTATAAGCACAAATGCTCGCCTTGCTCTCTTCTGTGATGAGAGTTCGTGACTCATCAAAATGAACAAATCTTTTTTCGAGTCATGACTCGAAGGGTCTTAGATAAGACCCTTATTCATTGTCTGGTGTCGTTTAAAACCCCTTAACTGTCACCGTCCCATAATTTGTCCTAACTTTATGACAAATTATGTAATATATAAATTATGACAAATGATATATTTTTGGAAAGGTCTAAGACTTCTAATTAAATATTCGACCCCTGTTTTGTGTTAAAAATTATGTAGGAAGAGTAATTAATGAATTTATGACAAGAGTGCACCTAAAAAAATCTGCATCATAACAGGAGGTCTGACCTTTGTCACAAAAAGTTGATGCACCCACTTTTAATCATTGAAACTTCATAATAAAACATAAAATCTAGTATTTTTCAATAAAAAATAAAAAGTATAGTATAACATTATCCTCTAAAAATTATAATATATATGTATATATTATCCTCTAAAATATAATAATATTTTTATCGCCTTTTTTATTATATCACATATTTTAGTAGTTATCATAAATTAGGTATCATTTGAAAGTTTATAAACTCAGAATTCATCCTGTGAAAACCATTTTATAATTGAACGTTGAGTTACCATAGAAACGGTACTTATTTTATGAGGCTCCTCCCCTTTTGGGCATCCTTATATTTCATAATTTATGATCAAAACCTTTTCTAATCTTGACAAAACACATATTGTCAGAAAGGTCTGAGTCTCAAGGTTCCAAATTTTGTGACAAAATTGATATTTGGACAGAAATGTATTAATTTGTTAAGGCAGAATGTACACAACTAAATTCAATGGAATTCAATGGCACCCGGTGGCTATTTTTGGTACTACGCCTAAACAAAATCTCACGGGAACTTCAATTTTTGTGATATCAACTTCAAATTTGGAACATAACTTGGTTAGATTTATGGCTTTGATTTTATAGTAATTTTAGAGTAGAAATATTTTGTAAAATATATATTTTATATAAAATAAAAAATATATAGTACAGTATATTTGATTTACTGTGAATTAAAACTTCCATAACTTTTTCATACTTTCATTGTTTTAAGTGTTTTCACTTCAGCAATAATCTGCTGAGTGTTTTCTTTAAAAAACAAACAAACTTGGGTATATATTCCAAGGCATTCTTGAATTACAACCATTTAAGTGTGAATAGAGCATTTAACCCCCATTCTCAAAAAAAAAGGGGGGGGGGTGACAGTTAAGGGGTTAAAGCCCTTTGAAGCTGCACTGAAACTCTCATTTGGACCTTGAACCGTTTGGTTCCCAATGAAGTCCATTATATGGAGAAAATCCTGGAACGTTTTCATCAAAAACCTTAATTTCTTTTCGACTGAAGAAAGACAAGACATGACTATCTTGGATGACATGTGGGTGAGTAAATTATCAGGAAGTTTTAATTTAGAAGTGAACTTCTCCTTTAAGTACTTGTAAACATCAATATATTTTCAAATGCCTCAAAAATAATAAAGTCAGTTTTATTTGGTAACGAGTGCCGTTGTTCTCAGTATAACCTGCGAAGAACATTTTAGAATGCAGCTTAAAATTACAGCAAACACAATACTGTAAATACACTATAAATGTGATCATTTAATTTAAATATCAGTAAATGGTTAAAATGCTGCTTATTACATTAAAGTGCAATTTAATTTGGAGATACAGGTGGCAGGGCTTTATTTCATAAGAGATCTGCCACTGGGCTCTCACAGCTTATTCATTCAGTATGTTCACAATCTCATACCCAGAACAAAACTTTCCCCAACCAGTTTAGTGTTAGTCACCATGACAATAAATGCCTGTAAACACTTTTCTTGCCCTTTAAACCTGTTTTTTTTTTTTTTTTTTTGTGAGATTGCTCTCCCAACCACCCTAACACCGTAACACTGGCTTAATCATTAATATAAGAGCTTTACAAACAGATAGAGGGAAGTATTTGTGGAATCTCATCTGGGAAAAAAAAAAACTGGTGACACTTTTGTTTAAAAAAAAAATTACAAACTTCTGTTTAAGTGGTCTTAACCGATAATACTGGTCTCGTTTTATTCTCAGGCACAAAGCCACTGATCTGGAGTCACGGCTGGAGTCGTTTTCAGCACAGTATCTGCAGATTCAACATTAACCAGAGCAGCAAGAAAGGAGTAAGACTGTCCTCCAGTGTTCAGAGCTGGAACAACCCAAAATCTGCTAAAACGAAGTTTACAGAGAGTCTACATTTATTTTATTTCAGTATTTCATACAAGCCTCAGGAAGCCAGATTTCTCACTGACAAGACTCTTATAGCAAGTTAATAATATGCAGACGACCTCCTTGATGAAAAGCCTTTATTGGTTATGAGAACAAATAGTAACAGGTGTCACTGCCACTGCACAAATACAAATAAATTCTGGGTGTTAAAAAAAAAAAATCATAATTAACAACAATAAAATAAAAAGATTCCACAGCAAGTGATAATTGTTTACTGAACCAACATAAAATAATACAAATCGGTTTTCAATAAAGCAGTTAAAGTGAATTAAGAGGAATGTGTGTTAGAATAAAAAGGCAGTTATGTCTGCTGGTTTTGTCCATGAAATACACACACAGTGAGGGACAGAAGCACAGAACTCAGAATTACTAAAGTGAATTCAGAACTAAATCATTTTGGTCTTTAATCAGATAGTTACGACATATGCAGGACCATCCAGGATCATTTATTTTACACAATGAACATCCATAAGTGGATCTATCGCTATAAAAAAATACATAAACCACTATGAATCACGCGAGCTTGCTTTTTGGTAAACCACAATTTGTTTTAAGGGTTGGGGACAGTCTGTCGTTAGTTACTGTGCTTGAAAGATTGCACTTGGGTTATCGTTGTCGTGTGTGTTTACAAATGGAAACAAACAAAAAACAAAAAAAGGGTTTTGTCTGAAATGTAGCAAGTGAAAAAGCCATCACCCGACAAACACTGTTTTTTAAAGGTGGTGCACTGCTTTAAATGTGCTAACCGACGTTAACACCTTTGAATACAGCAAACATTGCATTACCTCTGATACGCTTTCGTTTTTAGAGTTGAAGGCAGGGTGTTCCTGTGTAGTTTTGTGATCATGTGATTGATGTGAACCGCTGCAAGAAGGAAATCAGCCTTAGGGTTTCAGTGCAGTAATTTCGACGTTTGGCAGTGCAACCACCTCAGCAAAAACAACCATGGCCTAGTTCCGATTCAGAAAAATGCAGCTCTTGCTCACTTCCTCTAACGACAAGGCCAGCACACTTGGAAAACCAATGTTGCGAGGGAAACTGTTTTCAGAAAATATAAATATTCAAGGCTCGCGTCATAAGTAATGCACCAAGTGCGTATCGTATCTCAGAAGCCGCGTCATTTAAATATGGTAGTTCTAACACTTAAGCTTTAAAATGATTTTCACAGTTGGTAACGGCTCACAATGATTCAGTTCTTCGCAAAGCTTTGCACGAGCGCAGGTGAATCAGAAACCGTTCAGGTGTTGTTTGTGACCTGTTGAAGGAGCAAGCTGATTTCACTGTCGTGTCGCTGGCACGATGTTTGATCTTATCCATAGGATAAGGCTCAGTAAGCTCGCTGAAATATCCACAGGATAGGATGTAGCTTGCTCCTTATGGTCATGCTCATGTATGGACGAACTGGGAACGTCAGGTTGAACTTTTAAATAATCTGAAATGAATGTTCCAGGTTCAATGCAAGTTAAGGTGGAGACATTTTAGTCTTCAAACACACACAAAAAAATCAAGGTTAAAGGCACTTGCAATAAAATTAAATAGAGCAGTGATGTCTACACCAAAATACAACTTCTAAAGTATAACACTTAAATTTAGTCTCATGTTAACAGCGTTTTTAAGCTGCCTTCCCAAATTTAACCAATATCAACTCCTGTCACGATTATGTAAAGTCCTCAATGAAGAGGACTTTTTATAGAAAAAGAAAAACAACAACCACAGGAATGATGATTTAGAAAACTTATATTCATTTTCCTTATTTTCATTGCAAGTGCCCTATTTTTCCCAGAAAAAAAAAGGGATGAGCCAAAATTACTTGACTAGCATTGTTCGTATTGCTTAACTTGTATTGCGACTGGAACATTTCTTCAATTCAATTGTAGGACTAAATGGCTATATTTTGACGAGGCTTGGATTTCATATGAATTACGCTGGTTTTAATAAATCATTTTAGGTTAATACACTTTTTGCCTTCATTGTACAATGCAACGTTCTTCATGGACCTTAAAGGGATTGTTCACTTTGAAATTAATTTTTGATGTTTTAGCATACCTCAAGGGCATCCAAGATGTATTGTATGCGTCTTTGTTCCCACAGTATTTTCAATTTGGATACTTTTAGGTCAAACCGTTCTTGTCTGTCAGTCATATAATGGTGGTATATATGGTCACCACCTCAAAGAGCATGCACAGAGAAGACCAGATTAAACATGATTTAATGACTCGTGAATGTAAGTACACATTGATGGCCTAAGACACGAAACGAGCGGTTTTTGTGAGAAAACTAACAGTATTTATATCGTTTTACCTCTTGTAACCACAGCCATGTCCAACTGATCTAAAGGCACGGCGCTTTGGTCTGTGCAAGCGCCGGAAAGTGCCGGAAGTGATCTCTTGCACGGTTGCAAAAAAAAATAAAAATCAATGCTGTCTGTTGATATACCGAAATCGTCTTTTTTTTCGCCACTGGAATTTCCTGTATATCTAAATATGTTTAGATCTTCACAGTGAACTGTAACACTTCTAAAATCTCTGTGTAAACAATGAGTAACGTACAAGAGATCACTTCCGGGGCTTTCCGGCGCTTGCGCAGACAGAAGCGCCCTCAGAGTACTTGTACGTGACTGATTACAAGAGGTAAAAACGATATTAATACTGTTCGTTTTCTCACACAAACCACTCGTTTCGTGTGTCTTAGGCCATCAATGTGTACTTACATTTACAAGTCACTAAATCATGTTTAATTTGGACTTCTCTGTGCATGCTCTTTGAGATGGACCCCATATACCTCCATTATATGACTGACAGACAAGAACGGTTTGACCTAAAAATATCCAAAATTGAAAATACTGTGGAAACAAAGAAACCTAGATTTTGTATGCCCTTAAGGTAAGCTAAAACATATCAAAAATTAATTTCAAAGTGAACTATACCTTTAATTCAACATTCTAAATGTTGTAAACACTAAAAAAAACAACAACAAAAAAACAAAAACTGAGGAACATTACTTCAACATTTGTCGGATATCCTTGCATATCATAACTAACTGGATGATTCAACAGAAAACTCAAAATAATTGCGTTACAAAAGTTTACCAGTAATGTCAAAAAAGAAACAAATCTATTCAGAATACTGAATGCAATCTGGTATTGAAAATTGATTCATTTTGCCTGTATTTGTAATGTATCCGAAAAAAAAAAAAAAAGACAAAGCCCACAACTAAACATCCATAAGGAAAATAAATACATATACCATTGTTTTATGCTCACTAAGCCAGTCCGTAGATTCATTCATACTGATTGGCACAAAATTAAGGTGATTACTGACTGTAAGGTTTTGTTTTACACAAAAAGGTAGACGGCTCTATACCTTCAATTCTCACATTTGTGAAAAATGCACAGTGTAGCTTGTGGTCCACAACAGCTTTTCAGCTTTCTTGTCATAGAATCTAAGCACATTAATTCAAATACATGCAGAAACACCAATGTGTGTTGTTTTGCGTGACTATTTTCTAGTGCAAAAGCATACAGTCCTAGCTAGTTCCTCATCTAAGAAGGGCAGATGCTCATAGTGTGTGTAGGAAGGCAGACAATGTCAGAGTGGCAGTGACCAAGGCCTCTTGTTAGGTATTAGGTTGCACTTCCAGCCTGCTAACCAATGGCAAAGAGTCACAAAGCATCAAGGCCATGCTTGGTGTTCAAACAAATTATGACTAAACCAAACCTTCAGAATGCGTCATCTACTCACCCTCAAACTGTTTCAAACCCAAATAATTATCATTTTTTTGTGCTCACACGGATTTAAAAGCACCATGAACAAGGACCAAATGTTTTACAGGCCAAACCCCATGTCATCTTAAGCTGTACAAGCCGACAAACAGGAACAACAGATCTGAAGCCGTTATTTACTGATAATGGCAAATGCACCAGGTCTTCCTGGAAGGGTCATGAATTGCTTTGTGCCGATTCAGTTCTTGAGTTCAACCCACTTGAACTGGATGCAGAGGTTAAATAAAGATAACCAAATTAAATTTCAGTTTGTTTCTTAGTCAGTCTCTTGTACGTCTTCAGAAGACTTAGAATGTAGCGCACAAGTCGTCTGTATCCTGTTTCTGAAGCAAAAATGCATCAGTCCCCATTTACTGCCATTGCTTGGAAAACAAAGAACAGCACAGTCTTCTTCTGAGTTTTTCTATTTTCGACAGAAGAAACAAAGTCATAGAAGAACAACATGATGGTGAGTAAATGACGTCAATTTTCACTTGTGGGTAACTATCCCTTTAACCATAAATGCATCACACAAGTCCAGCTGGATCAGTATGGAAAGCAGCAAATCTCAGAGTATATCTAGTGATAGTAAAGACAGAAGGGACAGACAGGCTGATGGTAAGTCCTTCTGTGCAGTCAGTAATACAGTCTAATACCATGAAACATGCCAAACATTTCTGTCAGGCTTCGAGGATGGCGAACACAAGCTCAGTGACATCAGTGTTTCTCACACAACTACACTCAACCAACCTGAGCCATTTATGACAGAACAGGCCAAAACTGACGATACTAGCCAAAGCAAACTAAACTTAAGGTCAAACACTGATGGCCTACAACACTGTGGCAGCATCATCCTTCGGTGTGGCATTGTGTGTGGCAAATAGCACTGTGATTGGGAACTAAGAAAAAAAAATTACGCAGGAAAAAAAAAAAACAGGCACAGCTAAGACACCCATCATGAGTATCCACACACCAGAACATCCAAACACTGTCAGAAGTGCATATGTTATACATACAAGCATAAAGAATGGCGGATATATACAACACAGTCTGTTCCGCACCTCTCGAGTCGAGATGTGAAGCCCGAGAGACAGACAGAGCCAGCGGAGGCTCTTCACTGCTGGTCCTCACCTCTTTAAATGACTGTAGGATAGTGGGATAGTGCGGAGAGAAGAAAACCAGGTCATCTGTAAGGAGGGGAAGGAGAGGGAGGGGGTCCTGTGTGGCAGTGGTGCACTACAGTGACTCTTGTTATCAGAAAGAGTGGCTCCCCGAAGTACTGTCCAGTGAGGTCAGTTCCATATCCTTAGGAAGCTGTCCCAAGAACCGGTGGCCACAGCCATGCCGTCACTGGTCACCCCCAAACAGCTGACCCTGTTGTCATGCCCAGCCAGAACGCCTTCAAAAACACAACAGCAGGCATGAATAACAGAAGCATTTTACAGACTTAACCCTGGGTTATCTTTCATTCTAAACTCTGCATTTAACCCTGGGTAGAGGAACGTTTCACACTTGTAATTTCAAAGCGGGGTTACCACTGCTTTTTACCCAGGGTTATGAACCCCTGCTTAGGAGTGATTAACCCCGCATTGCAGTGCCAAACATGTACAGCGTGAAAATGCGCTGTTAGAAGGTTAGGTGCTTAGCAACAGACCGCTGAACGCATGGGACGCAAACCAATGCAGGTCCAACGAACAGGGTTATAAGAACGGTCAATTCTTTGCATGGGGGATTATGCCATAAACATTTGTTATTCATACTTAAATGTTTTAGCTGCATGTAGAGTTTCTGATTACACTTTGTTGTAAAAGTAGTTATATTTCAAGTCTCCATCAGAGTGATTAGTTTTCTATTTAGTGAACTTTGATTTCAACGAGTATGTACACAATGGCCCTCATTTATCAAAAGTGCGTACACCAAATTTTCAGCGTACACCCAAAACCACGGAGACTTTGAGATTTGTCAATATGGACGTTGGCGTACGCTCAAATCCTACACCAGCTCAGGAGGTGGTGTACGCACGTTTTGAGTTAGTGCGGAAATGCGTAGAAAAATTCCTACCACCACAAAACGCACTGGCAAACTAAAATATATGATATATTATGACCCACCCAGTGTAAAAAACAACAACATAGTAATTATAAACTTCAGTATTTATTTTTGTGCAACATGGACTTCGATGTTTAATTTGTGAGACTTTACCAAGGCATTTGATTAGTAAGCATTCCTTCAGTTGCGAGCCTGTGGACTTTACCCTGCCGTTTCAGGGTAAGCCCCGGCAGGTGCGCACGGACTGGGTTCGATAATGAAAGGCTTTCAATGACCAAAAAATAATTCAGACTGACAAAGTAATAAAAATTTTTACATACAATTATAATACAAAAATAATAACGCCATTCTTCTTCTAAATAACAAGCGCCATTAATAATACAAATCATAATAATAATAAGAAGAATATTGAAAATTGTCATGCAATTATTAATGTGAATGAATGGTACTCCACATCACATCATCATCATCATCACTATTGTACATGCCAATACATGTGAAGCGATTCTAAATTGAACGCTAATTCAAAAGACGTGTTGTAAAATAATGCATTGTTGTGATAGGTCATTTCGGCATCACGTCAGAGAAGTTTCTCTTCTTTGCCGTCTTCCGTGTGTCCATGGCGTAAAATGAGGGCGTGGGGGGAGCGGAGACTTAAACATTTAGGGGCGTGTTATTCTAATGACGATCGATTTCGGCCGCGGGATTTATCAAGGGCAGGCATTGCGTACACCTGGATGTCAAAGGTACACAGCTTCATAAATCAGGCGGTGAGAGGAGTGTAAGCATAATCTTACGCCAACATAGACCCGTTTCTACGCAAGAATGATAAATGAGGGCCAATGTGTTTGTGTAACTGTTACAACCTCTTGAAATGCAAAAAAATACAACTTAAAAATGCAAGTTTATTGAACTTCCACAAGTAAAAAACATCAGTTTAGAGAAATTATATAATGTTGATGAAAAACTATTACAAATTTGAACAGTCGATTAAACAATACTGCTGCTGCTATTCGGAACAATAGGAAATTCATTTCAACATTCTTGGAAATAGTTGTATATTGTCCCAATAAGGCAGCACCCTTTTAATAAATATAACAATTTACACTGTTATAATGCATCTTGTTCATCTACAATACTGAGGTGTAAACAGTATTGGCCACTAATATTTTTAAGTATACATATAATCTAACAACTACTTGTATATAGTGTAAATAGAATGTCTTGCTATTGTCACTTAGTGTAAATGGAATCTATTGTTATCATGTAAAATATGTTATTTACACAGTGCAAATAGCTGCTGCTTTTTATTTTTTGCTTGTTTGTTTACAGTAAATCTGCCTATATTTCTCACTTTGTGGGAAATAATCCCTTTCTTGCAACAAACTAACTTTCCTCACTACGGTTACGTAACCATAGTAGAACAAAAAGTACTGTAAAAAGTGTCATGAAAACTGCATGCATATGTATGTAACAGTAAAAACGGTGGGGGGGGGGGTATAGTTAACTAAACTAAATATTTTATAGATATCTTCATAATTTCTTTGCATTTTAATACAATGACAATATAAAAATAGATTTAATTTTGGTCCTAGACCTGGTCCCTATAATTGACGTTTTACACAATAGCTGCCAATAAATATTCTAGGAAGGTCCCTCGCTTGAGGATCATCATAATGCAAGCATCTAGTTTATTAGGGCCCGAGCACAGATGGTGCGAGCTCAAGTTTTCTGCTTCTGCATCAAGGTATTAAGTCATCTCCTGGAATATCTGAAGGCAAATAAAGACAGTTTCTCCTCTAATATCACTACCTCATTCACATAAGAGATTCTTTAACACAACATTTGTGAAAACACCAAGGTTTGTTACTAAAGTAAAACCATGACAAATGGCCTCAATGGCGCTTCGAAAGTGAGGATTGTCTGAGATGAGACCACTTGACTTTTTTACTACTGTGCTCTAAAGCAGAATGGCTTCACTAGAACTCAAACAGGTTCCACAGATTAGGTGATCTGGAACAACCGTCAATGAGTTTTTCCCCCCCCGTGTGGTCAAAGTGTTGTGTGAAGTACTGACCTGCACGCTCTCCTTTAAGCGTGTCCCACACATTGCAGTTGAAGTCATCGTAGCCAGCGAGCAGTAGACGGCCACTCTTGGAGAAGGCCACGGAGGTGATGCCGCAGATAATGTTGTCATGCGAGTACATCATGAGTTCCTGGTCCGCACGAAGGTCAAACAAACGACAAGTCGCGTCGTCCGAGCCCGTGGTGAACGCATTACCGTTTGGAAAGAACTAAGAAAAAAAAACGAGGGCACTATTAAAACAGGATGATGTGAACATTTGCACAATTTTGAACAAGTATTATGAAAGCACTGCAGAGGCTCAATAAGAAGTAAACCAGCATCAGACAATGCTGAGGACTTTTCCTTTTTGAAACTCACACAGACAGCATTTATATCAGACACGTGTCCGGTGAAAGACTGTCTGCACATCCCGTCTCGTATGTCCCACAGTTTGGAGGACGCGTCGCAGGCACCGGACACAAAGGTCTTCGAGTCAGGGCTGAGGGACAGGCTCATCACGTCTCCACTGTGCCCTGTGAACGTGGTGGTCTGCTGACCGGTCTCGATGTCCCAGAGAGCACTGCAAAGAGGGAGGACAGCTGGTTCACATTCAGTACAAGATCAAACAGACCTTGAGAAAAGGGTTTTCAACTCTTTATCTTAGCAGTATGAACTCTTTTATCAGAGCTCAACAATCAGGATTGCATAGGGTAGGGCTGGGCACTTTGGACAAATCTTTCATATATTTTTATATGGCTTAATGACGATATACGTTATACATCTGGGTACTTCTACGAAGAGGGCGAAATGCTCAGTTTTGTTTTGGGTAAATAAGGCCCGCCATCCTCTGATTGTTTTAACGGTACATGTCCACTACAGCGACAAAACTCAGCTCAGCAAACTATAATGTCGCACTTGCGACTTGCAAGTGTGTTTAATCTGTGATTTTTTCCAACACACACAGTATAATCATCAGAGATGCATGCAATTACATTCGGAAATAGACAATTAGCTTTGTTTCCAAATGCCCCAAGCAAAGATATCCTGTAAATTTTCGGTTTCTGTTTAAAGGTCGGTTTCTTCAAGCATCTTAGAGACCTTGTTGCAGTTCTGGATTTAGTCATTCTCAGTGTGTTCTGTTTCTTCATGTACAGTATATTCCCAGACTCAATGATGGTGAGATCAGATCTCTGTGTGAAGCACTGGCTGATGTCAGACTCCTTGTGCTTACAAAAATCTCATTATTGCAATTCATGGAAAAAATAGTGTTTTGGAAACTAATATGCCCTACTGACACTGCAGCATTAAATATATATATATATATATATATATATATTTATATATATTAGGGGTGTAACGATACACGTATTCGTATTGAACCGTTCGGTACGATACATTTTTAAACCGAACGGTTCGTTGGACCATTTTTTCCTGCCGACTAACATTTCGATATTTCAAATGTAGGCATGGCACGTGTGGCAAGCACGCTAAACGTAAGAGTGACAACATTGCCCAACATCAAATGGCAGATGTAATGTTAGCAGAGCAAAACTGAGCTACTCGTTATTGTGTGGTTGACGTTTATCAGTTTGGACCAATGCAGCGCGAGGCGATCTTGATCATCAGCACTGTTACTACACAGCCAAATCCATTTCACATTTCTCCGTTATTAACGGATCAAACCGCGCTGATGTGGAAACCATGAGAAACATTGTGCCATGAATGAACTAATCAGTGTCCACAGATCAACAACATTCACCATGGATTTACTGTAGTAACACTAATAGTTGGCTATAATGCTTTCAAGTAACATTACGTCGGTTTTATTGTGACATTATGAATACAATTGCTGCCCTCAAATGTTAATCTGAAATAAAATAAACCTTAGTTTATAACTAATACAATACTACATTTCATTTTGTCCAAGGAGCTGTTTTGTTTTATATGCTCCTAAGAGAAGTCAAGTATAGCTCCATCACTGGTCAAAGTTAAAAAATTCTTGATGAAACTTCATGATGTTAGTTTTAATAAAAATATAATTTAAAAATTATATCATGGACATTTCTCTGGCATTTCTTTCTTTTTGCTACCGAACCGTGACACAAGTGTATCGTATCGAACCATGAATTTTGTGAACCGTTACACCCCTATATATAATGTATATATATAATGTTTTCCTTGCCTAAGACAGTACTGTATGTATAAAAATATATAATATGCATATATATAATAAAATAGCAGACACAACAGCTATTCATATATCTGAACTATTTTAACAGTACTACTAAACGTTGAGAAACCCATTAAATTTAAGATAATTTACAAAAGTTCCTGCCCTTAGCCCAAATAAATTTGTTTCAGTTAACTTAGAAATCGGCATCATTCAAACAATTATCACACAATGTCATGAAATGCCCATCTGTGAAATTCTTCAATTATTTCTCATGGCCTCTAGCTCAGCAATACATCATGTGATAAACGTAATCCATTCATGAAAGAATTAAAAATGTTGTTGAGGGGGAAATCAATTGAAATAGTCATTTAAAGCTGTGATGGACTCACCATGTAGTATCTCCAGAACTGGTGACAATCTGACTATCGTCCAAAAAGCGACAACATGACAAATAACCTAGTTTGGGGGAAAAAAAAAAGTGTAAAAAAAACACTTCATCCATGCATGATGGATATGGCGATTAATGATGCTAATATTGCTGTTGACAAGGTCTACCTGTGTGTCCAGGCAGTTCTCTGGTGACTCTGACGTTGCCCTCACGGGTTTTAAGGCTGTAGATTGAGCAGATGTTGTCCAGGCCTCCACAGGCAACATAATTTCCTGAAGGAGCGTAGGCGCAAGTCATCACCCATGATGACCTTAATGGAATGGCATGCATCTGGAAAAAAACACACAAAAAAGTTGCTATTCCCGTTTGTAATACAGAATGAGACAAGTGCAGAATCTGGAACAGCATACTAAGCAAACAATTCTTGTTATTTTTGCCATGTAACGAAATGGTAAAAATAGTAATGCTAGTATATGATTTTGAATTCAGAACAAGGATTAGGATGTTCTACAACTCCACCTACAGGTTTCAAGCAGCAAGAGGCTAAGTTGGATATATAGCACATCTTACCTGCAAACATACAGTATGCATGTGTAAAGATATATATACTGTATTGTATAGCAAAACTGGGCTACATGATTGTTTATATCATCGCAAAAATATAACTTGTTTTATCGCACTGCTCATGCATACAGAATAGTATAACAAAGTGATTTATACAGTATATTAACAAATTGCAACAGCCTGATTTGGTTTATTTCATCACCAAATGTAAACCGCATTATCACCCAGCTCTCATCTTTGCAACAATGTGCATTGTGAAAAGTGCAATATTTAACTTGAATAACTATATGATTTTTGTGCAGACTACCCCACCCACTTTGATGGCTTTTAAAGTTAATGGTATTTGCATTATAGTTAAAAAAAAAGTTTAAGTGAATTGAATTTTAACACTGACTTCATAGTTTATTATCCTTTAAAAATGACGGATCAATTACACGGGAAGATCTCATTCATACATCCTTTAACAACTGTGCTTTTTATATCTATATTCACTTGTTGAGCTGGACAAACCTTGTTTGTGGTGTAGCTGTCCCAAATGATGAGTTTGCCATCTTGTGACGCACTAACTAGTAACCTTAATGTAAAAAAAAAAAAACACAAACACAGAAAAAGGGTTAAAGAATAAACCTCTGTTGATAATACAAAATGTCACAGATTAAAAATTCAACACGGTGAACATGTAGAAAATGACTGCAGCTTATAATATGAAAACACATCATGGAACGCAAATGCTTGTGATAATATTCTTCAAATGACAAACACATGGCAGGCAACTATGGGTACAAACTCCAACCAACTAACAATTGCGTCTCCTCCCTAAAGCACTAGAGCGGACGGAGAAAAGGTGAACGACGGAGGGAGGAAAAGAGAGACAGGAGCAGAAGGCAGCCTTCATAATCCCAGAACACCCCTGGGTTGAGAGAGGCCTGCTGTATTATTCATTGAGTGTACACTGACAGAGCTGCAGGGTTCCTCTGAGAGGGCCCATCCTCCAGCCCCCTCAATCTCTCTCTGTCAACTGACCTGGAATCAGTGGCCCAGTGCATGGCATAGATTTTGGCTAAATGACCTCGGAGGGTCCGCCTTGTTCTCATCTGGATCCTTCCAACTGAATCCAGCCCAGCTGTAATCTGAACACACAAAAGAAATCCTCATTTACAGTGATGCCACAAAGCAAACAGACGCAATTTCAGAGTTACAGTGATCATCTTAAATCAACAGCAAGGACTGAAGTGAAGAAAAGCAGAAATGATGACATCATCAGTCACAAAAATTGCCCGGGCATGGGTTGCACCGCACGTTTAAATTTTGATGGAGGGCTGTTTAATATTTCAGTGCACTTATGAGCGTGTTACAGCATGTACGTCAGTGGCTATTTTGCATGTCTGTTCTGGGCTCAGAGAACAGGAGAGTGGGAACCTCCATAGATGAGCTGGGTTACACCAGTGCCTCTCTCATGATGGAGGGGGGACCCAGCAGAGATGCTTACCTGGGACAGGCTGGAGTCGCTGCATGCTTTCCTGGCATCCTGCAACGAGAACAGCAGCATGTCAGAGAGAGCAGTCTTTCTACTGAACAGGGCTGAGGAAGTGCATATAGAAGAACATCTGTTGGCTGGCACTCGGGTTCGTTTGAAAAATAACCAAAATCCCAGTAACCAAAGCTGATATTGTGCAAAGCAGGGCAACCAATATAAGAGAGGGGCACAGTTGTATACATAATTTAACAAAATACTTCCTTCAACAATGAAGAAACAGGACATTAATATTTATCTTCTTTTATAGTATATTTTTAAAGAGGTTACGCATATTTTATAGGCGTAGGCAACAAATTGCTATAAATAAAACGCATCTCATGCTTGAAATCAGTCAATAAAACTACAATTACTACTAAACAGTACCATATTTAAATGTGTGGTTATTCTTAAGAATGTATTTTGGCAGTTATGCAAATTATAGATCCTACAGCTGTAAGAGTTTTAATATAGTAAAAAAAAACTTGTTCACAGCCCAAAAGAGGTTGAGAACCCTTGATTTAGATGGTTTCTGAAAAGGTAGTTAAATCTAGCACTAGGGAAAACTTCCACTTGATTACATCAGCTGTACAGGCACCGTTATTAAAGGGATTCTCCACTTTTTTTTTGAAATAGGCTCATTTTACCACTCCCCCAGAGTTAAAGAGTTGAGTTTTACCATTTTCAAATCCATTCAGCCGATTTTCTGATATTTAGAAGAATATCAGTAACCAGACAGTTTCTGGTCTCATTCACTTCCATAGTAGGAAAAAAATATACTATGGAAGTCAATGAGACCAGAAATTGTCTGGTTACCGATGTTCTTATAAATATCAAAAGAATCGGCTGAATACATTAGAAAACGGTAAAAACCCCACTGTTTAACTCTGGGGGAGTGGTAAAATGAGCCTGTTTCCAAAAAAGTGGAGTATCCCTTTAATGGCCATTGCAATTCATTAATTAATCAATATACTTATATACACACACCACCGTTCTGAAGTTGGGTTGGTAAAAAATATGCGTATAAAAAAATAAGTCTCTCCTGCTCACCAAGGCTGCATTTATTTGATCAAAAATGCAGTAAAAACAATAGTACTGTTTATTTTATTAAAATGTTTTCCATTTTATTACATTTAATTTATTCCTGTGAGGCAAAGCTGAATTCTCAGCATCATTACTCCAGTCTTCAGTGTCTTATCATCCTTCAGATATCATTCTATATGCTTTTATTCCAATATGTTAAATTATCTAAGATGTAGTATATTTTTGTGGAAACTGTGATACATTTTTGTTCAGGATTCTTTAATGAATAGAAAGTTTAAGAGAACAGCATTTATTTGAAATGTAATTGCCAAAAAAAGTTGTTGCCAACTATACAAAGTTCCCACAGGCAAATTAATGTCATGTGACCCGTTGTTCTGACAAAAGTTTAGTCTTCTCACATTCATGGAGTCTAATGACGGGTATACTGTAAAATCCCAATTTAACTGAACCTCCGGCACGATTTTAACATCCACTGACCCAGCAGGAGATGACCATTTTCACTTTTTAGCACGAAACTCATTTCACGTTGTTTATTAACTCATATTGCTTCTTCTAATGTTCTGCCCTTAGCAATGGCGCTGAGTCGGCAAATGCCCGTATGTGACGTCATGTGAGAACTATGTATAATCAATTTAATGGATCCTTGCTGAATTAAAAAAAAAGGTTGCCCCAAACTCTCGAAAGGCAATGTATGTACCAATATGCATGTTGTTGTGTAAAGAAATGTCGATTAGGGATGGGTGCATCGATACTGATCCATCAAAAGTATAGATACTCAACAAAAAAAAAATAGATACTACGGTGTTTTTGTTTTTTACATTGATTTTTGATCAACAAGAATTGTAATGCATAGGCTTCAATATGCATTGAACTGGACAAATAAACTATAACGAATAATTGTGTAGTAGAACTATTTTTAGGCTCATCTGAACACAAGCAAACACTGCAAGGGAAAACCAATCAATCACGGAGAGCGTTCGCTCACTGCTGACACTGCATTCAAACAGCCCAAACATATTGCTTATCAGAGGACAGAAACATCTTTGAGGTATTTCACAATAATCAAATCAAAATTTAAGCTGACATAGTTTGTGAAGTTTCATATTGATCATGTTCTATCCTGTAACTAATGTAAAAATAAATCATACAGATTAAAAAGGTTACATTTTATGGATTCTGTAAATGAACCATGGTTTTATTACAGTGGCCATAGTTCAACTAGAGTATTTGTAGATTTTCATGGTTACCACAACAGTAAACATTGGCGTATTGAATGATAAAATGACTTTCAAATATATTTATATCATGTTAAGTGGGTATCATAAAACATTTTACTCCAAGTAATTTAATAAACGTAATAATTTAAAGTTCTGTAGAGGCATCGTTATCGACGATACTGGCCTTTTAAAGTATCTGTATCGAAAAACAAAATAAGTGGTTTCGCCCATCCCTAATGTCGACATGACCCCAGGAGCCATCCTTTGATCTGATTGGCTGAGCAGAAAAGTTACGGGATCTTACGCTGATCTGACTGGCTGAGCAGTAAAGTTACGGGATCTTCCGCTGATCTGATTGGCTGAGCAGAAAATTAACGGGATCTTACGCTGATCTAATTGTCTGAGCAGTAAAGTTACGGGACCTTATGCTGATCTGATTTGCGGAGCAGAAAAGTTATGGGATCTTACTCTGATCTGATTGGTGGACCAGATAAATTATGAGATCTTACTCTGATTCTGATTGGCGGAGCAGAAAAATTACGGGATCTTACTCTGATCTTATTGGCGGAGCAGTAAAGTTACGGGATCTTACTCTGATCTGATTGGCGGAGAAGAAAAGTTACAAGATATTACTTTGATCAGATAGGCTGAGCAGAAAAGTTACGGGATCTTACGCTGATCTGATTGGCTGAGCAGAAAAGTTCTGGGATCTTACTTTGATCTAATTGGCTGAGCAGAAATGTTACGGGATCTTACTCTGATTTGATTGGCGGAGCAGAAAAATTACGAGATCTTACTCTGATCTGATTGGTGGAGCAGAAAGGTTACGGGATCTTACTCTGATCTGATTGGCTGAGTAGAAAAGTTATGGGATCTTACTCTAATCTGATTGGCGGACCAGAAAAGTTACGGGATCTTACTCTGATCTTATTGGCGGAGCAGTAAAGTTATTAGCCTGGCTGCGCCCTCCTACGCACTTCCGCTCAATTTCATTTTACTTCAGTACTACGTCTGGGATCGCTCCATATCCTTAGGTTTCCAGAAATCAATTTTTTGTAGGACCAATCAGCAAATAGAGGGAGTGGCTGAGAACGATGACGTCGATGTAAGCGCGTCAGTTTCAGTTCAGTAATGGCAGCGGAGAAAGACGTGAGAAAAGCTATTCGGTCTGTTGTTGGAAAAGAAACTGCCGAATATACAGAATTTAAAGCCGGATTGTTATCGTCTCACCTCTTGTTGCACAACTGAGGACCAAGTGAAGGAGGCAGAAAGTTTGGAAGTTTGTGCTGGGCAGTTCGTGCACGATGACCGTGACATTTTGGACGGACGGTTTAGCCTGGTGTTCGCGGTGTTCGGAAGCCCTGAGTCCTGGCTGCTAAACTATTGTTGAAGATCCGCTCAGGAGTCATATGTCAGTCGCTCATATTTCCAACTGTAAATTTACTGATTCTTGTGATGAATAGAACATTTTGAGCCCTTGTGCACTCGTGCAGGAGGTTGGTGTGTCAGTTTTACATGTTGTAAATCATACAAATTGGTTGTGATTTAAAAAAATAATGATTGTCATAAATAAAAATGTGGAAAACCATGCTTTGAAGATATTTGATTTTCAGTTTTAGATGGCAATGGTTGATTTGTTTTACTAAAAAAACTAAATGCCATATAAAAATGTACAAACACATACTTTGAAGACCATAATTAAGGTAATTAAGAAACAATAAGACGTAATATGAAAAATTGTTGTTTATTACACATCTGCAGATAGAGACAGACTGATTATTCACTGTAGCTGCTAGTGCTACAGCATTTGCGGCAGATCAGAAAACGACCACAGCAGCGTATTTGTAATGATTAGACACAGCTTCCACCGTTGAATGAATATATCACTGTCCTTCGTGTCAAATATACATTTCGAATTAATAATTGTTCCTAGATTAACAAAACCTGCGGCGCTCGTTGACTGAAATCCTATTGTAAACATAATCCTCTTCGGCGCGTGACATGCGTCACTCACGACACCCCGTTAGCAATTGGCTATGGCAGATCGTGAGTGACTTTGGGCAGATCCAATAGATTTGAACTTTAATAGTGAACCCGCCTACAAGGAAGGAAACGTTTCTCAATGGAGCAGTTCCAGACTCTATGTGGAAATGAAATGAACTAGAGTCTGGTTGAACCAGGCTATAAAGTTATGGGATCTTACTCTGATCTGATTGGCCGAGCAGAAAAGTTACGAGATCTTACTTTGATCAGATAGGCTGGGCAGAAAAGTTACGGGATCTTACTCTGATCTGATCTGATTGGTGGAGCAGAAAAGATACGAGATCTTACTTTGATCTGATAGGCTGAAAAGAAAAGTTACGAGATCTTACTCTGATCTGATTGCGCAGCTGCTCGGCCTCTTGCCGCAACTGCTCCAGCTCACTCATGGTCCTCCAGGTGTTTCACTCACTTCCCAGCGTTGATAATACTGAACACACAGAAAACACAAAGTCACATTAAGTAGTCAATCAAGGAAGTAAAACAGAGCACTCATGATGGATCAATAATGCAAGCCACTCACACAAACAATATTCATTAGAAACTAAGTCATGTCAGGTCACACAAGACACTGAGATGGAGCCTTTAGATACAATATGTGGTGAACACAGAAAGTGGTCCATCAATGTTTTCACAATACTGAATGGCTGTATCATATAATTCAGCGAAGGGGCCAAACCATCCTGCTATAGCACTGAAGAGCTGGGCACGCTCCGCTCCTTTGTTTAATGAGGGGCAACACTGCTTGGCACTGCCTACTAGTTCATTTCCCTAAAGATATTGCTAACAACAGCTCATAAAAAGACAGCTACTCAAATTCTTTTAAACATTAAGAGGTTATACAGTATGATTCTCAACAGCCAGGGAAACAAAACAACACTCATTCAAAGGCATGTCAAATTAAATGTAAATGTAATGATATAAATGTATAAATGTATGTTTAAAAAAAAATTAATCTTGAAAAAAGTCAAACCAGCTAGTTCGGGCATATGAAATCCATTTTAATCCAAAATTTAATATATACATCCGGGCGACATTTATAATCCTTAATCCAGATGTGCTAATCTCTTATTTAACCTGTGACACGATAAACTCAAAATACGCAGTTGTAAATTAAATATCCACACAGGGATGAAAATTTAACTGTTAAATTTGTATTGGTCACTGGGTTTAATGCGATAAAACGTAGTGTGTAACACTGATGTTCACCTACATTCCACATTATTTGAAGTTAGCCAACTGTTTTGACAACAAATAGTAGTAATATTACATATTATTTAAAAAAATACTTTTAGAATAAAAATTTAACACAAACTAAATTCTTTCTAACGTTAGCCAGATTATTTTCGAGCCGAGCATAACTTCTATTTCCGACACTTTTTCAGACTGTCTGATTGTCAAGGTTTGGAAATTATAATTTTAAAATGTCTATTGCAGCCTAACAGCAAATGCTGAGTAACTGAATATGACTTTGAATATGGTTTGACACCATATGGGAACACCCCTAGAGATTGTTCAGGACTACCCTGACCTCAGTGAAATCTCTACATTTCAGCATACGTTTTTTTGTTTGTTTGTTTTTTAGGGAAGCACAGTAGCATGATTGCAAGCAGTGTTGCTAAAAACAGGAAGACTACTTGTCCCAACCCTAGCAGCCAAATTACAGGAAAAGCAATGATCAGTATGCAGTTTAAACAAGATTTCCATCATAAAATATTGTAACGTTACATTAACTGACAACATTATAATATGAAATATTAATAACACACAAAAAGCGCAGGTTGATTTAAATAATGGAGCATCTTCTCAAGAGAGAGAGGGGGGGGGGGGGGGGAGTAAATCCAGCTAGTTCGGGCATATGAAATCTATTTTAATCCTACATTTAATATGTACATCCGGGGATTTTTAATCCTTAATCCAGATGTGCTAATCTCCCATTTAACGTTAACCTGTGACACTCAAAGCTTGTTAAAGCTTGTCGCGATAAACTCGTAAAACGCAGTTGTAAATTAAACATCCACATAGGGACAAACATTCAACTGTTAAATTTGAACTGGTCACCGGGTTTAATGCGATCAAACGTAGTGTGTAACAGTTCATTTAATACTGGTGTTCACCTAACAGTTACCGTACATTTCATATTAATCGTAGCCAACTGTTTTCACAACAAATTCAATACCACATGTTGCACGAGGCAGATACCTCTATATAATCCAGTATTTATGCGACAAAAGGTATAAAAGACCCTTTCTCTGTGGACTTGTCATCCGTACAGTTAACCGGAGAGTTTTTATGATTTGGTTAGTTTGGTTAGCACGCTGGCTAGCGAGCGGTGGCTGTATCATGTCAGTTACTCCAGACCACCACACAAACACAACTGACACATTACCTGATGTAAAAACACTACAAGATCCTCCTGCCGCGTGTAAGGGTTAGCAGACTTGTTTTCTTTTTCACGATGTTAACGCGGTCATTTCGTTAAAATCCAAAACAAGGCATAGGGCGCCAAATTTACTAGATTCAAGGCAATTCACACAGCGATTACCACACCCATACTGATATTGAGAGCATGGCAACAATTGGATGGAGGGGGTGGGGGGAAGAAACAGTTCAGAGTTTTTAACAGAAGATATGCTGTCTTCCAGCGTAGAAATGAGTAAAATGTGTCTCTCGTTCATTTATATAGTATATTAGTATGAAGCTAATTTATTTTTATCAAAAGAGTTTGACATTTGTCTACGCCTACCTAATCAAGTCACCCGCGCTTGAAATGGTTCTGGCTATCAGCTTCCTCAATTATCAAAATGACTGAAGTAGTTTGATATATTTGGATGCAGTCACAGATTTGTAATAATACGCATGCATTAATTAGACTCGTAAAATATCAATGAGAATAGTGTGCTCTGCCATTTTAAAAGGCACATATTATAATAAATAAACAAATATGTTTACAATTATCTACTTTCCATAAGTATGAAAAATGTATTTATTAGTTACTATTTTAGCAAACTTTCTTTATTTTTTTTTTATTTATTTATTTTTTTTAAGTAAACCTCGTCACAGCATAAGATTCCCACCTATTTAAAGCCACAGGATACACTGGGTGGTTGCCAGTTTGCCACTTCGAGAGACAATCAATTTCAGAGCCAGTTTATTTAAAAACTATTTGGCTAACGGGTACGTGAGTTATTCGGAATTTAATTTTAAAGTTAATTATCATGTGATATTTTGGAGCAATATACGAATAAGTATTAGGCAATAGTGCCAGGAATGAAATCATCTGTGGCAATCCATGGGTTAAGAAATGCAAACCACACACTCACTGCTTCATCATCTCACACTCGCTGATCTAGAAACCCAGTCAAATTAAATAATTAAGTTACAAAACCAGTATTAAGTGACATTTAGTCTTACCTAGTATGTTGAAGTCCACCAGTGAGAGGTTGGTCAGTGGAAGCACACGGCTCCCTCTGTAGTGTGTGTGCGCGCCTGTGCTGATGGGAGCACTGGCACCGGGATAGGCAGTGGGGACTTTAGTTAATGGCCAGCACATCTACACTGAGAGCTGCTGGTGGTGACAAGGTGGGGCTGGATGGGGGAGGCTGAATACTGAAAGTGGAAAGATGAGGTCTTAAAGAGACAGCAGTTGTCACTGTCTGTTCATTTGGTCAGTGTCGCAACCGAGTAGGCCTACGCGTTAAACAAATCAAACAAGGACTGTCCTTTGCATTTAATTATTGACCATTTGTTTACATTTTGGGCGCATGCACAAAAATCACTGAATGTAGGATATGTACAGCAATGAAGGGCTGTCAATAATTTATTAAAATGGAAAGCTTTTCTATTTATTCCATTGTCAACATTGTCATTTCAAGTGCTTCACTGAATCGCTCTCTGTTTATTATGTTCATGTTTACCGACGGATTTCTGTTGAATTTGGTGATCAAAACATGCCTACTAGCTTCTCATTCATTGCTCCACTGGATGAACATCTTTATGTATCGCATTTCAATGAAAACTGTTCAGAAAGACAACCTTGACAGTCAAAAGTCAAATTTGGGGCTGAGAGTTTCCTTCCATGAGTCCATGATCCAAAGGTTCTGACATCAATAAAGTTATTCCGGTTACAAAGTAATTATTTTGAGCCACTATTTATCTGAGGATGATACGAAAGGTCATGAAACATGACCCTTTTAAGACATCCACCTCACATTCTCAGTTACCTAAAATCATGAAGAAATCTATAAGCTAATTTAAGCCAGTTTCCTTTTCAACCACATGGCTTTATTTTCAGAGCCTTGAAAGATGTCTAACATTTCAAGTCATGGTGAAAAGACTTGAAATATCTAATCTGCTCACTGTACAGGTAAAACTCGAAAAATTAGAATATCGTGCAAAAGTTCTTTTATTTCAGAAAAAAACTTAAAAGGTGAAACTAATATATCATATAGTCTCATTACATGCAAAGTGAGATATTTTGCTGTTTTTATATTATTTTATTTGTTATAATTTTGATTATTATGGCTTACAGCTAATGAACACCCCAAATTCAAAATTAGAATATTGTGAAAAGGTTTTCATAGCTATAAGCCATAATCATCAAAATTATAATAAAGAAAGGCTTGAAATATCTACACTCACCTAAAGGATTATTAGGAACTCTATACTAATGATGTGTTTGACCCCCTTTCACCTTCAAAACTGCCTTAATTCTACGTGGCATTGATTCAACAAGGTGCTGAAAGCATTCTTTAGAAATGTTGGGCCATATTGATAGGATAGCATCTTGCAGTTGATGGAGATTTGTGGGATGCACATCCAGGGCACGAAGCTCTCGTTTCACCACATCCCAAAGATGCTCTATTGGGTTGAGATCTGGTGACTGCGGGGGCCATTTAATGCAGTGAAGAAACACATTTGAAATGATTCAAGCTTTGTGACATGGTGCATTATCCTGCTGGAAGTAGCCATCAGAGGATGGGTAGATGGTGACCATAAAGGGATGGACATGGTCAGAAACAATGCCCAGGTAAGCCGTGGCATTTAAACAATGCAAAAATTGGCACTTAGGGGCCTAAAGTGTGCCAAAAAAAACATCCCCACACCATTACACCACCACCACCAGCCTGCACAGTGGTAACAAGGCATGATGGATCCATGTTCTCATTCTGTTTACACCAAATTCTGACTCTGCCATCTGAATGGTAGAAATTGAGACTCATCAGACCAGGCAACATTTTTCCAGTCTTCAACTGTCCAATTTTGGTGAGCTCTCACTAATTGTAGCCTCTTTTTCCTATTTGTAGTGGAAATGAGTGGTACCCTGCTGTTGTAGCCCATCCGCCTCAAGGTTGTGCATGTTGTAGCTTCACAAATGCTTTGCTGCATACCTCGGTTGTAACGAGTGGTTATTTCAGTCAAAGTTGCTCTTCTATCAGCTTGAATCAGTCGGCCCATTCTCTGACCTCTAGCATCAACAAGGCATTTTCGCATACTGGATGTTTTTCCCTTTTCACACCATTCTTTGCAAACCCTAGAAATGAAAGTTACTGTGAAAATCCCAGTAACTGAGCAGATTTTGAAATACTCAGACTAGCCCGTCAGGCACCAACAACCATGCCACGCTCCAAACTGCTTAAATCACCTTTCTTTCCCATTCTGACATTAAGTTTGGAGTTCAGGAGATTGTCTTTACCAGGACCACAGACCTAATGCATTGAAGCAACTGCCATGTCATAGGTTGATTAGATAATTGCATTTATAAAAAATTGAATAGGTGTTCCTAATAATCCTTTGGGTGAGATATAAACATAACTTAATATAACATAATATAATATAAAGGCAGTTGTGGGGTAACATTACAAGTAATGCAACTTAAAAAAGTAATCTGATTACATAAGTTACAAGTAAAGTAATGCGTTACTTTTAAATGTAATGAGAAAAAAAAACATCTCTTTGACCTCGCATACACATAACCGACTGTAAACTTCTATAATTCAATGTTAGGCTGTATAGATGAGTCAGTCGGAACCAGGAAATCCTGATGTACTCGTTACATCATAAAAAGAATGGCATCTATGCTAATATTAGTCTTTCCCACAGTCTGCCGGATCCAGGCCATATCCAGATCAGATGAAGGACCTTCGCCTGGACAAAACGACAACGCAGTCCTGATGTGTCAACTAGTCTTTTCCCTGTGAAACCCTCCCTCCCATCCCTTACCTCTGTACAGATAAAAAGTTATATATCGCTTCACGGGATAATTTTGGTTCACATGGGTATGTGGAAGCGATCAATATTCTGTATTATACATATTTAAGGCCAGACAAGTAGCTTGTTGAGGGTTGGTTTGTAAAGAAGAACTACAGGCCTGTGCACATATATATTCAAACGTGTATTCAGTACCTATGGACTAAACACTAAGCCATCTGCGTTTTCGCAGGTTTGTGTTTTTGAAGTTTGTGCAGAGATAACCTTTTTTTAAGGTTTTCACCTTGGAACCTATTTCAGAGTTTTCATTCTTGAGCTGCCATGCACTGTCGTTGTGCGGATGAGCGGGCCGGAGCACGTAAAGGGTTTTCAGATAGAACGGTGTCATGTTAGCGGCCCCTATGTTAACAACTAATGATCTTTGCGACAGATGTGATTAAATCAAAACTAACTTAGCTGGACAATAAACTTTACTCTAGAGCTGCGGTAAAGCCAAAACGATCGTTGTTACTGTAATGGCAACGCTTCCTACAGTCCTGTCACCCATGTACATACTATTATAGTAATTGCAATTACTGGGTAATAACTAGTTACTAACCCAGAACCTACCCCTAACCCATGTACTTTCTAGGTAAGTACACTGTAAGTACACGTAAGTACTGTACTGTAAAAGGAAGCGTTTCCGACTTGACTCAAATGTACAAGTTACGACTAAACCTATATCAAAATAAAGGTGTTGTTTATTAAACGAAGCAGCCTCGGGTAATCCAACAAGAGGTAACATCAACGAACAGATCGCATAGCACAAACACCAACAACACCGGACAAAGACAAAGGAAATGAGGAACTGAAATACTCAATGATAACAAGTTATTTTTTCAAGTTACTTTGTTTTCCCATTTATTGACTGGCATCTATCCTGTGCCCATATTGAGAGAAATCGTAAGTGTGCACGCTGCATCATGTCTATTAGTTCTAGATTAAATGTTAGCATTTACTCATCTCACTTCATTTAAAAACATTGAAACGCAAACCCAAAATATAACGCACACCTGCAATAATCAGCCTAAATATGTTAAATTGCACAAATATACTTTATGTATTTAAGCAATTTCTTTAATTAAGCAATTTGCTGCTGACCTTTGGCGATCCATTTCATGCATACTAAAAAGCAAAAATGACTTTAGATAAACATCATATTGTATTCTTTTTTTGTTTTTATTTCTGTAGTAAGGCCCTGTCCCAAACGGCACTCTAAACACTCGCGTTCTTCCTACGAGTCCGCACTTCCGTGACGTCACACCGCTTTGACAGCCGATAAGAAGCTCGCTTCAGCGTGGGCTGGGCAAAAGTGCACATCGAGGGCACATATCACTACAAAGGGGGCGCTAACGAGCACCCTTTTGAGACCTAAAAGGACAAATGGGACACCCCAAGGTCTCCTTGACTAAATGGACGCGCGCCAGCCATTGTCAATGCATAAGAAGTGCATATGAAGTGTGCATATGATTTGCGACAGGGCCTAGGAGTATTGAGCTTTCTTCTGCATCCCGTTCTTCTGGTATATTTGAGCTGCGCCCTCTACTGTACAGACATGAATTTGCTTATAAATTCAATTTCACTTTTGGTGTGAAAGGGCCTTTGCATTTGCTAAAAATACAACTTTTTTAAAAATCAAAATCAAACAAGCAAACCCAGCCCGGATGAAAAAAAAGAACACAATTAGTTACTTTTTTAGGGAGTAATGCAACAATGTATATGTATATTATTGTAATATCTATAAAAGTGACATTTAGCCCAGACAGTAGAAAGCAGTGTTCAGCATGTGCCTGTGGGGGGTGCTCTGGTATCACCATATCTAGATCATTTAAAGGTTAGGGACCACCATGTGCTTAGTTTTGAAATGGAAAAAAAAAAGAGACACATAATATTTCAGTTCTTCTAAAATACAGCTTTAATAAATAGGTTATAAATGCATCTTGGCTATATTACCTGTTAATGTAGGAGAGATTGAAAGATGATACTTGATGGGTAGACATGCATACATTTTATGACTGTTCATTCCATGAAATAGTCTATTTTACATGAATAAAAATGAAATACATTTCCTTCTGCTATTCTACAATTGTAATTATATTTATAGTTACATGACAGCTCTGAATATAGCAAAACTAGTGTGATTTTCTACAAGACGAGTGTCATTAATGCCCGCATACTGTGCTCATACATGCCATGTGATTTTAAATATTGTCACATATAGTATGCTTAGTGTTAGAATTTTGCTCTATGTCAAAAAATGTAGATTAATAGTAGTTACATTCACTTTTAAGTAAAAAAATCTGGAAAATCTGTTTTCTGTATCACATGCAATCACCAGATTTTCCAAATCTTCAGTAATATTTAAATTGTAGATGCATCTAATGAAGCAATTTTCTTAGTCTTTGCCCAAACTAAGTAATTAAGGTTATTAATGTTATTTATGTCTTTAAACACTGTCTCATTCAGTGCCCTTCAATCATCTCAGCTCACTCCAATTACTTTGACGTTAACTAATAATGCATAGAGTTAAAATGATAGACAAATAAGGACCCCCACTAAGATTTTTGGTAAATTTAGCAACAACAAAAAACAACAACAGCAATGCTGGTTTGCATAGTTATTTCTTCAAAGAAAATATCCAGCCTAAAACAATACAAAGGAGCTGAAATAATAATGTTCTAACACATGGCTTTTTTCACCATAAACTATATACTGTACATATGAACGATAAAGGGATTTCAGTCTCATCAAATGCACTTCAAAACTTTACCAGGCTCAACGATTCGACTGTATGGCCAAGATGTTGTTGTTCGTAGATTTTGTGAATGTATTCGGTCCCCTTTGAACGTTTGGGCTAACAGTCTTAAATGAACTCGCTCACTTTCAACATGATACTGCTTTAGCAGTGACCTTTCGTGCAGAGGCTTTGAAGTTGCTCCCCGCCGAGCCCTGATCCAGAATGCCCCGGAGCACACAGCATTAAACGGGGCTTGCTGGAAGACAGATGGCCTGGGGAACACGCCCTGCCCGCACACCTGCGTATAGATCACCCTGAGTCAAATTCAGCTAGGCTGCAACCGAAATCGCATACTTCCTTACTAAATTTAGTATGCGAAAAATAGTAAAAAAGTAGTCAAAAAGTTCGACCGAATACTTCCGGCGAGACTCTAAGTGTGCATTCGATGGGCACTTAACTATCCCATGAGACCACGGGATGGGAGAGGATTTGTGAATGACAGTGAAGTGACGCAACTTACACTGGCAGGTCACATGACAATGGCAACACTGCAGATGTAGCATGTCCTGATTACAGACAGACTGTTTTTTTTTCAGCTGTTGTGAAATTATTCTTTTCAAAAATAAGCACCCATGCAATTTCAGATGCAGCCCTAGTGTCATTCCTGAACTGACTGGCTATATGGCTACACTCTTTTCAGCAGAAAAACAGCGCCACCTTGTGGTGAGGGATGTGAACTAGCATTGTAAAATGAACATGAAAAAAAAACAGGTTCTTGAGATCTCAATTGACCATGATAAGATAGCTAGGTTCTTTGAAGATTAATAATCAATTCGATAAACTAAACAAAATTCCTCCTATATTCCCCAACAAGGTTTGGTTCATTTTTCTCAAGTATACAAAGTTAGATAAGCTTAAAAATATTAGTGAAATATAACCAACATCAAGAAAAGGTGCTTTTGCGCTCACTTTCTGGCATTTATTCCTCTAGTTTCAAAAACCTTCACTTACCGGTTCTGTTTGTGCTCTATAGAATATAAACGCTGTCTTCAGGGGCCTCTGAAGAAAGCAAAGGCTGCCCATAAATTCAACAAAAATAGCTGTGCACACTCTGCATATTAAATATTGACATCTCGTATTCACTCGAGCCAAACTTTGTGCCTGCTGTTAGTGAATAATAGATTTCACAGGTCTGAGTCTGATCACATGTCCATGTTGAAGGCCCTCATTAGGAGGTCTAGATCTCCCACGCTTGCTGCCTGGAACAGTTCTGGCTGGTCCATGAGTGAGAGGGCGATCCGCAGAGCGGCCCAGATGTTGCTGGACACTGCCTGATGACTCCTGCTCTTCCTCTGCTGGTGCAGAGCGGTCAAGAAGTTACTCACTGCCTCCCTGTGAGAGGAAAGGCAGAGGTAAAACATTGAGTGCCCTATCATACGCTCGTCACAACGCAAGTGTTGTTATCATTTAACGCAGTTGTCATTTTCACGTCCTGTGCCACGTTGTTGAAATAGCAAATGCATTTGTGCGCCCATGGGCGGTTGGTCTGAAAACGAAAGTTATTTTGAGGCAACTGAAATAGACTGCGCCATTGACCAACTGACACCTGGTCTGAAGTCAATGGCGGAATAAATGTTTTGTTACTTAAACTTATTACACACACAGGGAAGCGCAGTAGCACACTTAACGCCAACTGCTTAACGCACCAGTGGGGCTCGACAGCCTTTTAGACAAACGGGTCGGCACGTATGGTTGGGTTGCGGAGAGTTCAGGTTACGGAGAGTTTGTGAGTTATAACGGAAATCATTATGAACATCAGCTATGCTAATTATTTCCCATCTGCCTTTCTGCTGTTATCTCGGGACGCTTGTCCCGAGAAAAATGGCGTTCGTCAGGTCCAGTTTTGTGTCCAGCCTCTCACGGGGATTTCGGATGCCCCAACGCCTGTGATGAGACGACTCAACGCCTGTGAAGAGACGACTCAACGCCTGCGATATGTTATGGCGCCGTTTTATTCATAAACAATATTTATATTTAATATTTATATTTAAACAATATGAATGTAAGCCAGAGGAGAACTGGCCCCCGACTGAGCCTGGGTTCTCCCAAGGTTTTTTCTCCATCCAATCTGATAGAGTTTTGGTTCCTTGCCACTGTCGCCTTGCTTTTGGCTTGCTTTGAGCTTGCTCAGTTGGGGTTATTTAGGATTATTTAGTGTTTAGCAATGTTGTTGATCTGTGTTGTGCTACTTTCATGTTATCAGTGTGAAGCGGCTTTGATACAATCTGTATTGTGAAAAGCGCTATATAAATAAATGTGACTTGACTTGACTTGACACTTAAAGGGATACTCCACTTCTTTTGGAAATAGGCTCATTTTACAACTCCCCCAGAGTTAAACAGTTGAGTTTTACCGTTTTCGAATCCACCCAGCCGATTTTCTGATATTTAGAAGAATATCAGTAACCAGACAGTTTCTGGTCTCATTGACATCCATTGTATATTTTTTTCCTACTATGGAAGTCAATGAGACCAGAAACTGTCTGGTTACTGACATTCTTCTAAATATCAGAAAATTGGCTGTACGGATTCGAAAACGGTAACTTTTTAACTTTGGGGGAGTTGTAAAATGAGCCTATTTCCAAAAAAAAAGTGAAGAAATGTAAAAGATTGTTATTATGTACTGTACATAAAGATATGGTGGAATATGGCTTGTCCTGTAGATGTTCTGTTTCACGCTTTAAACTCGCGCACTAGCAGATCCGTTTCGAGAAGCGTTCAGTCTTTCCACTTGTAAATTCCACCATGTAAATAGCGAATCTGCCATTTTACGCCCAAAACACCCGTTACTCATTAATTAGAGAATAGAGACAACCCTTTTAGACCAACTATTTTTCCCATCATTAAACTAGCAAAAGTGGATTCGGACACGACCTAAGTGCACTTGTGCTGTGCGTTTTGGACCATGTGCTTGAATCCTTAAAGTAGGGTCCTGAAATTTGAAGTTTTTAGACTTTATTTAGCCTTCTGCTTGTTCAGTCTGCTTTAGTGTCAACACTAAGGAGACATACAGCTTATATTAACCCTTGCTCATTGGTTCGGTTCATTACCGATGTGCCCCCAGGTTGATGCAGCTGATGCCGAGGTTGTATCTGGAGCGGATAAAGCCTGGCTGGAGCTCGAGAGCTCTGGTGTAGGCCTCCACTGCCTCCTCACTGCGGTCCCCATTCGCCAGTGTGGCCCCGAGCCGATTCCACAGGAGATAGTCCTATGGAAACACACAGAATTGGCAGAGTAAAGGGGCGGACAGGGGTTTTCCAGCTGGGTTCCAAGGGGTTGCAAGGTGGTACTACTAGACGGTCTACGGGACAATTTCAGAGAAAAAAAACATGTAATTTTTTTTATTTTTTTTATTTTATTATATTATATTATATTAGATATACAGTTATTTTTTCTTACAATAAAGCAAAACATTACAATAATTATAACATTTCACATAAAAACAGGTAAAACTACCATAATTGAGATTTGTATTAAATTTTTTTTAAGTTTAAAAATTAAACTCACCTTATCATGATAATAAAATAAGATAAAACATAAAACTATTATACATAAAAATTACAATTAATTTAAATATAACTTTCATTTAAAAAATACTTATTAAGCTGTCTTCCTTAAATCTATTGGTTAATGTGCTCCAGAGCTTAATTTCAGGCATAATTGTCAATGCTGCATTCCCCATTGTCTTTCGAATGTTGCTGAGAACCTCCATTAAACAAGCCACAGATGATCTCAGTGTTTCCGCAGGCACATAATTTACGAATTAACATTATAACTTGGTCATTAAAATTTAAATCTTTTTTTTTCTCTAAATGTTCCATTTATATTATGCATCTTTATATTATATATATATATATATATATATATATCATACTTTATATTATATTATATTATATTAGTGAGAAAGAATAAGTTAGAAAGATTTAATAGACTGCATTATTTTGATATATTTGTTTTAAGTGTATTAAGTGTTCGTCTATTAATCCTTGTTGTGTTTTTATTGGGTTTTTTTTCTCTTGCATTTAGCTTGCTCACTAGGATTGGTTAGGCAATATATTATCCATAAAGTTATTTCTATCCATAAATATTTCTATTAAAGTTTATACATTTAACAGTGGATATAAACTATACCCACTATCAACACAATCGCTTGTGTGCGTTTGCCGCGGCTCTCACGACTGGATTTACTTCTGTTGTCTTGTGTTAATAAATGTCCACTGCGCTCGCATCCAACGCCTCTTTTGTCTGCAGCAGCCACGTTACAACTGCACTACAGTACTTCATCTCTGTGCCTGATTTAAAACCTACAGAATTCTAGATCTAACGAGTCGCAGCGGACGAAAATAACCGCCATTTGAATCCTTTCAGTCAAATTCAGTAAAGCAAACAAACATCAATGACAGCTTTGACTTGTCATTGCTGGCAAATGGCCATGGTATAAGCGGTGTAATCCACGCCTAGCTGTGCTTTAAATGATCTGAAAGGACTCTGCTTCGCGTCAGGCGGTTCTTTGCCTCCACATCGTGCATTAAAATTAACATTAACACATTATATATACAAAGCTAAAAGTGGTGAAACTAAACATTTTCAGTCATCCATTGGTTATCAAGGTAACAGCTCAGCCTACTAACTGTCTGGTTAAGAAAAGCAGTTTTGATTAGGAAATCATGATTAAACTGTACATGTTCTGATCAGGAATTGAAGAAGGGGGGATCTTGCACCACAATGGCGCATCATAATACATTATTTTCAACATTTCAACAGAACCCTGCACCCAAATCAACGCAAACTACTAATTTATTATGCATTACAGATTGCTGTATAATTTTTATAACACACCCAATGCAATCAGGACATCTTGGAGAATCTAAAAGATCTGTAGCGTTAAAAAAATGATGAATAGGACTTCCTGGCTTACCTCCGGCCGGACAGACAGTGCAGCATTGAAGGCGTCCACAGCTTTGTCAAACTCTGAACTGAGGTTGAAGAGCACACCCAGGCCTGTCTGGAGGTCAGGGTCCACCCCTTCAGTGCTCTGCACTGCCTCCTGGTACAGCTCCAACACCTCCACCAGCTGAGAGCTGCACACAACACACACCATGAACAAGGGCAGGGCCATATGAGGACATATTTCATGGCGAAGGCGAAGATATAAGCTGTCAGTTGATAGCACATTCTAGGGCCAGGTTTTATGGCTGGGCCGCTCTCTTTCTGCGACAGTGGAAAAGGCTTTGCTACATTTTGATTGGATCTTGGTGGACTAGCACAAACAAATGTCCAACACCACCTGATAGGCATGCTAGGACTGACAGACACCTCAAACACAGGAGGGTTTCCACAGGCAGTTTCGGCCCTGCACTCATCTACACTCATCCCTAAGGTTTAAGCCAACTGCAATAACAACAATTAGGACATTTTGGGTGCAACAGCAGTGGTTCAAACAATAAAATTTTCATTTGGAACAAATCCATTCATAACTATGCTTGGAAACCTTAAAACCGATGTAAATACACATTAATTTGAGCCTGGGTTCTCCCAAGGTTTTTTTCTCCATCCAATCTGATGGAGTTTTGGTTCTTTGCCACTGTTGCTTTGCTTTTGGCTTGCTTAGTTGGGGGATATTTAATATTTAATATTTAACAATATTATTGATCTGTGTTGTACTACTTTCATGTTATCACTGTGAAGCTGCTTTGATACAATCTCTATTGTGAAAAGCGCTATATAAATAAATGTGACTTGACTTGACTCAATTTAATATAAATTAATGTAAAAAATTGTGCTGGGCAACGATTAATCATGATTAATCGCATCCAAAATAAAAGTTTGTGTTTACATAATATATGTGTGTGTACTGTGAATAATTATTTTGTATATATAAATACACACACATGCATGTATGTATTTAAGAAAAATGTGTTATTTAATATATATTTTTGAGTAATATAAATGATGTGTACATATATACACAGTATATATATGCAAATATTTCTTAAATATGTACATGCATGTGTGTATTTATATACAGTATACAAAATAATTATACACAGTACTCACGCATATTATGTAAACACAAACTTTTAATTTGAATGCGATTAGTCGCAATTAATAAAAAAAACAACAACAAAAAAACAAACCTTAGACAAATTCAGCTGTACAAATGAATGCATGAATGACAGTCCAATCTTTTTGCCAAAAGGCTAGAGCCCAACCAATAAAGGATTTTGAAGGCTGTTATATTTGATCTTATTTAACAGCAGCAAAACTGGACATGATAGTCACAAATTTTGTCATGCTTATTTGAGTTAAGAGAACTGATGGGGATGTTCTTTTAAATGTTATTCAATGTATGAAGAGTTCAGATGCAAAAGCCTCTAAATGCCATTTGAAATTTTCTTCTTTAATGATGATTTTTTTTATCAAACTTGTATATTTAAGTTCAGTAATTTCACTTAAATGGCAATGATAATTACCTATTAATTGTTATTTAAGTGAAATTAATGAAATAAAATATACAAGTTTGATAAAAATCATCATTAAAGAAGAAAATTTCAAATGGCATTTAGAGGCTTTTGCATCTGAACTCTTCGTATGTCTCATGATCAACTCACCATGAACACACTTCACCGATTATCTCACTCGCGGATAACTGGTTCTCTCTGCCCGACTCTGACTGGGTCAGCAGTTTGCAGAATGTGTGGTACGTTATACACAAGTGTTGCCAACAGGGACGGTGTAGAGTGCCCTCTGGTGGACAAACTATACAACTCCAACACTCATGACATGCTTGAAGCGTGTTTCGTCCGTTTTTATTTTATTTTTAAAATATTCATTTATCGGCCATTATAACTGCCAATAACCATAGTTTGGAAAATGCCTAATATCGGCTGATAATATCGGCCTGCCGATAATATCGGCCTGCCGATAAATCGTGGTCTGGCTCTACAAAAGGCTAAAACTTTCCAAAGGTATTCTGTTGGTCGTTTGGGAAGTGAGAAATGCACTGGAATGGAGAAGCAGCAAATTGCAATCTCCTCCTCATCGGAAAGGGATAAATGTACCCTTTCAACAGACACTCCTTTTCTGAGTCTCAGGCCTGTAAGAGGAGAAACAGAAACAGATCAACCGGTTCTGAATCTTCCATCTGGCGAGACACGTCGTTCTGAGCCTCCGGCCCACTACAGGGAAGGCAGCAACAGATACACCCAAGTTCTGAATCTCTAACCTTCAAAGGTGAGAAATTATCAGATACAACGTTTTGAGACTGGTTTTGAGACTCTGTTTTTGAGACTCATGAAGCGAAATATTCGCAATAACCAAAGCAGCTTGCCCTGAGTCTTTGTGCCAGAGAGACAAAAGGGGATAAGTCCTGAGTGTCTGGCCCAGAGAGGCAGAAGACAATCAGACATTTGCAACAAAGTTAAACTCAGTAGGGCAATCCTTCACTTCAGAGCCTCTTCTGCATGTTCCAGATTTTAGGAGCCCTTTTTGTTGCTCCAGGAGGTCAGCATCCGGCAGAGCTTCGTGTTCAAGGCTGTTGAAACGTATTCTGGCTCCTATTCCCACTTCATTGTCACCCTTTACAACTAGGGGAAGACTTCACGACCATCGGACACTCGACCTTGTGGAACATAAATATCACTTTACCAATTCTCTTAGGCCACGTCCACACGAAGCCAGTGCGTTCCCTATACGATTTTTTTCCTCGTTCTAAAAAAAATCCGTACAGCGTCGTCTCAAGAAATATCTGTGTACACACAAAACCACTGAAACCGACTGAAAAAGGTGTATTATGTATGCCAGACCAGTATGAGGCGCTGTAATTCTGCCACAGAGATACGCTATACATGGAGAAGAAGACTTTGAGGATGTGCATAACCTTGCGCGCTGCATACAAACAGCCAACACGCAGCTGACATGTGATGTGATGACATCATCGCTTCACAAAATATACGGATTGGCTTACACGCGAAACCGCAACGGTGTCGTTTTTAGATATATCCACTTAGGGACCCGGTTTCAAAAAATAGTGGTTTCACTCTCCCAAAACACCAGATAAGTGTGGATGAAACGCCAATACGATAAAAAAATTATAGGTATATACAGCGAATCGCGTCTTCGTGCGGATTATTGGCATTATTGTATATCATCAGTATATGATTCTCAAATTTGCATTAGATGTTATATAGCTGATGCTAGTTAATAACAAATAATCTTTCACTGTTTTATTTTTTATGCATAAGGTTCTTCACATTATTACAAAGTAGTTATAATAAATAGAGAAATAATGTATCTTCCCATAAAATAACGTAACTCTGCCATACCCACACCCAACTTAATTACTATACAGAAGACATAATACAGAAGAGGCTCTAAGTTAATGATATCTCACAAATCCTTCATATTGGTAAGATGACAAACTCCCTTCAGTTTACAAAATTTTATTTATTCAACAATCATTTTTGATTGTTATTTTACTGTTAAGGTGAAATTCCTTAGCTGGTACCTTGAGGTACAGTAGGAGGAGAGGTCATCTGACATTCTCACACACATCTTAAAGGGATAGTTCACTTTAAAATTAATTTTTGATATGTTTTAGCTTACCTCTAGGGCATCCAAGATGTATCCCAGCAAACTGACATTGAATCAACGTGGAAACGACATCTCTCATGACATCGAAACAACGTTGATCTGGCATAGTTTTGCTCATCGAATTAACGTTGCACCAACGTCAGACGCGGCATTCTTCAAAACTAAATGAAAATTGGTAATTGGTTTGCAATTGGTTTGCTTTCCTAACGTTAAAACAACGTTGATTTCAAGTTGATTTTCTGTTAGTTTTGAAGAATGACGCATCTGACGTTGGTTCAACGTTAAATCGATGAGCAAAACAATGCCAGATCAACGTTGTTTCGATGTCATGTTTCCACGTTGACTTAATGTCAGTTTGCTATCTCGGATGTGTCTTTGTTTCCACAGTATTTTCAATTTTGACATTTTTCGGTCAAACCGTTGTGGTCTGTCAGTCATATAATGCAGGTATGGGGGTCCGCCTCAAAGAGCATGCACAGAGAAGTCCAGATTAAACATGATTAAATGACTCGTGAATGTAAGTACACATTGATGGCCTAAGACACGAAACGAGCGGTTTGTGTTAGAAAACGAACAGTATTTATATTGTTTTTACCTCTTGTTAACAGAATTGATCTGAATCAGAAGTCCAACTGAATCAAACTGAACCGTCTCCAACGTAGCGCCGGAAGTGATCTCTCGCACGTCTACGTCACGCAATGTTTACACAGAGATTTCGGGAGTTTTACCTTTCACTAAACATATATTTAGATATACGGGAAATCGCAATGGAAGAAGATTTCGATATATGTAAATATGTTTAGTAAAAGTTAAAACTCTCGAAATCTCTGTGTAAACAATGCGTGACGTAGACGTGCGAGAGATCACTTTCGGCGTAAGTTTGGACACGGTTCAGGTCGGTTCAGTTGGACAACTGATTCAGATCAGTTCGACTGCTGTTAACAAGAGGTAAAATCTATATAAATACTGTTCGTTTTCTCACACAAACCGAGTCATTAAATCATGTTAAATTTGGACTTCTCTGTGCATGCTCTTTGAGGTGGACCCCCCAAACCTGCATTATATGACTGACAGACAACACCGGTTTGACCGAAAAATGTCAAAATTGAAAATACTGTGGAAACAAAGACACCTACATCTTGGATGCCCTTGAGGTAAGCTAAAACATATCAAAAATTAATTTCAAAGTGAACTATCCCTTTAAGTGACGTGACCAAAACGCATTATAAATTTGGTGCCACCAGTAAAAATTTCTACATAACAGATGCCTTGTATGAGAGAAAGTATTATCATTTACAATAGAGAATTTGCTATATTGTTTCTGTCACAGTATGTACATATCTGTGTATAAACCTGAATGACTGAGAAGAATCTACAGTGAAATAAAAATTACGTGATCTAAGCCAGTGTTTCCCAACCCTGTTCCTGGCGGCACACCAACACTGCGCGTATTCTTTGTCTCCCTAATCTAAAACACACCTAATTCAACTCATCACCTCATTAACCCATCTGATTATGAGCTGATGAGTTGAATCAGGTGTGTTTGATAAGGGAGACAAAGAATACGCACAGTGTTGGTGTGCCGCCAGGAACAGGGTTGGGAAACACTGATCTAAGCCACACTGTATCTCACAAAACTCACAAAATAGCCCTTATGCATATGCTTTATATATGGAGCATATAGACAATGATTCATGTGAGTGCATGTGGAGCGTACCACCCGAGAGTGGGGATGGGGGAGATGGAGGACCCTCTGCGGCTGGGCAGTGGAGAACCATCCAGAGGGCTGCGGTTCTGGAGCAGGTGTCTGTATCTGGGGTTGTATCTGATCCAGCGGTGAAGAGCCTCACAGGCTTCCGGCTGCTGCCCTACATTGGTCAGGCTCACCGCCAGAGCCATCAGGGCCTTCAGATTGTTTGGGTGCAGCTCCAAACATCTATTTGAACAAAGAAACACAGACCAAACATGGCAAAATAAGCGAGGGAGTGAGTTGCCCAACATGTTTCTTGATTTATTTATTTTTTTTAATTCTGATTAAACCAACTACGTGATTTTGGGATGGCACTATCTGTAGTCCAATAAATGGTGCACAATGGGAGTGTTCCAAAAAAAATATTTGTGCAATACCATTTGTTACCACTAATACCACTAATTGTGCAGATGCCCAGAAGCTTTGAAGGAATAGTTCACCGAAAAATGAAAATTAAGTCATTAATTACACAACCCCCATGCTGTACCAACCCCGTAAGGCCTTCGTTCATCTTCGGAACAGAAATGAAGATATTTTTGATTAAATTTGAGAGGTGGATCACTGCTACATAGGCTGCCTAAGGGATTGAAACTTGATGGCCCAGAAAGTCAACAAAGAAAATGTTTAAATATTCCATGTGAATACAGTGGCTCAAGTATAAGTTTATCAAGCGACGAGAATACCTTTTGTGCGAAAATAAAACAAAAATAACGACTTTATTCGACTATTCCTTTTCTTCCTTCTGGGCCTGAGACGAGAGATCAAGAGATTTCCACGACGCATGCGCGAGAATTGCGAACTTATTCTATGACTTCTTGTTTAGTTCTCGCGCATGCGTCGCGGAAATCTCTTGAACTCTCGTCTCAGGCCCAGAAGGAAGTCATTCTTCAATGACTTTGTGGGTCGTCAAGTTTTAATCCCTTAGGAGCCTATGTAGCAGTGATCCACCTCTCAAATTTAATCAAAAATATCTTCATTTGTGTTCCGAAGACAAACAAAGGTCTTACTTTGGTACAGCATGGGGATGAGTAATTAATGACTTAATTTTCATTTTTGGGTGAACTAAACCTATAATGCAATTTCCTCATGCATAATTTTACACGTTTGTGAACTTTAAAGGGATACTCCACTTTTTTTTGGAAATAGGCTCATTTTACCACTCCCCCAGAGTTAAACAGTTGGGTTTTACCGTTTTCGAATGTATTTAGACGATTTTTTTATATTTAGAAGAATATCAGTAACCAGACAGTTTTTGGTCTCATTGACTTCCATAGTATATTTTTTCCTACTATGGAAGTCAATGAGACCAGAAACTGTCTGGTTACTGATATTCTTCTAAATATCAGATAATCGGTTGAATGGATTTGAAAACGGTAAAACCCAACTCTTTAACTCTGGGGGAGTGGTAAAATGAGCCTATTTCCAAAAAAAGTGGAGTATCCCTTTAAACTTTTTGCTCCAATTGAGATTGTTATGGCTTTAATTTTAAAATGAACAATTTTACAAATTAAGAATTGCAGAAACCCCGAAACTACAAATGTGACTATTTCTGCAGCCTTTCATCTAAACGATGTTTCATTGAATATGGGATTTAGGCAGGATTTAGGCAATCCTGCACATTGCACTTGTTAAGAAGATTCTGGTTTGTCGGAGTGTCTAGTAAGTGTGTAATCCCCAATGAAAGGACATTAAAACTCTGTATTTACAACATTATTCACCCTCAGCGAACAGAGCATTAATGCTCCTCTGGCATATATCAGATTCAAGCATAAATCACAAACCCCTCATTATTGTCGACTCACCTCTGAAGACAAACAATGGCTGCCTGTTCATTCTCATTCTCTGCTTGTGTGGTGCCCAAAACCTGCCAAGCCTTTGTAGAGGAAAAAAAGCACTATAGTTTGATACATCACAAAAATATTACAGCAAAGCAGAAATAAAAAAAGACTTGAATTGCTCGAAGGGCACTGTAAAAAGAGCGTTCAATTATTGGGGCTGCCAGTTTTCTAAAACATATTGTTGTTCCCTCTTCATTATGTGCTTGCCTAGTGCATTTAGTGCATTCACTCTGGGGACGTTGGCATTTGACTTTAATGTGGTTTTGTTTAGAATTAAACAGGATCATATTTAAAAGCCATCCCAGAGGTTTGCGCCATCTGTCTGGCATCACTGTGGCTCATAAAGCATGGGAAATTTCATTAAATGTTTGATGGTGCTGACTGGGCAATAATAAAAGGAAGGCAGGAAGGACATGAATTTTTTGCACTGTCTGTCACACTAAGCTGTTTCATCGTTTGTGAGGTGATAAAACATTCTGAGTAGATTGAGTTGAATATATGACATTATAGTAATGTTCCAAATCCAAGTAAGCGGACAAGAGGCTGAATTAGAACGTTTTAACTATCAAATTATTAAACTTCTTAAACAATTGGACCCCCCATTTTCTACAAGACACCCGTTCAAACGATTGGGGTCGGTTTTTATTTTTCTATGTTTTTTAATTAAGTCTCTTATCATCAGGATTACACAAGAACGCTTGACCAATGAACACAAAGACTAGGCCATCGAAAAAAGACACGAAACAAGAGCACATGGTGAGTGAACGAACACTCAACCTGTGAGATTAAAACAAAAGACAAATCATGGAGCATGAATGTCCGAAACCCAGAAAGTACCCTCCCTCAAAGGCAATGAGGAATACCAAACACAAGACTGATACATCAACACAAAATAGACACACACCAAGACATCACAAGACAGACACACACACCGACACAACAACAGAAGACAGACTGGGGTCAAACAATGACAGGTAGTGGAGGGAAAACAGGCCGCTGTTGGGGGGCACAGTCCAGGAAGGTCCAGAAACCAGACAGATGACCAGAGAGGGAAGGGAGGCCAGGCCAGGGCAGGGCAGGGCCAGGAGGGATGGACCAGGGAGGCTCAGGCTAAACAGGAACCCTAGTGGATGGCCAGGGTAGTGCTGGAGAGAAGCAGGATTTCAGAAGGATCCTGGTCTAGAGCGGGCTCTGGAGTGGCTTACTTGGCTGGTAGCACAGGACAAATTTGCTCTTCTTCAAAAAGGGAGACAACGTGGTGGGACTAGGTTGGGATTAGGTGAGATTGACTGGGAGAGGGGCCCACTCCACCTACAGAATCTCTGTATCCTTTAAATGGCAAACATGGTGAACTACTTCCCAGTAAGTCCATGATCTTCTAATTGCCCAACTCCTCCCAGGGAATAGGATCATCCAGTCAGACAAGTAACTTTGCAAGTAACAAGCTCCTGGGCTAATTCAAGGAGATCTAGTACATATAATCCAAAAGGGGCGATGATTATGGAGGCAACTTAACATCCTGCCAGCCTGGGATGTGTTCTGGGAGGGCAAAACACAAAAATGGAATAAATAAAGAAGGAAATTAAGAGTATAACAAGGGAGGAAAACTGGGATAAATGAACAAATAAACAGGTAACAATAGACAGACAATAGACAGTGGAGCACATTGCACATGGAAACTAACAAAACAAAGACACGTGCGACAACAAAGCCAGAAAAACCTGACATGAATACGCAGCCATTAAGAGCTCACAACGACTGCATGACAACACAAAACATTACAACAAGAAAGCACACAGCTAATGAACACAAGAGCTTCGTGCTACACAGAACACAAGAACACAAAGACCAGGTGCACATGAAAACCACATCAGACAAGAGCACACGGTGAGTGAGCGATCTCTCCACACGTGCGTTCACAACAATAGACAAAACGTGCAGCATGAATGTCTAAACCCCGACACTGAACTAGACAGGAGGAGTGCACTTATGATCACCAAAGCTGTATTTATTTTATCAAAAATAAGTAGAAACTGCAATACTGCGAAATAACACAATTTAAAAGAACATTCAATTTCAATATATTTCAAAATGTAACTTGATGAGAAAGGTGAAATCTCAGCATCATTACTCAAGTCTTCAGTATCACGTGATCCTTCAGAATCATTCTAATATGTTAATTTGCTGATCAAGAGACAATCAGTTCAAATGTTTGGGGTTAGTTTACATGAACACACACACACACACACTTTTTCATTTTGCTCGGTGTAATGCATTCTTGGATCGCATTCATTGCAAAAGATGCCAAGCTGCCTTTAATTTTGGTCAATCGAAGATATCTTAAAGGTGCATAGCGCAAGTATCTAAGTTTTTCGCAGAACTACGCCCCCTCTGGTGACAAGCGAAACTGCAACCAGAGGTGTGCACGCTCATGGACCACACACACAAGCACACTTGCACAAGCTGTTCATAACCAAAGGACCATCAGCCGCACAAATATTTTGTTACAGTCATAATGAGGTAATAAAGTTATAAACTCATTGTAAGTATATAAAAGGAAAGGCATTTGAGTAAATTAAACACTTATGTGTGTGTGAGGGGAAAACGGAGGTAGTAGAAAACTTTGTTTTTTGTTTCCATCTATCTTCGTGTTGAACTGTTTTATGTGTTTACTGTATCCACGTATGATTGTATTATTATGGAAACACGTTCATGAACAATATAAGTTATTACTTTCTATAGGATCCCGTTTGAGCCCTAGAGCAGACCGTAGATCTCTCCATTTGTTGAAAGCTTCCCGATGTTGACTCTCGTCTTATTCCGACGCCTGGCACTAGACAAAAGTTTTATTTTCTTTGTCTTACGTGGAGTTTGCGTTGGGGTTTGGAATGAACTAGCCGGCCTCTTTTGTCGAAAGTTGACTAAAGTTTTGTCGCTCGAGTTGTATTCGCTGATACGGAGAATGGCGGCGAATACACAAACCTGACATAGCCAGGCGAGCGTGAACGCGCGTGACGTCACGCCCAGTCTCAAATTCGAGCCCGAATCCCTCTCATCTATTTTACTGTATAGGATTATAGAGGCGATCGCCGTGATCAGAGAAGGGCTCATTCAGCCCATCAGGCAATTGTTTAAGCATGTGTAGATTAGAAAAACACGGGTATGGGTTTTTTAACATGAAATGTTGCATAATGCACCTTTAAAATATTGTCTCAGTAGGCCGCTTGCTAGGTTTAGGAAAACAAATAATGTGTAAGACAGCTAAAAAACCACACACACACAAATGCTCAATAAATGGGTTGCCCAGTTTGGGGTTCTTTACCTCTGAGTCCAGAGGGTCTTGTAAGATGGCTGCCTCTAACAGTAGTACAGAGCTGTTAAGATCCCCGTCCTTGCACTTCTGCAGCCCCTGTTCAAAAGCATTGGTGTAGTCTTTGTAAGGGTTATTGGTATGGAAGCATTGACCCTGTAAACAACAGAACCAAAGAACAAGCTTAAAGAAAACAAGCAAAACCACGATGAAATATCATGATGTTTTTAATAGAATACTTGAGCGCAGGACTCAAGCGTAATCCTTTCATAAATCTGGAGAGGCAGACGGTGGAGTGTTGATAATTGGATCATGCTGAGGTCTTTAATATTGCAGTGAAAAGTGCAGTTGGACTAATCAGTGGCGTGGGGAGAAGAAAAGGGCACAGGAACTCACACTACGCACTAAACTAAGTGACACTACACAATAAGACTCTTTGTAAGCTTGAAAGAAAATTAAAAACGATAATTTAATTATTTTTTCACTGAGACACATACTTTTTCTTAAGATGGTTTTAAAGTAAAAACCTCAGAAGAATTTGAATTCCTGAAAAGAATTTTCTTAAAAATCATTCTTAAATCCCTAAAGGTTTTCAATGAATGGATGGTGTTGTTTTGAATATTAACAATGACAGAAGGAGCGTAAATGATTGCAACAGGTTAGGGTTAGACAGGTTCTTTAAAAAAAAAAAAAAAAAAACTCTTTAAAATATTAAACGTTGCATTAAAATATGTGATGAAAACAGTATGCACACTTAAAATGATTATTTCAGTATTCTACAGGCAGTGCAAAAAGAGCTTTTGAGGTGTTTTTCATTCAGTGCATCTGAATAGATAGGCGCTACATTTGAATTTGAAAATACTTCACGAAAGTTAACTTAAAAAGTATGTTCTATATCATGAATATGGGTAGTTTTAATAAATTCCGGACGTACAACATTCGCCATGTTGTTTCTGTCACATAACCTACCGCATCAGTTGTGTCACTTCACTGCCATTCATAAATCCTCTCCCATGGCCTCATGGGATAGTAAAGTGTCCATTAAATGCACACTTCAGAATTTCGCTCAAACTAGTAGGTCATCCAGCTACTTTTTGCCTATTGTTTTTCAAATACTATGTATGAGGACATATAACTCTGTTGGAAACCTATCAACTACATAGAAATGCCCTAGCATCTAGACACTATATTAATCAAAATCTGTTTCTCTAAAAAGGGATGCAGCATACTGTAGGTAGCAACTCAAAACAAATTTATTTATAAAGCACTTTCAAAACCATAAAAATCGACTGAAGTGCTGTAAATAGCATTAACACTCTCACAGTATTTATAAGCATAAAATATCAACACAAAAAACAGCCATATAATCCGTCATGCTACATATCACTTACAATGATCAGACCCAGGCAAAAGCCAAGGACAATAGAAAAGCGTCGTTTTTGGCTATATCCGAACATTCTCTGCCTTTTTGGAAGCACACAATCATAGAACATAAGAGAGAATATTAGATAAAAGAGAACATTATCTGACATCTGGAGTCTATAACCTTTGAAGTGATAATCTACCCCTGTAGTCAGTTCTGTCGAATGCAATACAGTGGGCAGTCATTTTGAAACTCATGCGGTGGTGCGGAACAGCACCTTTGATTGGTTAACAATCAACAAAATGGCTTCTGCCGGTTAATGTTATGTACATGTAATGTTAACTACATCCACTCACTGACACTGTGTCCAAACCAAGTGCGATGCCATAAAAGCTCCTCTTTCCATGCTCCAGTTTTTGTCCCAATCAGTGTTAAATCAAATCTCTTTGGGCCAAAATACTACACCACATAAATATCTATTTAAGTCAAGAAACTCTAGCTATCACATCATTTCATCATCTATATGACACAAGCTGACTGGCCTCATTTGAGTGAACATTTAAATGCACTGGTTCAGTATTTGCTGTATAGAAACCCTCCACTTCCCCAGCTCCACTGCAATGGGCTTTATGTATGTCTGATCATGCAGCAGCAGATCTTACATGCTCATAGCTAGGGTTGGGTTCCGATATGGAACCGGTACCCAAGTAACCGGTAACCAGACTGAATCAAAACGCAGATTTCGGTGCCTCATTTCGGTGTCACTTAAATGCCTCAGCTGTGGGTTGAAATATTCACACTCTGGTTCTCCGAAACGGACGCAAGCATCATCCCCACATGTGATCGCTCATTAACCCTTTGATGCGTACGATTGTTCACACTAATTCAGATCGCGTTATCATCAACTTCTAAATTCAAACCTGTGTTCCCACGTTGTCTTATATAGACATAGCCCTGTTATATAGCCTATCACAACTATTCTGGGTTTTCAACCACATAAGTTTTATTTTAGGTTTAGACATTCAAATACACATAATTATTAGCAAAACAACATTTATAATTTGTAAAATACACACCGATGGCTATGTAAACGGCAATAACGATCCTTTCAATTATAAATTGTTGACGTGTTTAGATAAACATTGTGTAGATAACTATAAATTGACGTGTTAACAGATTCTGAATTGACGTGTTAACAGATTCTCTGAACTGCCGTGTTTAGCCTACTGACATTGTGCGCTTATTGTGCGTTATGGATCAACTAACATAAATGATCATTATAAAGGTTTCTTAAATGACAAACCACATTCACTTATGTATTTAAGAAAAAAAATATCAGTCAAAGACTGACTATAGACAAAAAATATATAGGAAAAGAGAAACAGCTTTATTTTACATTCGGCTATATTATATTATAATATATTAAATACAGTATGTGAGCTGAGCATTAGTTTATAGAGAAAACACATTAGGCAAGCGGAATGCAAGTACGATGTGATGACGTCACAAATATACGAATTAACGTATGACGTATCTAGCGACATTTAAACACATTTAACCAATATTTATATATATAAAACAGTTGGGTCTGGTCGAACAATGTATCAATTACATTCAGATTGAATTATATTGGTAATAGAAATTTACTTAACACTAAAAGAAGTTGTGTGACCTCTAACAAGTGCTTTTAATCTGAATAGTGTGTGGAAACCACTTGAGTTTTTCCACAAACTTGTCCCAGCATCAAGAACGCAACTAAATGCTTTTCAAGCGCCTCCATACTTCAAAAAAAAAAAAAACCCCGAAAACTAGTTTTAAACAGGAAATGATGGAATATTTATGTACATATTTACAGAGAGTCTATTTGCATGGGATTAATATTACCTGAGGTAATTTTTCCAAACCTTTTTACAGAAGGTAAAAGTCACCGTAAACATTACTGACATTATCCGTAATGATTACTGAGAAGTCATATTCGAACAGGACTAAAATCGATGAGAAGCTCTGATAATTATTAGTTTGCCCCACTTCTCCATAGCCCTATTTGCATGGGATAAGTATTACCTGGTGACCTCTAGTCATTTGTAAAAATTGCGGAGGTTGTCTGTGATCTTAATCACGTGCGAATCGGCCATATCTGTAATTTGGCGGGGTCGTTCATGATTTTTTCAAGGTTTTTGTTTCCTGTGTGCTTTTTTTTATCCATCTTTCGTGAAGAATGGAGTCTTTTGATAGTATTTTGGGTGCTGGGTCATATTGCTGTACACCATACAACTATACAATTTGCTGAAAGAGAAAGCTGAAAACCATCAGAAGAGAAAAACAAAAAGAATGATTAGATGGAGATGAATGACATGTATAGCAGCATGTTGTAAAGAACATTTTTCTGTTTATGATATATTATATATTATACAGCTAGACCTATTATAATGACAAGACATTTACAAGCAATAGCCTATTGACATCATATCCAGGGGATAAGTCAGTAAATTTGAGTAAAATCACTGGCCTCCCATGCGAATGCTCCACACGAAATTCAGATCATGTGGGTGGGCAATTTCAAATTCACACGAGGTCCCCATTTAATACTAATCCCGTGCGAATTGGGCTCATGTTAAAGTAATCCCGTCTGAATAGGGCTTTAGTCAACAGAATGTTCTGGGGACCATCAAAATAAAGTGTTCCCTAGCAGTCTTGTTGAGAAATGTAATAATGTTGCACTACATTACTCTTTACTGTACATCTAAATATACAAAACTGTGAGCGTGAGAGAGGCCAAGTGTGCGAGAGAGTGGGTGAATCAATGGTTTTAGTTTCAAATTATAGGCTTTGGCTCTAGAAAGCAAACTATTCTGGTAGAAAACAGGTATAAACGTTCTGATTGACTAAGAATACCTTTTCAGTGGATGAAAAGTTGGGTGGAATCGGACCTTCACTGTCAGCGTCCTCCAACCAGTTCCTCCGTGCCAGCTCCTCCCACTCGGCCTGCATTTTATCCCAGAACTCAGTGTCTGACTGTGGGAGACAGTTACACAGCCCTTTATGACACAGCCATACTGGAATATCATACAAAACAAGACACTGTACAGCATTACAGAGAGATGTTGTTTGGCATCCATAAAATGCTTTTTAACAGAAGTTTTTTTTTTTTAGCCCCAGCAGGGAATATAAAGGATAGACTTCATAGCATTTGAATCGCTCAGTGTTTTTAATTGGTCCACATAGGATTAGCCAGACACAATCGTGCTCCAGTGTTATGAGGACATATTGTTTTTGGTCACAAAAACACTGTATTTTTAAGCAGCAAGGCCAAACGGTCAACATGCTAGATTCATCTTTATGGATTTGCCATTGGATTACCAGAAGACCTCTCAGTTTGCATAAAGTATCTAATTCTTATCAATCGAGGTCAGCAGAAGTGGTAAACAATGTATAGATATGTGTATATTTATACACTGAGTTTTATGTGTCAGATCAGGTATGATCAGTTACAGTCCATTATTGATTGCAGAGTAAAGTATTATCATAAATGACTCTCTTAGACTGTGTGTGGGTATATATACTGTATATGAAGAGTTCAGATGCAAAAGCCTCTAAGTGCCATTTGAAATTTTCTTCTAAAATGATCATTTTTATCAAGCTTGTATATTTAAGTTCAGTGATTTCACTTAAATGACAATGAAGATTACCTATTAATTGTCATTTAATTGAAATTACTGAACTTAAATATACAAGCTTGATAAAAATGGTCATTTTAGAAGAAAATTTCAAATGGCATTTAGAGGCTTTTGCATCTGAACTCTTCATATATATATATATATATATATATATATATATATATATATGCAGGTAGGCAAGCAAGGAAGAAAATATGAAGATCTACATTTAGTTTTCTTAGAACAATTAACTAGAACAGGAACACATCAGGAGAAGGATAAACATAATAGCTTTAATTACAACGCAGACCTATAGACTAAACACGTAATACGCATGTGCCGTCAGCTTTTTCACAGATTCGCTTTTTTGAAGTTTGCGCAAAGATAACCTTTTTTTAAAAAAGATTTCAAGGCTTGCACCCTGGAACCTGTTTCAAGATTTGATTTCTCGCGGCACTCATGGCTCATCTGTTGTTGTGCAGATGAGCGGGCCGGATCGCATTAAGGATCTTCTTTCAGAGCGGTGTCGTGTTAGCGGCTCCAAAGTTGATATCTAATGATCTTTGCAATGGAAGTAAATCAATAAAAACTAACTTTCGCTGGACAATAACTTTATTCTAGACCTTCTGTAAAGCCAAAACAATCTGTTACTTTAATTTCCTATTATCACTGTAAAGCTACTGTAAATTAATAAATGTAAATGTAAAATGTAAGCTGCATTGAAACAATCTATATTGTTAAAAGCGCTATATGAATGAAGGTGACTTGACTTGACTTGACAAAAGACAATACCAAAGGACTGATCGAAATGAGGGCTTATAAATACACAGGTAAAACTAAACAAGACCCAAATGAAAACGATTAGTAAGCATAGCAACTAACTTGAAACGAGAAAAAGGAAAACAGGAACATACAAACTAAAAGTCCAAGGAACAGAAACAAATGACATTGAAATGCTACAATTTAAAATGACAGTTTTAGAACAGGAACACATCAGGAGACAGGAATAAATTACTTAATTAGTGATGGCAAAACTAAATTTTCGCAGCCATTACTCCAGTCTTACTCCAGTTCTATGGATGAAAACAAGAGCCCCCTTAGTTGAAACTGTAAAAATATAATATTGGCAAAACAGATTTTTGCAAATGCTCCAGTTTGTGTTCTGGAGAATGTCAAACTTTCTATTTATGACGTGTTTTTGCCGCGTTGAGTTATTGCAGCAAATCACATACATGTCTGTTGATCACTTGAATGCAATGGCCAACCAGAGGTGTTTAAGTTCGTCAGAACATAGATATTACGTATAAGAGATTCAATGAGCATTGTAGACAGCATTTTTGATCAATTTAATGTATTCTTGCTGACCCTAAATTCTCTCTCTCTCTCTCTCTCTCTCTCTCTCTCTCTCTCTCTCTCTCTCTCTCTCTCTCTCTCTCTCTCTCTGTTGTGTGATGTTCTTATCATTTTGAGACACCACACCTTTTTTTTTGACATAATTTTGCACATAATTTTGCAAAAAGTGGGTTATATCCACAGCTACTGTAATATCATACGTGATCAGCATATTCCGAATAAACAAACCACATCATTGGTTTCCTTATTCTCTACTGGAAGCCTTTCCTCTATTGCTTCCTGTAAGAATTACTTTTGTTTAAACTTGCACAGATACAGTACGAAATATTCAATTACATGCATGATTCAGAATAAGGTGTTTACGTGACACAGAATTCTGGCATATTCCACCTGTTCTGAATAATATTGGAATATTCTTGTGCATCAAAAGACAGTCAGTGGTAAAATCAGCATCACCTATTTACAGCCATGACACTGAGCTAAAAAACGTGTATATCTCTCTGTGCATTTGTGCATTGTTTGCTTGTCTGTTTTTCGTCTAGCATTCTTTGTTTTGCTTACTTTGGCTCCCTTAACAGTACAGCTTGAATAACCCAGTTCTTAGCACAACTAACCGAGTGTATTGTTTTTTTTTTATGTTTCTTGGCAGCTCAAATGAATCTTGCAACACACAAACAATTGCTTAGGCTTCAACTGTCGTCCTAGAGTTGATTCACTGAGTGTTTGCATTAAGGGGAAATGAGGGGAGAGTGTTGCATCTGCGATGAAGGCACGCGCTGGACAGGACCATTAATCACAGAAAATCCTGCAAGCCGCACACAATCACGTTCAACAGACAGTCACGTACGCATTCATTTTTTTTTTTCATTTGCATGATTGATACACTGGGATAAATCATATAAATAAGTGGCCCAACAGAATATGGATGATCAATCTTTTCCTAGATTGCCTGCGTTTTCTTTTTCAGCTCTGTCGTCGTGATGAAGAGGCCATGCAGATGCAACACCGCAGGGGATCTCTAGAGTCATTCATCTGTACTCAAATAATCACCCACTGGCACAGACAACCTGTGCTTTAGCTTTTACAATTAAAAGGGTTTCATCTCTGCTTCAGTTTAAAAATATGAACCAGCTTTTGAAGCAATTAATTAAGAGCTATGGGTCCTTGATAAAGGATACGGATAAAAATATCATTTCAAATATGCAAGTTCTTAGAAATCTTATTTGTGTTGGTTCGATGTTTGATTTAAAAACAAATTGAACAATTTTTAAGAAAAGTTTAAAGGGATAGTTCACTTTGAAATTAATTTTTGATATGTTTTAGCTTACCTCAAGGGCATCCAAGATGTAGGTGTCTTTGTTTCCACAGCATTTTCAATTTTGACATTTTTTGGTCAAACCGTTGTTGTCTGTCAGTCATATAATGCAGGTCTATGGAGCCCATCTCAAAGAGCATGCACAGAGAACTCCAAATTAAACATGATTAAATGACTTGTAAATGTAAGTACACATTGATGGCCTAAGACTAAACATATTTAGATATACGGGAAATCGCAATGGAAGACGATTTCGATATATTTAAATATGTTTAGTGAAAGGTAAAACTTCCGAAATCTCAGTGTAAACAATGCGTGACGTAAATACGCACACAATCACTTCCGGCGTCACGTTGGAGACGGGTCAGTTCGGTTCAGTTGGACATCTGATTCAGATCAGTTCGACATGGCTGTTAACAAGAGGTAAAAACTATATAAATACTTCGTTCGTTTTCTCACACAAACCGCTCGTTTCGTGTCTTAGGCCATCAATGTGTACTTACATTTACAAGTCATTAAATCATGTTTAATTTTGACTTCTCTGTGCATGATCTTTGAGGTGGGCTCCATAGATCTGCATTATATGACTGACAGACAACAACGGTTTGACCAAAAAATGTCAAAATTGAAAATGCTGTGGAAACAAAGACACCTACATCTTGGATGCCCTTGAGGTAAGCTAAAACATATCAAAAATTAATTTCAAAGTGAACTATCCCTTTAAATATGGAGACTCATGCATTGTGAAACGAAGGGAAAAAAAATCATATTTGTCGTTTTCCTTACAAATTCTTGTGAGCGTAGGTAAACATCTTAATTATTATTTAAAAAAAATCTTTATTTGATATCATTTCCCATTTTATGTTTTTGCATGTTTCTACATGTTGGTTACCAAACAACATGCAAAACGTGACTTTTGCCATGTGGGAGCATAAAAAATATAACTGAAAGGTTTTTTTTGTTTTTGTTTTATTAATACGTATTGTTTATTACTTTTGTAAAGAACAGAGGAACAACATACACATTAAAAAAACACAAAGTTAACATACATTACATAATCCTTCAGTCAGTTTACCAGTACATTACATCATTATACACTCAAATAGGAAATAATTAGAAATAATAATAAATGATTATACTAAACTACTTAAGATTGTTCCTAATAGGAAATTTAATTCTTATAATGAGGCTTTTTTTCTTCAAAAAATTTTAATATTGAAAAAGGCACTTCAACTGTAGATACAGTATAATATAACAATATAAATGGTTTGATAAAATCTGCTTCACATCAGAAATATTACTCTAATATTACCGTATTTTATAGCTGATGCATTAGAGAGTGTGCAACACAAGGTACAGTAGTTTCATGCAGGGGAAGTACAGAAAACTTCAGACAGTTTGCATCAGGATATTGACTGGATCTTAGTGTTACTGTTAAATATAGCTACTTTACTGAGTATGTCACTTTAAAATGGATGTCTTATGAATATTACTGGCCAATAAGCATCTCTGAATTGGAGACTAGAGAGGTAAGAGCTGACATAATCACAAAGCAGAGATGTCATTTGTGTTGATGCTGCACTCTTCAGCTAAAAATACACCAATTATGCAGTCTTAACTTACAGGGTGAGTCTGACCTTACAGAATGCAAGAAACTGCAATTCCCAGGTGGCCAGATATGCCGTGAATAAGCACTAAAGAAGATTACTGTGGCCACAGAGAAGACTTTTTCCAAACTTTTCGAATAAATGTTTTTCTTGTGTGACCGTGTGTGTGTCTGTGTGTGTTGTAAGGACTTGGTCTCACCTCCACAGCAGCCTTGGCTCGAACAAACTCCTCCTCTAATGAGTGTTGTCTCCCCAGTAAAGTGCCGCCCAGCTGGGGCCTCTGCCGCTGCGTAAACAGATGGTCATACACACATATGCAGACAAGGTCAACAAGCAGTCACTGACTAACACTGTTTTGTCCTCAGATCATGCTGAATAAGCAACCTTAAAGTTATAGTCAATATCATTTTTTTTTGTATAAAGTGGCCTCAAAAAGTATTTGGACACTTAAGTCACACTAAAATATATATGGGCATCTGCAAACGAATGATGCTAGACCTTTCCTCAGAACGAATATGTCTAAAACTAACTGGCATATTGGGAATACAATATTAAAATAAAAATATATATGAGTAAAATAATAAAATGGTAATTACAAATTCCAACATTTACAACTACTGTATAATATCTACCCATACTACTATACAGTGTTGTGGAAAGATACTTTTAAAAATAATGCATTACACTTTTGTGTTACTTTTCAATTTTTATAGAAAATAATGCTTTAAGTTACTTTTGTGTTACTTTTTAACCAGGGCTAGGCTTGCTACTGTGGTGTGATTAGTATGTGTTTGAGATTCTTTAGGAGACGGAGGCTGGGAGGGGCTGGGTGAACCAGGAAGTTAGAGGAGTGAGATATAAGCAATAAAAGAATGGCAAGTGAGTTAACACGTTCAATCGGCCTGATGATCTCTTTTGTTTAATAACTCAACATGGTAAGAAGTAAAGCCAGTTTTTAATATCTAACCTCAAGAGTGGGAGCAATGCGAGACGAAGCAGACGATGTTTAGAGGACAGCCTTTATCTGAGGCACGACGCACAACTACCAAAAAAGAAGGTAATCTATGAACGAGCAAGATTCAGTCAAAGAGTGCAGCAGCCATGTGAACCAGTTGATAATTTCATAACAGCCCTGTATGCTCTTGCAGAAAACTGTAACTATGGTGCCCTTCATGATGAATTGCTTAGAGATAGACTTGGAGTTGATCTAAGAGACAGTACACTATCTGAGCGGATGCAGCTGGACAGAGATCTCACTCTTGAGAAAGCTATTAATATGGCACGACAGTCACAAGTCATTAAAAAACAGCAGACTGACTTAAGTCATGAGACAAGAAGTGTAGCTAAAATTGATGCGGTGGCAGCAAAAAGCAAACAAAAAGACAGCAAAACAGCCCATTAAAATTCAAAAACAGCGGCTTTTCCATAAAGTAAAATTTTAAATCGACACAGGTGACGTTACGGCCATTCCAGAGTCTACATTCAGAGAGATAACAAAATTTACACTGGAAAATTCAGACAAGCCTCTACTTAGGCCAGGTGGGACTCCACTTTCTGTAATTGGAACGTACCATGAGTCACTTGGAAAAGGTGAGCTCACTGTGCAAGGGAAAATTTGTGTGGTTAAAAATCTTTACACAGCACTTTTAGGTCGGCCAGCAATTTTAAATCTCAATTTGGTAGCTCAGCTTGACAGTGTAAATGCAAACATGCTCAAAAAAACATGCTCTACCCAGAGCTGTGTCAAGGCCTAGGTATGGTACACCAGCCCTACTCCATCAAGCTCAAACCAAACGTGATTCCATTCTCAATGGCAGAGTTCCCCTTAGTTTGCTGGGGAAAGTTAAGAAATTAGAGCACATGGAATCACTGGGGGTCATTACAAAGGTTGAGGAGCCAACCGACTGGTGTTCATCATGCATGGTAAATGTTCCCAAGAAGAACGGGACAATCCGTATCTGCGTTGACCTCACCAAATTACATGAGGCTATACGTACTGTAGGGATAAGTACATTTTACCTTCTGTAGAGCAGACTCACGGACAACTGGGCGAGGCCAAATTTTTTAGCAAATTGGAAGCAGACCAATCAGCTAAATACACAATATTTATAACCCCACTTGGAAGATTTTTTTCTTCAATAGGCTGGCGTTTGGTATTGCTTCAGTACCGAATCATTTTCAAAGACACATGACCATGGTCATAAAAGGACTATCTGGTGTTGTGTGCCATTTGGACAATGTGCTCATCTGGGGTGAGTGACTCAGCATGATGAGAGACTACACACAGTCTTAGCTAGGATTGAAAAGGTGGCATCACACTGAACTTGGAAAATGTGAGTTGGATAGACAGAAGGTCCAAATTCTCAAAGTGGGGTGAGACCTGATCCAGACAAGACTAGAGATAAAAGACCCATACAACATCAGTGAAGTCCGCAGCTTCCTCGGAATGTTAAACCAATTAGGTAAATTCATACCATGCCTTGAAGAGAAGGACAGGCCATTGAGGGACCTTCTATCAAAAAGAAACCACTGGTGTTGGGGTAGACCTGTAGATTTTTGAGACCGCACACTTTTTTATTCAGACCGCACAAACTTTTTTTTTTCAGGGGTTAAAAATCTGAGCATCAAAGGCGAGGCTAGGTAATAAACATTTAAAATCCTGACATGTGACTGACAACCAAAGCCGGATACGTTAGAATGTTTACATACGTATCCTAGGCAATGGTTGGCATGCTCCAGCAGTTATACAGTGGGCTAACATGGGAAAAAGGCAGAGCTGGTGCCCCAGAAAAAGGTCTGCCTAACGTTTAAACATGAGTGGTTAGATGAAATAGTCCAAACTGACACAAAAGATGGTCCAGGTAGGATAAAACTTTCAGATATATTTACATATGAAGAAAGGAATAGCGTGATCTGCAAATTCTGCAAAAGCGAAAGGAGAGTTCACTCGGGGGAAACATTGGTCGGAGTGGAAACTTGATTACCTAAAGCGTCATCTGAGAAGTGAGCAGTGGGCTGAGCCCTTAGTGCAACCTCGAAACTGAACCGCTAATATTCTTCCTTTAGCAATACAAACTAAAAATTTAAACAGAAATGAAATGTTTATCTGAAGTCATTTTTGATGATTAGTATGGTTGAATTGTATCATCGAAGAACAGCAGTGAACACATTGGTTAATAAAGTGAGAATAAATACATAAAGTATATTTATGTTATATAACGTAATTATTGCTGGTTTGCTTTATATTCTGAATTTGCATTTCACTGTTTTTATTCATTTTGAGGAATACTGAATCTGTTTTTGTGCAAGTGAGATGAGTAAATGCAAGCTTGCCTGTAGTCTAGAACTAAGTGATGTATAATTTATCAAGTTTGGGAGAACATGTTTAAATTGCCAAACCAATCATCAAGATACGATGCCTATAAATCTACAGCTCACCTATGTTCCTCAACAGTTTTCTGAATCCCACCACCAACACGTCTCCTCACACTCGCCTGATTACTATCCTAACCAGAGATGAGGGGGATCTTCTGGGTTTAGGACAAAATACAGAGCTCTGAGCCCTCCCCTCAGACAGACTTTTATTCTATCTTATTATTTGTAAGTGTGAAATCATGAAAATACCCATCATGTTTACACAGCACACACAACACTCTGCACTTACTGCTGATTCTCCCAACATGGGCACAGTCAATAAATGGGAAAACAAAATGACAAGTGTTACTTATGTGTTGCCACCAACAGCGCTGCAATTCTATCTACTGATTTTCAAAAATCAAATATATGCTGTATTACGTCATGATATATTAAGTAATCAACTGAACCCTTGACCCTTTCCAAAGTTTTTTGATGAGTTGAGATAATTCATCTTATGCTAGTAACAGAGGGGAAAAAAGATAATGGCTTGCTTTACCAACCAATCATATTGATAGAAGGTGACATGTTAGTCATGTTGATCTTATTTTGTTGTGTCTGTCTTTATCCTATAAAACCTGATGTATTCTTCTTTTTCAGTGAGATGCAGAGAAATGCTTGAGTACCCTCCTGGCCGTGATTAAAGCATTTAAAGGACATTTGCTGAAGTCGGTCTATTTATTATTGAATGCGCAGCAGGTTAGTTAGAAGTACACCTTAGGGATTGAGATCTCGAAGCCAGTTGTCGACTGTAGACACAGAGCTAGAGTAACTCGAGGCCAGTTGTCGACTGTAGCCGCAGAGCTCGAGTAACTCGAGGCCAGTTGTCGACTGTAGACGCAGAGCTAGTGTAAATCGAGGCCAGTTGTCGACTGTAGACGAAGAGCTAGAGTAACTCAAGGCTAGTTGTCGACTGTAGACGCAGAGCTAGAGTAACTCAAGGCTAGTTGTGGACTGTAGACACAAAGCTAGAGTAACTCAAGGCTTAGTCGTCGACTGTAGATGCAGAGCTAGAGTAACTCGAGGCTAGTTGTCGACTGTAGACGCAGAGCTACAGTAACTCGAGGCCAGTTGTCGACTGTAGACGCAGAGCTAGAGTAACTCGAGTCCAGTTGTCAACTGTAGATGCAGAGCTAGAGTAACTTGAGGCCAGTCGTCGACTGTAGACGCAGAGCTAGAGTAAATCAAGGCTTAGTCGTCGACTGTAGACGCAGAGCTAGAGTAACTCGAGGCCAGTTGTCGACTGTAGACGCAGAGCTCGAGTAACTCGAGGCCAGTTGTCGACTGTAGACGCAGAGCTAGTGTAAATCGAGGCCAGTTGTCGACTGTAGACGAAGAGCTAGAGTAACTCAAGGCTAGTTGTCGACTGTAGACGCAGAGCTAGAGTAACTCAAGGCTAGTTGTGGACTGTAGACACAAAGCTAGAGTAACTCAAGGCTTAGTCGTCGACTGTAGATGCAGAGCTAGAGTAACTCGAGGCTAGTTGTCGACTGTAGACGCAGAGCTACAGTAACTCGAGGCCAGTTGTCGACTGTAGACGCAGAGCTAGAGTAACTCGAGTCCAGTTGTCAACTGTAGATGCAGAGCTAGAGTAACTTGAGGCCAGTCGTCGACTGTAGACGCAGAGCTAGAGTAAATCAAGGCTTAGTCGTCGACTGTAGACGCAGAGCTAGAGTAACTCGAGGCCAGTTGTCGACTGTAGACGCAGAGCTCGAGTAACTCAAGGCCAGTTGTCGACTGTAGACGAAGAGCTAGAGTAACTCAAGGCCAGTTGTCGACTGTAGACGCAGAGCTTGAGTAACTCAAGGCCAGTTGTCGATTGTAGACGCAGAGCTCGAGTAACTCAAGGCCAGCTGTCGACTGTATAGACGAATAGCTAGTGTAAATCGAGGCCAGTTGTCAACTGTAGACGAAGAGCTAGAGTAACTCAAGGCTAGTTGTCGACTGTAGACGCAGAGCTAGAGTAACTTGAGGCCAGTTGTCGACTGTAGACGCAGAGCTAGAGTAACTCAAGGCTAGTTGTGGACTGTAGACACAAAGCTAGAGTAACTCAAGGCTTAGTCGTCGACTGTAGATGCAGAGCTAGAGTAACTCAAGGCTAGTTGTGGACTGTAGACACAAAGCTAGAGTAACTCAAGGCTTAGTCGTCGACTGTAGATGCAGAGCTAGAGTAACTCGAGGCCAGTTGTCGATTGTAGACGCAGAGCTCGAGTAACTCAAGGCCAGCTGTCGACTGTATAGACGAATAGCTAGTGTAAATCGAGGCCAGTTTTCAACTGTAGACGAAGAGCTAGAGTAACTCAAGGCCAGTTGTCGACTGTAGACGAAGAGCTAGAGTAACTCAAGGCCAGTTGTCGACTGTAGACGCAGAGCTTGAGTAACTCGAGGCCAGTTGTCGACTGTAGACGAAGAGCTAGAGTAACTCGAGACCAGTTGTCGACTGTAGACACAGAGCTAGAGTAACTCAAGGCTAGTTGTCGACTGTAGACGCAGAGCTAGAGTAACTCAAGGTTAGTTGTCGACTGTAGACACAGTGTTCGAGTAACTCAAGGCTAGTTGTCGACTGTAGAAGCAGAGCTAGAGTAACTCGAGACCAGTTGTCGACTGTAGACACAGAGCTAGAGTAACTCAAGGCTAGTTGTCGACTGTAGAAGCAGAGCTAGAGGAACTCGAGACCAGTTGTCGACTGTAGACACAGAGCTAGAGTAACTCAAGGTTAGTTGTCGACTGTAGACACAGAGCTAGAGTAACTCAAGGCTAGTTGTCGACTGTAGAAGCAGAGCTAGAGTAACTCAAGGTTAGTTGTCGACTGTAGACACAGAGCTAGAGTAACTCAAGGCTAGTTGTCGACTGTAGAAGCAGAGCTAGAGTAACTCGAGACCAGTTGTCGACTGTAGACACAGAGCTAGAGTAACTCAAGGCTAGTTGTCGACTGTAGAAGCAGAGCTAGAGTAACTCGAGACCAGTTGTCGACTGTAGACGCAGAGCTAGAGTAACTCAAGGTTAGTTGTCGACTGTAGACACAGTACTCGAGTAACTCAAGGCTAGTTGTCGACTGTAGAAGCAGAGCTAGAGTAACTCGAGACCAGTTGTCGACTGTAGACACAGAGCTAGAGTAACTCAAGGCTTAGTCGTCGACTGTAGATGCAGAGCTAGAGTAACTCGAGGCTAGTTGTCGACTGTAGACGCAGAGCTACAGTAACTCGAGGCCAGTTGTCGACTGTAGACGCAGAGCTAGAGTAACTCGAGTCCAGTTGTCAACTGTAGATGCAGAGCTAGAGTAACTTGAGGCCAGTCGTCGACTGTAGACGCAGAGCTAGAGTAAATCAAGGCTTAGTCGTCGACTTTAGACGCAGAGCTAGAGTAACTCGAGGCCAGTTGTCGACTGTAGACGCAGAGCTCGAGTAACTCAAGGCCAGTTGTCGACTGTAGACGAAGAGCTAGAGTAACTCAAGGCCAGTTGTCGACTGTAGACGCAGAGCTTGAGTAACTCAAGGCCAGTTGTCGATTGTAGACGCAGAGCTCGAGTAACTCAAGGCCAGCTGTCGACTGTATAGACGAATAGCTAGTGTAAATCGAGGCCAGTTGTCAACTGTAGACGAAGAGCTAGAGTAACTCAAGGCTAGTTGTCGACTGTAGACGCAGAGCTAGAGTAACTTGAGGCCAGTTGTCGACTGTAGACGCAGAGCTAGAGTAACTCAAGGCTAGTTGTGGACTGTAGACACAAAGCTAGAGTAACTCAAGGCTTAGTCGTCGACTGTAGATGCAGAGCTAGAGTAACTCAAGGCTAGTTGTGGACTGTAGACACAAAGCTAGAGTAACTCAAGGCTTAGTCGTCGACTGTAGATGCAGAGCTAGAGTAACTCGAGGCTAGTTGTCGACTGTAGACGCAGAGCTAGAGTAACTCGAGGCCAGTTGTCGATTGTAGACGCAGAGCTCGAGTAACTCAAGGCCAGCTGTCGACTGTATAGACGAATAGCTAGTGTAAATCGAGGCCAGTTGTCAACTGTAGACGAAGAGCTAGAGTAACTCAAGGCCAGTTGTCGACTGTAGACGAAGAGCTAGAGTAACTCAAGGCCAGTTGTCGACTGTAGACGCAGAGCTTGAGTAACTCGAGGCCAGTTGTCGACTGTAGACGAAGAGCTAGAGTAACTCGAGACCAGTTGTCGACTGTAGACACAGAGCTAGAGTAACTCAAGGCTAGTTGTCGACTGTAGATGCAGAGCTAGAGTAACTCAAGGTTAGTTGTCGACTGTAGACACAGTGTTCGAGTAACTCAAGGCTAGTTGTCGACTGTAGAAGCAGAGCTAGAGTAACTCGAGACCAGTTGTCGACTGTAGACACAGAGCTAGAGTAACTCAAGGCTAGTTGTCGACTGTAGAAGCAGAGCTAGAGGAACTCGAGACCAGTTGTCGACTGTAGACACAGAGCTAGAGTAACTCAAGGCTAGTTGTCGACTGTAGAAGCAGAGCTAGAGTAACTCAAGGTTAGTTGTCGACTGTAGACACAGAGCTAGAGTAACTCAAGGCTAGTTGTCGACTGTAGAAGCAGAGCTAGAGTAACTCGAGACCAGTTGTCGACTGTAGACACAGAGCTAGAGTAACTCAAGGCTAGTTGTCGACTGTAGAAGCAGAGCTAGAGTAACTCGAGACCAGTTGTCGACTGTAGACGCAGAGCTAGAGTAACTCAAGGTTAGTTGTCGACTGTAGACACAGTACTCGAGTAACTCAAGGCTAGTTGTCGACTGTAGAAGCAGAGCTAGAGTAACTCGAGACCAGTTGTCGACTGTAGACACAGAGCTAGAGTAACTCAAGGCTAGTTGTCGACTGTAGATGCAGAGCTAGAGTAACTCAAGGTTAGTTGTCGACTGTAGAAGCAGAGCTAGAGTAACTCGAGACCAGTTGTCGACTGTAGAAGCAGAGCTAGAGTAACTCAAGGCTAGTTGTCGACTGTAGAAGCAGAGCTAGAGTAACTCAAGGTTAGTTGTCGACTGTAGAAGCAGAGCTAGAGTATTCGAGACCAGTTGTCGACTGTAGACACAGAGCTAGAGTAACTCAAGGCTAGTTGTCGACTGTAGATGCAGAGCTAGAGTAACTCGTGGCCAGTTGTTGACTGTAGACGCAGAGCTAGAGTAACTCAAGGTTAGTTGTCGACTGTAGAAGCAGAGCTAAAGTATAAAGTATTAAGTGTCGACTGTAGACACTTGGGTGTTGATGGTAGATACCCCAGGTAATGGGCTTTATGCCCAGCTGCACTACTTCCTGAACTTCAGCCAGCTCCTTGTTTCCTGTCTGCCATTATTGGCCAAATTGATTAATTCAGGTGTACCTGACCTCAGTAGTCATGGCAACAATAATCAGACACACCTGAATTAATCAATTTGGCCAATAATGGCAGACAGGAAACAAGGAGCTGGCTGAAGTTCAGGAAGTAGTGCAGCTGGGCATAAAGCCAATTAGGAGCCATGTAGGGAAAAATCTACCACACACTCTTGCGGTAAATAAACACTGCATGCATCTTGCAGAAGAACATTGTAGCCGGAGCTCCTATTCTCTGTTTATGTCTATGACGAGTCACGCAGGTACTGGGCTACTCCTTAGTGATATGACCCGAACCAGTCAAAAATAGTCAGAATATAAACACTTTTTATAGATGTACTGTAGTGAATCAGGATAAGACAAAAACGCTATTTGGAAAATGTATTTATGATGTACTCGCATATTATAGAAACTTTGTACATTTTGAACACAAAAAAAGAGCTTTAAGCAGCTAAACATTTACATACAAAGACAAAACTTCCTTGTGTACAGTATGATGTGCGACGTGTTATATCTTTCAATGTCATACTTCTGATGTGAACATCATTTGTTTGTTTGTTTGTTTGTTTGTTTGTTTGAGCATTTGTTCTAGCTTTGCAACGGAAGTGAATCAATAAATCAAAACTAACTTTAGCTGGACAATAACTTTATTCTAGAGCTGCTGTAAAGCCAAAACAATCTGTTGCTGTAATTTCCTATTATCACTGTAAAGCTGCTTTAATTGCTTCTATATTGTTAAAAGCGCAATATAAATGAAGGTGACTTGACTTGACATTTGTTAACATGGGCAACGTAAAAGGATGCCCAGCTGAGGCTTGTGGTGTGAAACAGTTGTTATGTTAGACAAGCAGATAGTGTCCAAATACTGTCTTAATTTTGAACAGTATACCTATTGTTTAATCATGTAGAGCCTAACAAATATTTTTGTGAAACATTTTCCTTGAAAAGTGTGCTTTTGCTATCTAATGCACTGTCATGTAGTCATTTTAGCAATTAAATACTTTCTGGGGCCACAGTATATTATCTCTGTACTCAGTATACAGACATACTTCAATAGGCAGAATTGAAGTTGTAGGTAATATAAAGGTTTAGTATAGAGTATTGCTATTGAATCCATACTAAAATCTAAAAAAAAGAGAAATAAACAGAGCCTGTCTTACACAAAAAGGAAATCCTTGCTGGCAAATCTGACAAAAACATATTTATGACACATACAGAAAAAGGGTACATGTGGGTCCTTCTTTATAACTGCACCTTAGAAACACAGAAGGGCTTTTATTGTATCATTCTGTACCTGTCATATACAAAGATGTATGTGCCTTTCCTCAGGTGCCTCTCCTCACTATTTGCAGTTTAATACCACCAATTTTATATTTTTTTTATCTAATGGAACAATTGTGTCCCCAGAAGGCCTCAGTGAGAAGAGTTTGTACCATTTTAAAGAGCCATTTTCTGAGTGTGAGTGTGAGAGGAGACAGTGATCAATACTGAATGCTGCTGTAGTCTTTTACATGAGATCAAAGTATCATTAGTGTGTACCTGAGGGGCCGGCCCAGGGTCTGACTCGGTGCTCATGCTGAGCTCCAGGGCACTATGCCTGTTAGAGAAATCGGTTTTAAAGTCTGCAGACCTAAAAAGGACAAAATGCAGAGAATAATGTTATTATTGCTTGCATTAACAACAATATTGCACAGAGAAAACTCAATTTAAACAATCTAAATCGAATTATATACCAATGATAAATGATGATACTATTAAAAATGCATTTTATTGATTTATCTTTTATAACGAATAGATGTATTGACCCCCTAAAACTCAGGTTTCAAAAACACAAAAGGTGTCCATTTAAGGAAAAAATAATAAAATATGTCAAATTATTATTAAATATTCACATCCATTTATAATGCTGGTGTGATGTTGTCAAAAACATTTCATATACATTATAATGCAGCATTCACACAATCAGTGATACAGCTGTCCAAACTTATTTTGAGGAACTATGTTAATGATCTTTTTAAAATGGATCATTAAATCTAATTTAATATCATTCTGTTCTGTTTCCTTTAGTTTCTGTTTCCCCTCTCTGTTCAGTTTTGCGGTGCGTCTGAAATCGTGTACTGTCTGAGTAGGCACAACATTTTAATTTATTAAAGTATGAATTAAAAAAGTATCTTGCATATAGTATATGTGTAGCACGAATGAAATTCGGACTTCAGTACATTCGCCATTTTGATGACTTACTAGAGCTGGACGATATGACCTAAAATCAAAATCTCGATTAATTGAACAATTTACCTAGATTATGATTAATGAACAATTTTTTTTGCCCTCAGAGTTCACTGACAAGGTTTGTACTGTGAATATGCTCAACTAATAAATGTGGGATTTTTTTCCTAATGATAGAGTGCATTTCTTATCTTTGTGATTTTAAAATAATTGAAGGAAACGAGTTTTGATGTTGGCTTGAAAAAGCCTGAACTTTGAACTGGGAATCGAACTCGGATTGCATTGTGCAGTACTATGACAAACGTCATGGTTGCCCACACAGTGCTATTGCTCTGACAAAACAGCTCACTTTCAGCAGTTCATTTGTTTATGGCTCATAACATTTCTTCCTTGCATAATAACAGTAGTCAAATTACCTGTACAATAAACTGTGTAAAACATGCAATTACCCAATAGCAATACTGACTATCCAGATTATTATATAAACAAAGATAACAGCTCCTGAATATTTTATTTTGCTTGCAAACTGCACTTGATGTGCGAGCTACTGTCTGTGCGTGTGTTACAATCAACGCATTGGTTTAAAACCGCGTCAAATTAACGTTAAAAAACGGGAAAATCACGTCGGTTAGAGGATCTAAATTTCGGTTTCGATTACTTTCGATTAATCGTCCAGCCCTTTGTCCTACACACTTCACTGCCAAGCATAAATCCTCTCCCGTGGTCTCATGGGATAGTTAAGTGTCCATTGAATGTGTCCATTGTCCATTGACATACTACTCTATGGCTGTACTGTTTTACGCATACTATATAGTAGGGAAGTACTCAATTTCGGACGCAGCGTTGGTTTCCCTGGTTACTGATTGTGTACTCGTTGGTTTCTAAAGTTACATATTGCAGTCACCTGTGTCTAGTTTAGTTCCCTGTGTATTTATACCCCCAGTGTAGTTCAGTTCTTTGTTGGTTATTAACAGTACAGTATTCCTCCTATGATCTCCTACATGTTCTTGGTTGGACTATTAATGAACACTGTTTGATTTAGTTGACCAGTTCGTGCATGATGACCACACACTTACATTCAAAGGCAATTTGGCCAATAAAATGTAAAATGCGCTTCCTATTTGTTTTATACTATTAAAGGAGAACTCCGGCGCAAAATGAACCTTTGGTCTACAAAAACATCGGTACCTAGTCAATCGTTCTCTGAGATTTGTTTTCATGATAATCAAATGTAAAGAGTTTTATCTCTAAAAACTGTTTAGCATATAACGCTAGCCTAGTATATGGGGCATGGAATAAGTAAAAAGAAATCGCTAGTTTACACCACTAACAAGGCTCAAAATAGCCTAAATAATGAGGGTCCCTACATGCAAAACGAAGCATTGAGAACTTTGTAAGTGTACAAACCGTTTAATAAGAAGATATTTTATAAAGACAGTCCACTTCGTGTATACAGACAGGAGCCATCTTAGAAAATAGTCTTGATAAGTCGATCCCAGAACGCCGTTCATACAGTTCAGAAGTTCGCTGAACTTCATACAGTTCAGATCACTCAGCACGACATTCGTGGTTTGACTTGTCATGACTGTTTTCCAAGATGGCTCCTGTCTGTATACACAAAGTGAACTGTCTTTATAAAGTATCTTCTTATTAAACGGTCTGTACACTTATAAAGTTCTCAATGCTTCGTTTTGCATGTATGGACCCTCATTATGTTACTGTGTTAGTGTGGGGCTATTTTGAGCCTTGTTAGTGGTATAAACTAACGATTTCTCTTTACTTATATGCCCCCGCCGTTATACACTAAACAGTTTTTAGAGATAAAACACTTTACATTTGATTATCATGAAAACAAACCTCAGAGAACGATTGACTAGGTACCGATGTTTTATTAGACCAAAGGTTCATTTTGCGCCGGAGTTCTCCTTTAAAGGGATAGTTCACTTTGAAATTAATTTTTGACATGTTTTAGCTTACCTCAAGGGGATCCAAGATGTAGGTGTCTTTGTTTCCACAGCATTTTCAATTTTGACATTTTTTGGTCAAACCGTTGTTGTCTGTCAGTCATACACTGGAGGTGAAGGGGGTCCTCAATCGTTCACCTCAAAGAGCATGCACAGAGAAGTCAAAATTAAACATGATTTAATGACTCGTACATGTAAGTACACATTGATGGCCTAAGACACGAAATGAGCGGTTTGTGTGAGAAAACGAACAGTATTTATATCGTTTTACCTCTTGTAATCATAGCCATGACAAAATGATCTGACGGCACGGGCGCTTCGGTCTGCGCATGCGCTGGAAATGATCGCTTGCGTGCCTACGTCACTCTTTGTTTATACAGAGATTTCGGAGGTTTTACCTTTCACTAAACATATTTAGATATACGGGAAACCACAATGGAAGACGATTTCGGTATATCTAAATATGTTTAGTAAAAGGTAAAACTTCCGAAATCTCCGTGTAAATATTGAGTGACGTCACACGCAAGCGATCACTTCCGGCGTAACATTGAACTGATTCAGTTCGGTTCAGTTGGACATTGAACAACTGATTCAGATCACTTGGATTACACAAGGTAAAAACGATATAAATACTGTTCGTTTTCTCACAAAAACTGCTCGTTTCATGTCTTAGGCCATCAATGTGTACTTACATTTATGAGTCATTAAATCATGTTTAATTTTGACTTCTCTGTGCATGCTTTTTGGTGGACCCCCTTAGCCTCCAGTGTATGACTGATAGACAACAACGGTTTGACTGAAAAATGTCAAAATTGAAAATACTGTAGAAACAAAGACACCTACATCTTGGATGCCCTTGAGGTAAGCTAAAACATATCAAAAATTAATTTCAAAGTGAACTATCCCTTTAAGCAGCATAAAGTTGATCTTTACTGGCTCCAGAAGAACATTTGTTTTGACTCTACATTAATCATGAAATATGCAAACCGATCTCATGACACCTGGTTAGGACACCATGATAACACATATTAACGATGAGATGAAACCTGAGCGTACCACAAAAGCTCAGTGGATGAATGGTTGGATGTGCACCTCTTCCTCTCATATCTCCACTTCCGCATTCCATTCAAGGCACTGTCTGGGTGAAGGCTCACCTCCTCCCATTTCTCCAAGGGTGAGCTGCTCACTGGAGACAGGACGGTTAGAATGCAGTGAGATGGGAAATAATAATGACAGGCAGTCATAAACACTATGGGCCCTTTTTTAACGATCTGAAACGCAAGTGTCAAAGCGCAAAGCGCAAGTAACTTTGTGGGCGGGTCCCGGCGCTGTTCCTAAAAGGGGTTGGTCTGAAGTAGCTTCATTATTCATAGGTGTGGTTTGGGTGTAACGTGAAATAAACCAATCAGAGCGCCATCCAACATACCCTTTAAGAGCAGGTGCGCATGTTGCATGACGGATTGTTATTATAACGGCGGGTTTACCAGGCGCGGTGCACATCCGATGAGACCGACGTTCTTGTCAGGGCAGTGAAAGACAGAGAAGTGACGTTGTATGGGGATGGGAGAAACCCTCGCACATCAGCGTCGGTTAAACATTATATACGTATGTTTCTTGCCACTATTGGGCAAACAGGTCTGATCCTTCAGTACAATTAGCCTTAAAAAATGGGTAATAAGGTTTTTTTATCTTCATTTAAACCACAATGATTTTCCTCATGTGTTAATATTTTTCCTCATTATAATGTATGATTTGCAAAAATAGCATTATGAACAACGCGCAACGCGCCACTGACTTTAGACCAGGTTTTTTCTGATCAGTGGCGCAATTGTTTTCTGGAAGTGTAAAATAGCACCGGGGAATGTTTGCACCGAAACACGCCTCCTTTTTGCGCCGATCCGCCCAGGGAGTGCAAGTTCATTTCCTAGTTTACTGGCGTGTGTCTTTTGAGGGGAAAATCCCACTTTGCGCACATGCAAAATAGGAGTGACACATGCGTTTGTGTATAAAGTCATTTGCGCCGGGTGAAAGATAGAGCCCTATGTTTTTAACATTTCGGTGCAAAAAGGTAGATTGAGGCTAACCAGCAGCAGATAAGGATGCATCTTATAGCTCAAAGCTTGCTTATCTCAACCAGGCTACAGTCTGCAGCTGGGAATTGATTAAAGCAGTCGGACTGTGGAGTGATAAATTTACCACCACCGGAAAAACATGGCAATGGTTTAGCTACTTACAGTAGCTTACGGCGTACATCTACATGAACTTTACAGTGCAAGTTGTTTAATGCTTTCCAGAGGATTAAGATAAGCCGTTGTAGTGTTTCGTATTAAACCATTTCTAGCATGAACTTGAGACAAATAAAAATGAATACATTTCTACTTGGGGCAGCAATGCCGTGAAATCCACAGTTTTGGTGTGTTTAAACCATTTCCACAATTTCCCACCAATTCAGCTCCACCACATTAAATCTAATGATATGCTAATGCAGATGCTAAAGAGCAGAGTAACTGCTTCCTGATGGAGTGGCAGAGGGCATTAAAAAACACACAACAAAAGGCAAAAATCTAATTACACTGAGAGCCGGGATTAAATCAACTGTAAGTTTAATCATAAGCACCTCTTGAACTGATTAAAATAACTCTACACTTAAACAAATTTCACAAATCCAGGCCTTTTTTTTAATAGATTATAATGGACAACTTTCATAATAGGTTATACAGTTTCACGAATTTAACGTTTTATTCATGGTAGGGACATACAGCTACAATTTCAAGGGCATCTGGGTAACCCAGGTAGATCATAATCATAATAATATGATATTACCCAACCTTTCAGAAATTTGCATCACACCAGATTGCGCATTCAACACTAAGGGCCCTATTTTAACGATCTGAAACACAAGTAGCAAGCGCAAAGCGCAAGTAACTTTGTGGGCGGGTCTTGGGCGCTGTTGCTATTTTGAGATGGTTCTCACTGCGGAACATGAAACTCACGGGGAGGAGTCGGATCCAGATCCAACTCCTCCCACCTTACATACACCTAAACCTACCCTGATCCCTAAACCCAACCCTAATCCTATCCATCTCCTCCCCGTGGATCTCATGTACTGCATTGAGGTGCTACTGGCTATTTTACCGGCGGGATAAATGACTCTTGCGAGTTTAAAAGGGGTTGGTCTGAAGTAGCTTCATTATTCATAGGTGTGGTTTGGGCGTAACAGAAACAAACCAATAAGAGCGTCATATCACATTCCCTTTAAGAGCATGATGAACGATTCGGTGAACGGGGCGCAATTCTATTATAACGGCGCATTTACCAGGCGCGCTTCACAATCAGTTCACAGCCGAGGAGATCGATGTTCTCATCAGGGCCGTGAAAGAAAGAGAAGAGACAGTGGGGATGGGACAAACACACCCAAATTAGCTTCGGTTAAACATGCATATAATAATTTGGGTAAATGTGTAAGCTTTTTCCCAACGTCATGGACACAACAATGATTTTTCTCGTTTTTTATATATTTTTCCTTATAATAATGTATCACTTGCAAAAAGTAAAATGCATCTGTGTAGATGAGAGAATCATCTACGGTGTATGCATGTTGTTCACACTCTGTATTATGGCCAAGCATGCACGCTTAAAATAGCATCTGAATGTACGTGCAACGCGCCACTGACTTTAGACCAGTTTTTTTCTGGTCAGTGGCGGAATTGTTTTCTGGTATTGCAAAATAGCACCAGGGGTTGTTTGCGCCGAAACATGCCTCCTTTTTGCGCCGACCTGCCCAGGGAGCGCAAGTTCATTTCCTAGTTTACCGACGTGTGTCTGTGGAGGGAAAAAGCCCGCTTTGCGCGGGTGCAAAATAGGAATGATACATGCGTCAATGTATAAAGTAATTTGCGCCAGGTGCAAGATAGTGCCCTATGTCTCAGTACCTTCTGATTGTAGACTGGGGAACCTATAATCCTTTAGCACACATTAAGATTAATTACAACAAGATATGATCATAACTTTTTCATGTTATTTGTTATGCTGTGTAAACACTTTGTAAACACAAATCCAAAGACGAATATTAATTATATTTGTTAACTAGATGTGTTCACTACCTATTAATGTGTTTATACTGAAACATAATAAAAAAGTTTTATGTCTTTAAAAGACAATTTGTCTTATAAAAAGCTATAGACCATTTTGCTAGATGTAAACAACACTGGTCGAGAAACACTTCCTGTTTCAGTTTGTAACTGTTTTCTTTATTTCACATGTAAAGAAAACATCGATGTTGTTTAACTTTTTGATTCAGTTTTACATGTTCTGTTGGTTATATTTTATCCCAGCTTTTGTGTAGTGCTAAAAAACTGAAACAGGAAGTGCTTCTGGACCAGTGTTGTTTACATCTTGCAAAATGGTCTACATGCCTTGAAAACACAGTTTGTTTTATAAAACGGTATTTGTTATATGTCTTGAAATGACAGTTTGTCTTATAAAAAGTTATAATTTATGTCTCGAAAAGGAAGTTTGTTTTATAAAAAGTTATATTATGTCTTGAAAAGACTGTTTACTTTATAAAAAGTTATACTATATGTCTTAAAAAGACAATTTGTCTTATAAAAAAGTCATATATTATATGTCTTGAAAAGGCAGTTTGTCTTATAAAAAGTTATATGTTATAACCTGATCAAAAGTTATAACTTCCTGATCAGGGCTCTGACTTCTGAACTAGGGAGCTGATTGAGATGCACCGACTGAGAAAAGATAGCAAATATAAATACCTTTTAAAATGGCACAATACTGCCAACTTCGACTGTTAGTATTAAGAGAGTGAGGTCAACTAACACAGTCTCATCCCAAGACGTCATATAACTGACGTCTTGGTACGTCTTTTGTTTTGACCATACGTCAACATCCGCCTTTTTAGGGTACCCTTTAACGTCGGTTACATGACGATCCTGGGACGTCATATAACTGACGCTTTACCTTTAACGTCAGTTAGGTGACGGGGTAGGTTTAGCATCCGATAACGTCATCTAATCGACGTTAAAGGGTACCCTAAAACGGCGGATGTTGACGTATGGTCAAAAGACGTACCAAGACGTCAGTTATATGACGTCTTGGGATGAGACTGCGCTGCGTCAACACAATAGGAAAATTCTTCTGTAATTGCACCTGAAAGGGATAGTTCATCGAAAAACAATATTGTTCATCTCTGAAACACAAATGTGTTTAAATGAAACCTGAGAGATTTCTGTCCTTCTATTGAAAGTCCTTTCCATCTAAAATTTGATGCTTCAAAAAGTACATAAAACATCATCCAATTGTAATATAACACCATATTTATGAATAAAAGCCTAAATTATCCAATCATAAATAAAGCGATCTTGTCTCTTTAGAAGATTTAGTGGAATGGACTTTCAGCGGAGGGACAGATATCTCTTGGGTTTCGTTAAAAAATATCTTCATTTGTTTTTTGAATATCAACGAAAGTTGTATGGATTTGGAATGACAGGGTGAGTAAATGATGACAGAATTTTCCTTTTTGGGTGAACTATCCCATTAAAATTAAAGTGTGTAATTTCTGCATTTCAGTGAGACCATTTTTTTTCCTGTCATAATATGTAAAAGAAGTCATGGGAACCTTTTAAAACATGCCATAATTGATTATCTAAATTGACTATAAATGTCTCTTTATATACCTGAATCTAATGAGACTCTTTCGGGGTTCGAACGGCTGGGGGATGATGTCTCTGTCTCCACCTGGATCAGCTCCGTCTCTTCCGTCTTCTTCTTGCGAAGGCTACTCTTAGAGAAACCGTTCTTACGAGACCCGCGGGGACTCCGCCTGTCCCAGCTCCACCTTCTCTCGCACGGCTCACTCAAGTCCACCAGGTCTAGCGCAGTGGACAAGACTAGAGCACGTGGAGGAACAAAACATTACCAACAAAAGTCACTCAAAATGAAAACCTGTATTAGCCAGGAACACATTTATAGATAAAATATTCATTTAAAACTTCTATTCTTAGGTAATATTCAATTATCAAACATAAAATGTGATAAACTGATACCTAAAACATTTTTTTGACACAGTAAATGCCAAGGAACACTAACTGTAAAACTGCATTATATAAACAAGGACTGAAATCTGGGGCAGAAAACTTGCTGCCTAACGGCTATGGGATAGAGGTGGAGGAAAAGAAGAACAGATGAGAGAGGAGGAGCAGATGAGAGAGCAGTAATTATGAGGGAACCTGCTGTGTTGGAGGTGACTGGTCGTGAGGCTCCATCACTCTTGCTCTCACTCTGGAAGTCATCGATGGAAGGGCTCAGTAGCGGACGGCTTTCTTGCTGCTCACTGCACAGCTGAAACACATAAAACAAACATATTTCACTTTAAGTGCACCCATTTCCACATTTATCTTATTTGTGACATTTTTATAGATCTTTATTTTGTTTTATGTTTCTGGTCAAGTTCAGTTTTATTTCGAAGTATTTATTTCTAATATCTAAACATTTGCATGTCCTTGTTCCCCTCTTTGTTGTTTAGCCACACGGCTAAAATACTTTTTCTCTGCTTAAAAAAGTGAAAATGCTGAGGTGCTTTAAAAAAATTGGCCCGTTTTTGTCCCAACTTGCCCAAAGGGTCTAGGATTGCCTGGTGAGCATGGACCAGTTAGACCCTTTTGCTAGATACAGTTGTTGCAAGATACTGTCCGCCTGCAACGGACCCCATGCGATTCCAATGGCTGAGAGATTTTAATAAGTACTGTATTTGTGTCTGATTGAAAGTTAGAGAAAATCACTTTACTGTGTATTTTTTCTTAATCATGAAATAAATATTTATAACACTTCATAGCGTCTTTGTTACACGTTGCAAGTACTAACTATAGTCTTAACCTTATAGATGGTCCTAGGTCACTTCCGAATAATTTTGAAAAAATAATCTGTTTGGAATTTTAAAAAAATCACAGCATCATCGGAAGGTTATGATACTTGGTGACTTTTCTGGCATTTGGTATGTGAATACAAAAAAAAATTTAGGTCATGATCCGAGCATGCTAAGCGGTCGTAAAAAAAATAGTCACACTTGTGGTCTTCAGTCAAAAATGACCGACCCATTGGAAATGAATGGGAAATTTACAAAAACACAAAAATTCTCTGTATTTTTGTCTGTACAATCTACAAATCAGCCACGATTCTAAAAGAAAGTACACCGCAGTAAAGGGGTGACACTCTACAACATCAAGAGTGCAAAAAATTCACACCCACACACACACATACAAACACACTTTTATACACATACACACCAATAAATTCAGATTACAAAAAATATGTTTTGAATTTTTAAAAATCACAGCTTCATCGGAATGTTACGAAACTTGGTGACATTTCTGGCATTAGGGATGTGAACACAAAAAAAGAGTTCATGATCCGAGCATGCTAAGTGGTTGTAAAAAAATTAGTCACAAGTTTGGTCTTCGGTCAAAAATGACCCCCAAAGGAAACACAAAAATTCACTTTTTTTTTTTTTTGCAATTTATTGAGATTGTTTCAAATATATATTCAAATCCACCACCCCCAAAAAAAATAAAATAAATAAAAATTTAGGTGTCCGTTCACTTCTGACCGGGATGGCCCAGGACGTGACTCCTAAACAAAGACCATCAGAAGGTTAACAGTAAATTGTATAAATTACATACCATATACAAAACCCTAATACTTATTCCATAATAAGAACATGTTTTTACGGTACTCAGTACCGTATATATAATTACATTGTAACAAGGACACCTTAAAATTAAGTGGTTACACTTTATTGTAAGGTGTCTTTGTTACACTGTAATTATACATTTAAGTAACTAAAAGTAATATTAAGTAACTACATGTACTTACTCAAGGTTTAGCACTAGGGTAAGTTGCATGTAATTATGCATAATTGATATTTATTACAATAGTAACTACACATGACATATGTAACAATGACACTGTAAAATAAAGTCATCACAGGGACTGGGTCAATGATCCTGGTTGTCCCCCTGGCGACGGCAATATTCAAAGTTCAAAATGGTCAAATTAAACAGTTAAGGTCACATTTACTTTTTTTTGCACTCAATATTGTCAATAGTGTAGATATATATGCTCACACAGAAGTCAAAACTCGTTTTCTAATAGTCAAAGCGGCAATTCCTTTGACCTACTTGAAACTCCTTATTAAAATACTGCATTTCACCCTTGACAATTCGCTGAACAGCAGCAAATGCGACTGCTCTTTAGTTTTCATTTTGCAAGTTTACCAGCTTAATCCACAGATTAAACTTTCATCCACAGATGTTGAAAGACTCATAAATTTAATGTAGTTATTAGCTTTAGTTTCCCAAACAGCTTCATGTCTCCAATCCAATAATTACCAGTTAACCCCATAAAAGTTAAATCATAAATATACTGTATTGATTAAAAAAAACATTACATGCAATTTGTACAATACATATAACAATGAATCTATTAGTCTATTGTGTTGTAGGTTGTGAGTGTGACCAATTTTAAACACATTTCTTTGGAAATAATACAATGGTAAGATTTATGGCTGTCAAGAATGACTAAATTGCTTAGAAAACAATTGCCCTTGACACAGGTCAGCACTAAGAGTGTCCCTCACTTCATCATAATAGAGGTCATAAAGCATTTATATATCGATATTGATATATCAAATCCATTTATCAGCCTTGGTAATGAGTAAAGAACTGCAAGCACCAAACCCATCTTTTAACATGCAGTGTAGGTTGAATTAACTAACAAGTTCCATCACGTCTGCTTATCATTTCAGTGTTTCTTAATTAGTATTTCACTGATTTATTGATTAACCACACATAATCCAGTTTAACTAAATGTGCAGGTGTTTATGGTCATTCTTTTCAGCACAATCAAACCTATTTTCTATGCAAATTAGGCTATAGATTGTGCCTTATTCCCATAACCCAATGCTATTTGTCTGTCATGTTACAACTGTGCTGTGACCACCCACAGAACAAAAGCCACTAAATGGAATTAAATTTAAAAGGGATATATATATATATATATGTATGTATATGAAGAGTTCAGATGCAAAAGCCTCTAAGTGCCATTTGAAATGTTCTTCTAAAATTATCATTTTTATCAAGCTTGTATATTTAATTTCAGTAATTTCACTTAAATGGCAATGAAGATTACCTATTAATTGTCATTTAAGTGAAATTACTGAAATTAAATACACAAGCTTGATAAAAATGGTCATTCTAGAACAAAATTTCAAATGGCACTTAGAGGCTTTTGCATCTGAACTCTTCATATATACTCTATATGTATATATATTAGGGCTGGGCAAAGATTAATCGCGATTAATCGTATCCAAATTGAAAGTTTGTGTTTACATAATAAATGTGTAGTGTGTATAATTATTTTGTATATATAAATACATACACATGCATGTATATATTTAAGAAATATTTGCATACTATATATATATATATATATATATTAATATATATTTTATATATAATATATATATATATATATATATATATATATATATATATATATATATTCTTAAATATATACATGCATGTGTGTGAATTTTTATACACAAAATAATTATACACACTACAGACATATATTATGTAAACACAAACTTTTATTTTGGATGCGATTAATTGCGATTAATTGCGATTAATTGCGATTAATCGTTGCCCAGCCCTATATATATATATATATATATATATATGTATATATATTAGTGGTGGAGTTCCAGTAAAATGTGTGGTAGTTTAATGCATCCACCAACACCAAGCATGACAACTGCATTGCTATTTGATTTTCATAGTTCCAAAACAGCACATTACATTTTTAGTTATAGTCGCCTTTCTTAATCCAGGAAAACTTTACCTGTTTCATCGTTAAAAGTAACTTCCTCATTTCTTTATAATTAAAATAGGTCTTTGATTTCTGAAAATGTCAATTTGTGACTGCAAAATTCAGTCTAAATTGTACAAGACTTCACCAGTTACTTTCAATTTCACTTGGTCTTGTGTAAAGGATGAGATGGCAAGTGTTTTTCAGTCCATTTTCACAATGCGCAATCTCAGCAGTAACTGGCAGTAAATTCCCCATTGAGCAGCTCATCACAATGTATTGAGAAATGCATGGCTCTCTGCCACATCCTCAATGGAATACAACCAAGCCCTCCAAGATAACAAAATCCTTCAACATTTGGGTAAACCTTTTATAGACAGCCAAAAATTACATCCATTTATTGACTTTGTGTAACTGCAGAGAGGTGGTACAATAAATAGCAAAACCCACCCCACATTGCAGCAAGAATCTACATCCCACAAAATCCACATTTAATGTGCTTCCTACAAACAAATTATTCCCAATGTAATAACAAACAGCAAGTAACATCAACATGCAGCTCGGGCTTCAGTAAAAAACAGGTCACATACATGCGAATAAAAGCCAAGACAACAACAGAAATAAAATTCAAGCAACAGAACATTCAGCAGCTGTTTATGGGGAGAGTAGCGCTCACATAAAGCAAATGCCACTCTTGTTTGTGTCTTGAAATACTGAGTGGTCCCAAAGGACCATCCCATTGCCATGGGTCTTGATGACATCATTTAGTGTGAACCCCATAGAGCAGCTTGCTTTCGACAACAAGAAGCAACTATAGCACTTCCACACACATGGCTCATGTGTGTCACATAACACTAAGGGATATTCAAAACAGGGTGCACCAAGCTCTTGGGTTTACTTGACTTATTCACACAGTCACACTTGGTGTTCCCTGTTGGTGGGTGTATGTGCTCAGCCCACCTTGGTTGTCACGGTGAGCAGGGGTTTTCCATCTGAGGATGCCTTACTTGGTAGCTCCTTCAGCACCAAAGCAACCGCCCTAGAGTCTTTCTCCTACAACAGTGAAATCAACAGTGAGTTGTGTCAGTCAGTTTGTGTTCAAATTAATGTAGCGTTTCTGTGGGTTCCTTGAAAAACACTAATAAAGCATTACCAAATCAAATGAAATAACAATTTGCAGGGGTACAAGAAAAGAAAAATCCATCTTTCTTGCTTTATAAGCCACTTCTTGTTGATTGAAAAAATAAGTTCCATTTGATACAGAAAATTTTGTTATCAATGCCAAAACTGTGCCAAAACAAAAGAAACGACTTACTTCAGCAAAGACATGCTACAGTACATGGAGTAGTAAACCATTTCAAACAATTCAGAGATAGAGTGACACCATCCAAAAACACGAGGCTTACAACTGTGCTTTTAACAGCCTCGACTCCACTCAAACAGATCTAAGCACTTAAGCCACCGCTGGGATGCTGAGAACTGGAGTGGAATCAATTCACTGGTGATGTTTAACACTGCAAACTGCCAGTTAAACCCCAATGTATTGAACAACTACACTGTTGGCTCCATATTGCAATCCAAGATAATCTGACTGTGCTGTTTTACAGTGATCAATGAAGTGAACCGCTAATGCAACACTCCATGGTCCAGCAACAGAATAACATCGAAAAGAAATGTTTGAAAAGTAACTCTGGAGACACATAAGAAACAAAATCAAATTTGAAAACCGATGCCATCAATAAGTTTGTGTTTTTAACTTTGTAAAAAAGCCTATAATGGTAGGATGTTGAGGGTGATAACCAAACTGTTACTAAGGAGAATCTAGAGGGTTCAGAGTGGTTTCTATGTGACTGCTACAGAGCCCACCTGATATTCTGTGCCATACACATTGTAACGAGTATACCCTGTTCTGTTCATTGTGTTTTTGGTTCTGTCCTGTGACCTATATGCGTTCACGTGCTATGGAAAAAAGGATATTTTCCACTTGTGAACTGGTATTTACCAGTGTGTTGCGTTCAAGTGCTTTTGTTGTCGTAATGTGGTAAAAAGATGGAGATCTAGACCTGTTATTTAGCTAAAACTATTTTAGATTGCGTAATCTTCTGCAATAGCAAGAAAATGATTTATCAAAACTCAAAAGGTAAATAATATGCTGTAGACTATATTTTCTAGATCATGAATAGTATATATTTTTAAGATTCACGACTCTCGCGGTGCTCTCCGCCATTTTGAAATGGTCAAAGGTTATCTCATCTCGGCAACTCGTCCATCAAAATATTCTACGAGTTGCCCAGTGGAAAATACCACATGAGGGGGTGTTCATGTGCATTTTCCACGTCGGCTTTTGGTATTTACCATTACCATAGCACATGAACGCAGCACTAGTTTTCCTCAGTCTGTTTAATAGTTATCCCATTCACCTGTGCCTTGTCAATCACCTTGGTAAGTATCTTGTTTGCTTTGTGTACTCAGTGTACTGTGTACTTGTACTCAGTTCTCCCTCTGCATTTGTCCACCTTCATCAATGGTAACACGTGTGTGTAAAGTATATTCTGTGAGATTTGCAATTAAAGATCCCGGACTGTTCGTTGTGCACACCACTACTTCACCAGCATGAACGAGGAAACTAAGGCACGCCTGCCTGGTGTGGGTCATCTGGGAGATTTCGCTGAGTATGTGGAGTGGGTGCTCAACACAACAACTCACCTTTCACCATCGGCCCCGCAGAGGATGACGTCATAATCAGTCCCACTCTAGCACTACCAGAGACAAGCCATCCACCACCTGTGACCGAATCGATGGAGATGTTGCGTGTGCCCACCATGGAGACCAGCCTGCGCGATGGACGAGCCTGATCCGAGGGAGAGGTTGGAAGGAGTCATCACCCCGGAGCATGTTTCACAACATGTGTCTGACCAGGTGTGTGAGCGGGCAACACCGCAGATCACAGAGGGACTTTAAGTGAAGATGGATGGCTTGGAGGATAGCCGCGCCTACACTTATGTAGCTGTGAGTGAGTTGAGCCTTGTCTCTGGAGGATATGTGGAGGAACTTGGATACCTTTTTTAGGAGGATTTGATTGACTGAGGTGAGGTGATGCCCCGAATCTCACGCTTTCTCTGTATCTCCAGCGTGCCCTGGTTCTCAAATGCCCCCTGAATCTCCAGAATGTTCGTCGAATCTTCCCTTCCCACCTCCTCATCCAGCCAGTTCCTCAGCCCCACCTTCACTGGTGTCCTTCAGCCCCTCTGCATCTCCAACACACACCAGGGTTCTGCCAAGTGTCTTCAGGCCACCAACTCCACCTAGCCAAGAGGATCCCCTCGCTCCGGCTCCAGCCTATGGGCCCATCGCTCCACCTCGGCCTGTTGACACTTTGGCTCCACCTTGGCTCCCCCCTCCCTCGGCTCCAACTGAAACCATCGGCCATATGGCTACCTCGTCCCTTGGTCAGACATCTTCCTGCCTGTGCCTATTATTCAAATCAGTTAAATGATTATTAGGCTGCATGAATTAAGTCAGGCGGAAATGGGAACACTTCTTCCTATAACACCCGATGTGCTCATTGCATCATAAGAAGAATGGCATCTACGGTCTTGTTAGTCTTTCTGTTTATTCCGAGTTTTACTGTAATTAGCCAGATCTCATTGACAGGTCAGCTCCACCGAGGTCTCCATCATCTGTGGCGCCATCTCTGTCGGTCGTCCCCAGGGTGTCATCTACTATCAAGTCATTGTCACCATGGCTCCTCCCACCTTCAACTCCACCCTGGGGTCTTGTCCTGACTGGCCTCAGGACCACCTCCTGGCTTCTCCTGTTCTTAGCTCCTCCCTGGCTGCTTCCACTCCCCCATGGACTGCTATATTTATATGGACTGGTGTTTATTTTTCAGCTCCACGACCTCCTCCAGAGCCTCAGTTTTATTTACGGCAGTACGGGGCATACTGTAACTAGTATACCCTGTTCTGTTGTTTTCATTGTGTTTTTTTAGTTCTGTCCGGTGACCTTATTTTCCTCAGTCTGTTTAATTAGCTATCCCATTCACCTGTGCCTTGTCAATCACCTTATTAATTATCTTGTTTACTCTTTGTATTTAAGCCTTCAGTTCTCCCTCTGTGTTTGTCCATCTTTGTTAAAGGTGCCATCTGGAACTAAAATTCAAAACATACTCCATTTTCCATACCAGATGGGGGCAGTATACCTCCAGAAAGTGAGTTGTGCCACGGCCGCGCTCACGTGTACTCTCACGTCTTCAAACAACACAATCGAGCGCTCTTTTGCTCTCTTTTCTCACGCATGTTATTCAAATCATTTGACACGATAGTAAAAGGTTGGAAGACCGCAGTTTTACGTGGAGCATTTGGAGATTTTTAGAGATCAGAGACTCAATGGACAACATCTCAACACTAAATGATGAAGACCGTCACATCGACGCCTGTATAAAACAATAAAACCCTGGGCTATTATTTGAAGTTTATGGTATTCGTTTTGTTCATATTACACTTTTATTGTTAGTTTGAATTAATTTGACAGACAGCATTGGCTGATGTTGATCAAGCTAGCGCCATTCAGAGCTGACAACTCTTAACGAATTCACCGTGAGACACACGCTATTGACACTTAGCAAGCAGGTTAGTTAAGCTCTCAGATTCTGTCAAATTTTTTATGCAATTCAAAGAATAAATACCGTTTTGGCGCTTGTACATGTTACACTACAGATCCCTAGCGCACGTGAACCGATCGTCTCTACTAGCTAATGGAAAAAGAACACGAACACTGTTGAAAGATACTGTATGCTACAACTTACCTGAATGTATTCCTCATGCATAATATCGACCAATCATTTTTTGAACTCTTCCCTGAACTGAAATGTAGTAGTGGGCTGTATTTCCACACGACTGACATCAGGTTCAAGTACACACACAAGCCGGCGCGAGCGCGACTCACTCGTGTACAGCAGTTTGGCTGGTGGTAACGTTGCCCGCCCGCATACCGCCTCCCATGGCCCAAACTGGTATTACGACACGTGACGGGCCGGGGCTAGTAATTTAGCATGCTAATTTAGGTTTATATCTCGGCAGCAATATAACTTGACAGTTTTTTAATGACATCATTGCACTTATTTCTTCTCATTCTTTTGATGCGTGTAGCTCATTTTTCGGATATTTTTACCTCAATTATTACATATGGCACCTTTAATCGTAACACGCGTGTATGTGAAGTGCATTCTGTGAGATTTTCCTGAGTTTTCTTGTTGAGGGGGCTTTTACACTGGGCTCGTTTGCTGCAGTCTGAGCCCGGGCGTATTTGTTCCCGGCGCCCTCCACAGCGTTGGTATGGTTTCACACTCAACTTTATATATATATACTGTGTATATATATATATATATATATATATATATACTTATGGTATATTGCTTATATGTTTCGTTATATGTTATGTTTCATTTGTTCCTGGCGCCCCCCACAGCGTTGGTCTGGTTTCACACTCAACTTAATATATATATATATATATATATATATATATATATATATATATATATATATATATATATACAGTATGTCATGAAACTGCACATGGAACATGGACAGAGGTGATCCAAACGCAGGCTTTATAAAAGAGGAGAATCCAGAGACAGGTACAAGGAAACAGGCAGAGGTCAAAACCAGGTAAGCAGTCCAGATCAGCAATCAAACAATTCAGGGATTAGGCAAACGGGAAGACCAGATACAGGCAGAGAGTCCAGGAACCGTGAAACTAGGAAATACTAAGGAAACTAAGAAATACTAGAAAAACACTCGAAGCAGTCAGACACTATACACACAATACTGAGCACCGAACAAAGGGGAAACTCGGGCTTAAGACAGGTGCACTAAACAAGATAATAAAACACAGGTGCATGAAATAAACCATAATCAGTCCAGGGTAAAACATGAATGAAACAATAAACTAGGAAGGAGTGCCCTCCAGAGGCTCAAGCGGGCACTCCAGCCGCAGATCGTCACATAACCCCACCCCCCCTCTAAGGAGCGGCTTCCAGACGCTCCTAGAAC